CCATTCCACCGATCACACTCATTCACTCACTGACTTGCAAATGAAAAGCCGATAGCCTCGAGGCCTGAGGTTACAGAGCAGCTTGCCCCTTCGTCCTTACTTCCTTCTTCTCATCTTTTTATCCACCGACAGAAAATGCCTCCTCAGTTATCCTGAGGTTCAGAGGTCCAGTGTGTCGGCTGTTCCTGCAGTCGGGAATATTGCTCATGGGAACCTCCTCAGACTGACAGACAGAGATTAGAGATACATAATTAAAGAAAGTTCAAGAATGGCAGTCACAGAGACTCAGAGAAAGAGTTTCTTATTTTTCTCACTCAGAAATTTATTCTGGACTGATCAAAACTAGAGAAAATATGGTATCTGTGCTTTAAATTAAGGTTCTTAACATCCATTAGTTCATGTTTTTATTAGAGCAATTTAAACTTGAGGTGAACGTCTGAATCCCTCAATTTATTTCTTATCCACCTGTTCCGAGTTTCCGGCGTTAGTCTAATATATTCTAATCTAATCTTTTAGATTTTACATTCTAGCTTTTCTTCCTCTATTAAAATGTAGAGCTTGCCAACTGCTGCATCACAACATCTCCTACTTGTAAACAAATCTGCAGTAAAAGCTATCATAGAAACAAATTTGGATAAAATGAATAAAAGCTTATTTGTGTATTCCAGGCAATCAGATCTTTGTCTGATTTAATATTAGCTTTTTATTGCAGACCTGGGTTTGGCCAAATCACATCAATATGCTATAATTTATTTGGACTGCTCGCCGACTTCTGCAATTTTGAAACAGAAGAAAATAATCTGGTAAATTCTTGTGAGACTTGCTGGAAATATCTGCACATAATGTAAAAAGAAAATGTTGCTAATACAAACCATCTCTTTGTCATGAGCCAGTCTCTTTGAAGCCTATCACTAAAGCATACCGTTCAATTTTATGTATCTAATGTACAGCTGCAAAACTCACAGCTTTGCTTAACAAGCGATTTTAACTAATCCCTTTTAATTGGGAAGTTTCATGGATAATTCATCTTTGTGGTCTCTGAACTCTGAACATCCTTCAAAAGGGTTGAACAGAGCATCTAGTCTGGTGTTTGGCCTGTAGAGGGCCCTGGTGTCCACTGTGTATGTCTGGCTACATTTATCTTGCAGATGTACTGTCCAATTGAGCTTCCATATTTTATAACTACATTTAAAAAAAGTTAAATAAACCAAAATGTGTTTTGTAGATGAAGCTTCAGTGAGAAGAAGGGTCCTTTAAAATAGCATGCCCATAACACACCTCAAAACAAGCTGGTCAGTCAACAAAGAATTCAACAGTTGAATTATTCATGTTAAAAAAATAGATAAAAAGATTCATGTCCTGCTTATCATCATCATGGCTGGATGGTCAGTAATCCATACTGCTTTAATATTATCTATCTAGTGCTCCTGTTTTATGTTGAACACCAACATATGATTATTAGTTTTGTGACTTCTTCTGCCATGTGATCAGTATATATTACAAGAATGATACACAAAAAGATCCCCTCCTCATTGTCTTGTCACCTATGTTGTTGGGATACTTAAAAAAAAAAATTACACTTTCCCCTACAAAGGAGGCCATAGACGACATCATTATCCAGTTCTGTTTAACCAAAAGTTCACTTTTCTATGGCTGTGCCTCGATATAACGATATCGTGTTCAAAATTTAGCCACATTTTCACGCTACTTATGAAGGGCCATGTCATGTGATTATGCCTTGAGCTTTCCAATACGACGTATTTTATAAGGCACCACACCCCCTCCAAGACCAGCCATTATATAAAGTAAATTATCAGCCTGCAAACAAGTGAAGCTTAACTGTCTTTTTACTTTTTTTTCCTCTAAGAAATATTGTAGTCCATAGTAGTCCTAGAAGTAGGTTCAGCTTGGGATGACAAACTAATTTTTTTTTTTTTGATGTGCCATTATCTCAGTATTCAGGAGAGGCATCTAGTGGCTCTACATGGGAATGACAGACAGGGTGAGCTTCATCCCTCACAGAAGCATCAGAAGAAATCTTTTGTCTTAGCACAGCCTAAAGTGAAGAACAACCAAACAAAACTATATATAAATATTTATTTACAACATCAACAAATATACAAGAGACAATAAAGTGCTTTGTACGTCGAGTCTTTACATTGCTTATATCAGTTAGGACGATGATTTGCTCAGTGTGTGCTTATGTTCAAGCAGGGGGATGAAATATTGTTATATTTCTGCAAAGCAGGAAGACTTAGCAGCAGCTTAGACAGACTGATTTGTCTTAGACTACTCGCCATTTGGGCTCATGTTAAGTAAATAACAAAATAACAGAAAAAGCTTTTGCATACACAGCCAGCCAAAATCTTTTAGAATTAAAAGTTTTAAAGTTCATTTGTTTGTAATAGTCAAAGATTAGATACAAGATACAAGAGGTAAATGACTTATCGGTAAAGAACGTGTGTTTGTAATTGACACAACATAGTAAACAGCAGTATCCATGAAAGTGCAATTTAGGAACCCCTGGCTGGGATGAAACAGTGCTCCAAAATCAATAGAACTAAGCAGGAAAATCAGGTAAAGATATCACAATTAGGGTTTATTCTCTTCAGCGTATTCATTCCTTTTGTGTGTGTGTGTGTGTGTGTGTGCGTGTGTGTGTGTGTGTGTGTTACTAGACCTCAAGCTGCACTTAGTACCATAATTGATTAATATCGATGAGGATCAGACAACTGTCTGCCTGTGTCCCACCTGCAAAGTTATAATGGTAGATAAGCTAAATCTGACAGTCAAAATAACCCAGTTTGCTTGTGCATTGCTCAGAGATTTACTTCAAACATTTTAACATTCGAGACTCTCCAGATGCTCTGAGGTATTAAAAGATGGAAGACAATGAGGGCGTTGAAACACTAAGCCTAAAATGTGAAAAAAAAAAACAATTGGCAAAGTGAAAAAAAGCATAACAGATTTCTTACTCAGCTTTAACATAAAAGAAATGTCATACATAATTTTTCAACGTGTTAAACATCCTAATTGCAGGAAATTATGTCCATATTTTTCAGTGCTGTAAAAATTAGGAAATGATAAATGGAATATAATCCATTTTATTTCAACTGGCAGTGTACCTTTGCAAAAAAAGGTTTCTATAAGATAAATTTTTTCCTGGAAATTTGTAGTTCAAAATAGATCAAACTTTTAATTCTAACTCTATGGAATGCAGTTTGCCTAATTTTATATGATAACTATGAGCACTTTTTTTCCACAGCCAAATGAACATAAGAACAGCTTTATGAAACTGCACAAAAATATCAAATAAAATTGGAAAAAGAACAAAAAATGTACGCTGAGACAGAAAATTGCAGTAAAATCAACCCTGGTCTGATGTATTCATACTGAATGTAAACAAAAACAGAATGCAGAGATTTACAAAGAATTTGAACCCTACTTTCAACTTAACCCTGTTTACAGTCATTAACAGGGCTCCAAGTTCAGATCATCTTATCACTTTTTTGTCTCATAATACTCCAAATAATTTCAAACTGCATCATGTCCAGCCCACAGGATGGAAAATGTAGCACCTGGACTCTTTAGATAAAAAGCCATGCCATTGTAATATAAGAGTAATTTGGTTTGGCAATGACTTGCTTGAAAAAGCAAAATCATCCCCGACAGGCCTGATGGATGATTAAAATGTTCAAGAGAAGGGTTGTCCATACCCCGATACTTTGTTGGACATTTATGCAGAGGGCTTTCTAAATTTTTAAGAAATGTAATGATATTGTGAACTGTAAATGATCAAATCCTCAAATGGAAATCCAAACAATAGTTTCCAGCCTTTAGTTTTCATTCCTACAATTGTAGCATCAAATTTGCCTCAAACACTTCTAAGATTAGATATGTTCTGTTTTCATTTGAATAAATGGTTCAAATTTTTTGAAAATCATTGCATTGTCTATGAGTCAAATAAAAAAACATCACATCTTTATGGGGTCAAATTAGCCATGTTTAACAATACAATCAAGAAACATATTTACTTACAAATTTACTAACAGAGATTTTTCTTTTAATTCTACTGTCTGGTCCTCTCAACATGCTGCCGCAGCAGAAAGGACAAAAAGAGCATTTTTCTTTGAACACAATCTATTATACAATCATTGTGACACCTTACTCAAAAGCATTTCCCATGACATTCAGTTACACTTGAACTAATCCTCTCCGTGCAAATCCAGGGACAGGTTGGACATTACCAACACCCTTCATCCCTTTGTTTCCTGTTGTGCTTCACGATGGCCTTTCAGCTTTCTACCGTCATAAACTGTGAGTACGTTTAAAGAGCATGTGTGCTCCATTAACCAAATATGAAATCATAGGCGCTCTGTGCTTTATCTCTCAACTCCAGACCTTTGGCAAACAGCAACAGCACAAAGATGACCTAAAGCCACTTCTGAGTATAATTTCTGAATTCACAGGCTCCAACCTCCACAAGAAACGAACCAAGAAACAACTATTACAGACATGTCAAGTCAACCAAAATCTTACTATACATTGCTTAATTCTGATTAAACTTAAAAGATGCTATTTTTCTAGGATCTGAAAACTAAGAACAGTACATTATTTTCCACATAAAACTACAACCAAGCAAAACAAACAAATGATAAACAAAAGATTTTAAATGCAGTGGAACCTCTTTAATAAATAAATCAAGATATGCAATAACTCTGGAATGCATTGGTCTTAAGAAGTGTTTTTCAGAAAACTTCTCCCTCTGCTATACTTAGAGATTGCACTTGGAATGGTCTTGTCTGTCCTGCACAGCAAAAACACCAATTGGCTACTATCATGCAAAAAAAAAATTTTTTTGTTATCCCAGAACATTTACCATAACAGACATGTGAAAATATGAGACTCGGCAGGTATGTTGTGCACTTCAGTCCAATACCGAAGTATTCACTGACAAACCATGAGTAAAAACTGTGCATTTTTATTTCTGACCATTCTGATCAAGTCTTGAGTTCTGCTCTTTTCAATAAAAATGAGAAAATTCTTCAGTGGGGAAAAATCGCTTCTGATTACAGGCAATTTTAAACACGTTCACACAGTCTTAAAGGGAACTCAGTTTCTGCTATTGCACTGTTCCTAGGTTATGAAACCAAAGTTAAAGGTTGTCAAAAGTCTGTCAATACTTTCACAGAGATTCTTTGTCCCTTTGTAGAACCAGAAGCGGATGAACCAGAATCTGATTGTTTGTTATGGTGCTCATTGTTCCAACCATTTCTTTCTTTTTTTAGGAAAGTTATGAGTGTATTTATTTGATCATCACAAGGAAAATAAATATATTCATGTAAAAACATAAAGCAACATTGGAAAGGCAAAAGGGGTTTCAGCTTCTGAATGTACTGAGTAAAGCTTAACATACAGGTCCAACTTTTTGGGTGAAAGATGAGGAGCTTGTGCCCCTCCTCCATGATTTAGCTCTCTTGATCGCTCTTATAGGTCACTGGATCAAGAGGAATTGCAGTTTGTAGGCTATCAAACTCCATCTGGTTATTATCCATGTCCAAAACGCACATGACGGTGTGGCTGCCTGAGGTCATAGTTGCGGTGTCATGGAACATGTTTTGGAAGTCAACTGAAGTCCTCCTCTCCTCTGCTCTCTCTTTTCCAGCAGGCTGACTGGAGTCGAACATGTCTTCCTCTTCCTCTCCACCACTCAGGGCCACCTCATTCTCATAGCAGAAGGCGTTCAGTGATCGTGGCATTAAGTTTTGTCTGGATCTACATGCTGATACAGGAGACGCGACGGAGGAGGCCGGACTCGCGGCTTCATCGAGCTCTTTGGCGCTGAGATGGGGAGTCGACGTAACCTCGTAGGTCTTGTGGAAGCGAGAATAGTCGACCTTGTAGCGATCGCGATCCTCGTAGATCACAGGCTCAAACCTGTGACCCCAGAAGATCTCCCTCGCAAGGTAGGAGCTACGGAACTGGGTTGTCATGGCGGTGGCCTCCACCATCCCCTCCAGGATCACAACGATCTCAAAGTCATCCGCTTCCAAGTCAGCTCGACTTAAAGTGTACAGAGGGCTATCTTGATCTATTTCGTGAATGATAACCAGCGGGGATACGAGAAACAGCCGGTCTGTTCCCTCGTCATAACCGACGTTGAGGTCCATCTGCTCCAAGGGGATGAACTCCCCTTCAGCCGTGACGTACGAGCGGATGAGCTGGGCGCGCACGTGAGCTTCCACGATGTGGCTCTTTCGCAGGTTGCCCACCCTCCACATCAGGCACAGCTTGCCATCGCGCATGGCGATGACGGCATTTTTGGAGAACATGAGGGTCTGGTTCCTCTTCTTTGGCCGAGCCATCTTGGCCATGATGGTGCCAATCATGAAGGAGTCAATGATGCAGCCTACTATAGACTGTACCACCACTGTAAGCACAGCTACGGGACACTCCTCTGTCACACAGCGCCAGCCGTAGCCGATGGTGGTCTGGGTCTCCATAGAGAACAGAAGAGCCCCAACGAACCCGTGAACATGAAGTATGCAGGGCATCCTTTGAGTCTGCCCTCCGACTGTATGTGCAGAGGAGGGTCCGAGTGGGCCTCCTACAACCAGCCCTTCTCCTTTCTGTGGTGGGGGCTCCGCAAAGTCTCCGTGTGCCAGGGAGACGCCGTAAAAGATTAAGCCGAAAAATAGCCACGAGACCATGAAACTGGTGCAGAATATCAGCAGCAGATATCTCCAGCGAATGTCCACACACGTGGTGAAAATATCAGCGAGGTAGCGCTGCCTCTTCTCTTCCATATTGGTGAATATGACGTTGCATTGTCCATTCTTCTTCACAAAGCGGCTCCGCGTTTGGTTGGAGCCCCTCGTCAGAATCTTGCCGTTGTAGTTGTTCATCCCTCCTTGTCCCCTTGTGCTGGGCAAAATGGCGGAGGCTCCAGACCTCCTTCTACTGTCGTCACCCTCACAGTCACAGTGCAGTCGGAATTTGGGAGAACGGTGTCCGTTGTGCAGCCCCAAGCTAGTGATTTTCTGGAGTTCCTCCTCTGGTATGATGTCTGACACGATGCTGTACCTATGAAAGGAGGAATTTCGATTAAACTAATGTGACAAAAAAGATCATGCTTATCTAATTACATGACAAGATATTTGCTATGATGATGCCATGATAATACACTGGATATTGGCGGGAAGTTGGTGTTCAGACCAGATAAAAGTTTATGTCACTGGAAGTGATTGTGTTAAGGATGAAAAACTTAAACCAAAAGATAATATCGCAATAATAACTGACTCATTAGATAAAACAAAAATTTAAGCAGACCACATGAAAATATAACAGCTGTCAGTGAGAGGGTATGGATTCCTGTTATGAAGACCATTTACCTCTTATTCACTAAAAGTTCACTCAGATTGACCTGGCTGCTTGTAAACAAACTTCATCAACCAAAGCAGACTCTCTTTCTCCTTTACATGGAGGATTAACCTGCTAGGAAGGTGAGTTCAGTTTAGCTATATGAGAAGGATTGCTGTCATCACAGATTATAGGATTATGTTTAAATCAGTGACAGTCAGACAACCTATTTTTAATTCGAACACATGTTATTATCATTTCATTATATGTGAACAAATGTTGTTATGCATTGTTAATTGTTCATCAGCCCACTGTTGTTTGGAGATCTGGACGAGAGATGCTCCTTTAATCTGCAGCAGAATATCACAGGTTTTTTTTTTAATTCCTTGGAACTAAGTGGTGAGATGACAAAGCTGCAGGACCGATAACAAATGTTGATTATAAGAACACAGCATGGCATCATGTGAGTCTTTTTTAAAAACTGCATCCTGTTATGACCACGTAGGGCGGCCTTGGCCTTTCTGATGATCCGAGTGCCGTAAATAACCCTGAGCTGGGCCTGACTCACCCTACCAAGCCAAATGAACTAGTTCATTTTCACATCCAGAATGCTGCAAAGCCCTTTGAGGCATCAGAAACAAAAGAGAGACGCAAACTCCATTGAATTGACATTCCAAGCTGATTGTTGTGCAAAAGAATGATTCCATACCGATAAAGAATCTCTCACCTGTTGGATCTATTTGTTCCCATGGCACCAGTCATCACTGGGAAGGTGCCACTGTAGGAGGAAAGACTCCTCCCTGCTCCCAAACATCAGGCCTCCACAACCGAGGTGGCAAAAGACTAAAGCAGGAGAAGACGAGGGATACATGTAAACACTCATGAACAGTCCCTGATGAGTAAGTTAGGGACAAGCATAGTATCCAAAGTAATCAACATCCACCAAGGATATATGGGGTTAGTTACTGGTTTGTGACAAACATCTGCATCAGTTTACTCTCTTCATATTCTTATCTTTTTGTCTTAGGCCAGAGTCCTTTGCTCTCATAGTTTGGCAGGACTTCTTCTGGGTATTTTTATCATGACATGACATGTTATCCAAGTAGTATCCTTTTTAAATCTCACCCAAATGAAATACAAACACTTGATTAAAAAAATAAATCCTTCATCAAGTCATTTTTTCAAATCTATGTGTGTTTAGACCTCACTACAGTGGTCGGGAATCTGGCTGTGTAAGTGTGTTTTTTCCAGGGAGGATGTGGATTTAGACTTAATCCAGATCTATTTCATTAAAATAATCTCAAGGATGTCTTACCTGCTGTTTAGAATACATGCAACTAGGAAGGGATTATTTTGCTGTTAGGGAACATCTGAAACACGCTTTCATCTCCATGACGTATTAATCGGGAGTGTTAAGAAACATGGGTAAATGATGACCTCCTGTCAACCGGCCAGTTGTAGGACACTTAAGCTTGATTGCAGCATGTATCCACCTCCCTAACCTCCATTTTTCTCCAGAACAATATTTTACTCATGTCAAGATCAATCTTAATTTCAACAGCTTTGTTTTTAATCTCTTACATTTTTTTAAACATCTTATGCAATCTTGAAAAAAAAAGCCTTTTGCGCAGTATTTACAATGCTTTTTTAAAAATTACATGAGGCTTATTTTACCAATGTTGAATTATACCTTACAAGTCAGTGGGACATTATTTCAAGTCTGCAGTTACTTGTAAAACATTAATTTAAAAAATGTATAATTGGTGCACAGCAGCACCTAATCCGTTAACTGTTAAACATTTGTGTTATGACTGAAATATAGTTTTTAAGCATGACTTTTAAAAAATACGTTAAAAATGCACAATAACAGCATACCTATGATGGAATTGTCAATAATCCATTGTCACAGTTACTGCCTCCAATATTGAAGGACTTCCCAGCTACTTTGAGTCATGATATCAACTTATCATAAAAAAAAGATTCTTATAATACTATCTGTAGGTTTTCAAAAAAACACGTAATATCGGGGTCTTAGTTGATGTATGCATTGTTGTCGTTTTGTTTGTTTGTTTGTTTGTTTGTTTGTTTGTTTGTTTGTTTGTTTTTGTGTGACAGTAAAACAGTATCTGAAGTTGTACCAGGCACAATCTTTCAGATACTCTTAATTCAAGTAATAGAAATGCAAAAGTCGGGTAATAGTTTTTATCATTTCCAAGTGTGAGAAAAATACCTCAGGTGGTTTTGAAACAACAAACATAGATAAACACAATGTTGAGGAGAGCAACATATTTTTTTCTGTACGTGTAGCTCCGTGTGGGGATTACGTGTTCATCATGTGTGTCTCTGTCCACACAAGTGTCCTTGGCCTCCAACCGTTAACACTGCTCTGATATAACATCTTACACCTCCAAGCTACACCCATAGAAATGAATTTGCCACCAACCATCAACCCATAATTCACTAAAGTTTCCTTTCTGGTTTCTAAACTGTAAATAAAGAGGAGTTGTGCACAGGTACAAAAGTGTGGTGCTGTAGATGAGACATGTGCAGCACCAGGCAGTTAACGGTCAGCTGGTAAAACTAGGTACTCTCACCAAAGCCAGTTTCCATGGGAATACCTCTCTTGTGGCATTTGGGGGACAGAGGGAAGAGAGACCAGTCACACCAGTGTTTAGAGTAGGGTGAGGTGGGGGGAATTCAGTATTAAGTGCTCTTATAACATGAGTCACAGAGGGAGAAAGAGACGTGATGAGAGAGAAGGCCGTAAGGGGCAGCAACACAACACCCACGTCTTAGTTTAAATACATTTTAATGTTTCTGAAGAAGAGATGCTTAGAAAATGGTTTAATGTGCCACCAAATGAGAATACAAATAATGAGAGGAAAATTTAGTCTTTGGTAAAAACACACAGGTCACAGAACATTTACAAAATTTTAACGATGTGCTTTTAACTATGCATCTTCTAGATGATTTTGCCATTCCTATAACAATGAGAGTTTATTGACCTGAAGCTGATTATGTTGGTTTTGTATATGCCAATTTTTGCCATGGCTGTGGTAACATTAAGCCATCCACCGACCAACTGGTTAGGTTCCAGAGGCCGTTTGCAGCGCAAACACCTCTCAGAAAGCCAGAAATAGCATATGTTTAAGTTAAAAAGAAGGAGATAAGGAAGTCCCTGCATATCTTTTTTGTTTACCACAAGAGAGCACAAATTCTGAGGCAAGTGCACCGTGTGATAGGAATGGAACTCAGACGTCCACTCACGCTCAAGCTGTTGGCAATTTCCACCAAAGAGACTCACGACCTGCTGCAAAAAGACGTGGTACTTCGATTGTCAGTGGCAGAGCCTCATACCAAGATAGGACCTTGCAAATTTGGCATTTAGTTAAGCAATTATGCAAAGTGGTCTTAGTCATTTCCCATTATATGCTGCCATTTGAAAGAAGAAATTAAATTTACTGTCTCTCTATGTCATCACCTGGCACTCTCCGTGGCAGGTTTTACTGGAGAGACATGAATTTTCATATTCATCCTTCATTCAGCCCCCCCACTGAAGATCATCATGTTTTCTTCAGATGAAATATGTCACAGCTAATTAATGCGTACCCTGTTTGCACCACTATTTGTCACGATTCAACCCACAGACGAGCACTCAACTAAGCAGAAAATTATTCCCACGCTTGCCCTCACATCCCAGACAACCTCCGTCCTGGCTTCATTTCAGCTTTCATATTGTCCCATTTTAATCTCCGCAAAACATAGCATATTTCTTAGCTCTCTTGATGGAACAACTGGTCATGCATACTGACGCATAATCCTGCAACAGATCATCCTGAAATGCTCCCATCCTCATGACAGTGTGAGTACATTAGCATTAACATCTGTTTATAGTAGGGTTTTTTTTTATCCCATCATAATTTGTTTCAGTTAAATAATTTCCTAGCATCTTTATATGTATTATATAAGTTTTGTTATCTATTTTTATATCGCCGAGAGAATTACAGAGTGCTACATGCCAGACTTTGGAATGTCTTATTACAAGACTAAACACTACTAAAGTCAAACTATGTTCACTTAACTTTTTATATTCTCAAACTTTATTGTTGTTTTATTTTCCCACTCTTATCATTTTGCCAGATATTAGATATGTTCTTCTAGATATTAAAAGAAAGTGACACCAGCAGTAAAAATGTCTTCATTTTTTTTAGAGAAAGGATGCCTGTCTGAGAATCAGGTCTGTCCTAATTTGTTTGTTTTGTGACAACCAGCAGGCGCTGATGTGTCGTTGCTTTAAAGTATAGATTTGGACTCATGGTTCCAGACATATTTCCGTTGCTGTGAAGTTTGTGACAAAGTTCTCTTACTGTAACCTTGATCGTGCACAACACAGCAGTTTTTATGATGGCTGAGCCGCATGTTTCCTGTGAAAGGATACGCTGTCTGACAACCAAGCAAAACTTCAGCCAGCGCCTCTCGTCTGAAAAAACTTGTCACGCAAACATGCAACAAGTGTATCACTCCCAAAGTATCAAGCTGTCACTTTGCACGTCTCCTGATTAAGTGAAACTGATTGTAAAATGAACTCAGAACATACTCACTTGGCAGATTAGTTGTTGTCTGTTTTCGTGGTTATAGTGTTTTTTCCCCTTCTCTTCCCAAAAGTCCACTTATCACTTTTCAGGGCAAAACCTCCCACATCTTTAGAACCAAGTAGCAGTTAATCGCCTCCTTCACTCTTCCAGTCTTTTAGTTTCTTCTTTTAGTTTCTCCCTCATTGCTTATTCTTTGTTTTATCTCAATTGCGTGCCTCTTTTAATCCTTTATTGTCCTCCGCTGCCTCCTTCACTGATTATAATCCTGTATCTGTGCGCACTCTCCTGTGCGTACTCATGCACCCTAGTCCGAAAATGCTGTGTCAATCTCTGAAGAGCATGGGTTAGGGAGGGAGTGATGGATGGTGAGGAGAGAAAAGGAGAGGAGAGGAGAGCAGCCACATTGTGAACTCTAAGCATGTGTAGGTGTCGAATAATACCTGATGTGCCCATCAAAGTGAGATGGAACTTATTTGAGCCCTGATTTCAAAATGATTTCAAGAAACAACATAAATGCGTGTAGCTGGGAGCTGATAGGGGACGGGGAGTTGAAAACAGAGAAGTGGAATCAGACTTTAAAACTCAAGAAATCCTACAAACAAAGTAAATTAACCTTTGGATTAAATGCACAAATAAACAGGAATATTTAGAGTATTTATTCCCAAAACCTGGAGAGAGGTTTTCTTAAATATAAAAACACCCCAAAACTCAACTTAAATGTGAAGCTGAACAGAAATTTGGAGGTCAACCCCAGGGCTTTCAAATATGACGCCAGTAAGTAGTAAGGAAATAACACTTAGTTTATAGGAAAATAACATTTTAGGGACGATTCAAATATAACCACACCTGTTAGTTTTAGTATTGAAAAGAAATGATTAATTTACCAGAGCCTCATCGCACTTGTTAAGCTGTCAGGATTCAAAACAGACAGATAAAATTAGATAGAATTATAAACTTGTCATACCTATAAATGACCTTAAACCTAAGGTAAACAATAATGACATCATAGTGCCATAGAGTAGCGTTGAGGAAATAGAGTACCTGAAGCAGCTAACATCAAAACAACAGTTTGCCTTCTATCATCTTGTACTGGCATGAACTGTCACTGGAAGTGCTGTGAGGAAACAATACAAATATAGATATATGACGGTATAAAGAGGAGATGGCTTGAACCAACAATCAGAAGGACCTGCTTCTGAGGAGAGGGCAACCATGGATAGACTCTCCAGACTGGGTGCATGTATAAATAGATTCTAATCAGGCCTGGGTGACAGATTAGTTCTCATAACCTTTTGCTCAGCTCTTGCTCATTATGCTAACCTACGTATGGGTCATCTCTGTCAAGGAGCCGTCCTCTACGGAGCATTTCCTGCTCTCAGCCCTCACCCCCAGATCTGTCTGTGATATATCACAGGATTATTAAACACGGATTTGTTGAAATATGTGTATGGTTACCATATGTTGTGCTTACTGAGGAAACTGGCTTTGCTGGACGATTCCTGGATGTGATAATTGTTTACTCTTTGTTGGTGGGTGGTACCTCCATGTTTTGTTTTGGTTTGTCAGCAGAGATAATATTGAAGTGTAGGCTGAAAGCATGTCCTCTGCATTCTCAGGCGCCTTGAGCTGATGTAAGAGTAGGAGGCCGGGGAGCCGGATGTGTGTGATCCTGGGATTCATTTAACATTTGTGAATTAATAAGAGGGAGGACAAACGAAGAGGTGGAAACGGTTGGATTTGATGGGAGGACAATTCACAAGGGAAAATGTGTTTTATCTGTGGCTGCAAAGGAAGAATTGGGGGAAATCAAGGTTTATCAAGAGTAAAGTTTGAGAAAACAGGTATGATAGAGTGTTTAAAACAATGTCAAAAATTGTCAAAAATAGATACATTATTTATGGGGTGGTGAGGTGGAGGCCTCAGGGGCATTGTTTGACAGACTGCAGCTGGGGGGAAACTGTTGTCTTGGACCACTGAGGATACGTGCCTTTCTTTTCTAAAAGTGTTTTTCAAAATACTGAAAAATGCTTAAAGCCTTTCATGAATTAATGTCAGTCTTACAGTTTGAATTGCAGTTGCCTATTCCTACTAATTAGTCCAAACTAGAAAAAAAACAACAAAATGAAACTTTAAATCAAAAGTAGTTAACTTTTCTAATGTGAAACCATCCTTTATACTTTAAAAGGTTCATAATAAAGACTCCATCACAAAGATTTGCTAAGAAGACCTGCTTAAAAAGAAGAAATTCTCAAATCAAAGTACAAACAAGGAACAGTAACAGGCCGTTCAAGCTGTGGAGTCAAACTTCTGGTTTGAATAAGACGTCTTTAGGCTATGCGTTTAAATCATTGTGTGCAAACAGCATGCTATGCTGTGGCTTATGGGGATGGATGTGAAGTATAGCTCCTTATTTCCAGCCCCATGAACACTAGATAAATTAAAGGGGCCGTTCAGAGGGAAAGAAGAAAGAATATAAAGATGTGATTGATTTGATATGATGTAATGTTCATATTATTTTTCAGTTGTTGCACTTTTTAAAAATATATAACACTGGTAAGATGTCAGATAATAAGATAAGGTTTCTCAAATCTTGTGGACCATTGTGTAAAATCTCCAAATTAAAAGCTTTTTTTTTTTTATTGCAAGTAGAATAAAATAAAGTTCCTGCAAACTTTTGCATAGACTTCCTTGGTGTTTCCACCTTACAGTCTGTCGCCCCCTACTGTCTAATAACAGTAGTAACTAACGGATATATCTTTACAGAGAAACCCACTAAAAAAAACATGCAAACACCCCACAGATAAAGGACACAACGGGAATTGGAACCAGGCCTCGTTGCCAATCATGACACACATCCTGAAAAAACTTTCTGCGGTTCAACTTTAGCCAGAGCGGAATGAACCATACCGGAAATAAACCGGAAGTCTCTCACCTTCAAATGAAGGTTCGTAAAGTCGTTTTATCGTTGTGAATCAATCTCAGAAAGATAGCCACAGTGTAGATATATGTCATATTTATCAAGGTAAAGGATGCGTGATAATTTTTTACAACGTTGAAATATTCACAGGGACGCACTTCTTGTAGAGAATGACATATACTTTGAAAAAAGAAAACCGGAAGCGGGTCCCGTTTTTCGAGCCAGGTTTTGTCCCGGTTAGCTTGACAGCCACGTCACCTCCTCCAACAGTGCTCCCCTTTGACTTCTACATACCCAAAAGAGGAGTTTGTGGGGGGAAACTTGCACATAGTTTACCTGTTTCCATACGCAAGCTTAAAAAGGAAGCCAACAAACCGCCGGACGTTCCGTGCGCAGCTTTAGCTTCTTTTTCATCACCTAATCTCATCAGCGCTGGGGTTTGTTTGCCTTTTTTTTCCTGCCTAAACCCCTCCGAACTGCGTCCGGCAGAGGCCTGTGAGGAGTCTGGAAGTTTGTGTTGTCACCGCGAAACAGTATCACCATGAATGTCTTTCGTCTGGCCGGTGACGTGTCGCATTTGGTGGCTATCATCATCCTGTTACTGAAGATATGGAGGTCAAAATCCTGCGCCGGTAAGATGTCATTAACGCAAACAAAGTCTGCAGCTATTCTCTGCTGTTTTATCTGTCCAGCCTGACAGGACGTAAATGCAGACGGCTGTACCTCAGTGTTTACAGATACACATTCCAGGGGGGGGGTTAAGGTTCTGCAGATAATAGTGTGGAGGGTATTTAAATAGTAGTAGTGAACTTCTGCAGAAGTGGAGGCTACGTGGCATTGTTAGCAAAGCTGGGGGCTCCCTTCCTCACTTTACAAACAGCATGCAGTCATCATTAAAGCAACAAGCTGGGAGAAATGGAACTGCTCTCATTTTGAGATCACATATTGAGGTCATCTGCTTTCAACTGCCATTGAAATTGATCAGTTAATTATTTTCTTTTGTTTTGGTTTGACTTGTAGGCATCTCTGGGAAGTCCCAGCTGCTGTTTGCACTCGTGTTCACCACCAGGTATCTTGACCTATTCACGGCGTTCATTTCGGCTTACAACACAGTGATGAAGGTGAGGCTGAAGACATCACGCTGTTTCACACAGAAGCAAAACGGGCATGCGTTCTTGCCTGGAAGACCGAGGAGTTAAGTTTTTTTGTTTTTTTTTGCTGGCAGGTGGTGTTTCTTGCTCTGTCCTACGCCACCGTGCATCTGATCTACATGCGCTTCAAGAACACGTACGATTCAGAGAACGACACGTTCCGTGTGGAGTTCCTGCTGATACCTGTCATCGGGCTGTCCTTCCTGGAGAACTATGCTTTCACACCCATGGAGGTAAAGAAGTAGAAGTGCAGTGCTGGGGAATCGATTATTTAAAGCAAAAATGCTTCTGTCTTACATGGAAATCAAAGTTTTATTAACCTATTGCTTCCCCCTTTCCTTGTGACTCCATCCAGGTCCTGTGGACCTTCTCCATTTTCCTGGAGGCGGTGGCTATAATGCCCCAGCTCTTCATGATCACCAAGACGGGCGAGGCAGAGTCTATCACCACCCACTATCTGTTCTTCCTTGGCCTATACAGAGCTCTCTACATAGCCAACTGGGTATGGCGCTACCACACGGAGGGCTTCTTTGACCAGATCGCCGTCGTGTCTGGAGTTGTGCAAACCATCTTCTACTGCGACTTCTTCTACCTTTATGTCACGAAGGGTAAGTATAAACTTGCGAATCTGATACTTCTGGATAAGGGTGACGAACGTTTGTTTGAAAAGGGTAAACCAAGGAGTGGTGAAGGCTGAGAATCGTTTGTTTTCTTCCTGTCTTCAGTGCTCCGCGGAAAAGGAAAGATGAGCCTTCCCATGCCAGTTTAAGAAGGACGCCTGTGCTGTAGTCACCCACCAGTGCCTGCCAATGATCTGCGTATGAGCACATGCTTGGGCCTTCAACTGTACTCACAGTTAACAGTGGGACTAACGGTCTGACATCCCTCTGTAGACCAAAATGAATAGGTTTTATGATGGATTGCAACTTTAAAGGTGTTTGATTCTAACCGTGCAAACAGTAAATGCTGTGCATGGTTTTGTGTCTGTCTTTTTGTTGATATTGTTGTTTAGTTTTTTTCCCCTCCTGTCTGTAAAGTACAAGTGTGACACTGGATGTGTGTCGCTGAAGTGCGCAAAGTAATGGCATGGAAACTGTTCTTTTTTTTTTTTTCCCCATCAGACACTGCTTATCACTCCTTCCAGAGACAGTTAAAGTGACATAAACTTGTTTGTGGTACTCTTTGAAAGTTGAACCCACAAAAAAAGCACCTGACCTAGGCTTCAGAATTTGCTCTCAGAACTCAGGTGGTTTATATGCAGTTGCATTGTCCACACAAAAAAAAAAAAAAAAAAGCCATTTTCCGATGTTACAGTTGTGAGTGTTCTCCTGTTAAAGGGCCCAGAAAACCAAACTTAAGGTTTTTTTTCTCTAGTACCTACTCAGCACATCATCGCCGTGATGCCATTCATTCGCATATAAATGATGTGACAGACTGGTCGGCCCGCTTTTTTTCTTAGGAGCTCATTTGTAATGGAGAGCTGAGTATGTACTAATGCAAAAGCCCTATTAGTTTTAATATATGATGTATTTGTAAATCCAGTGTCTTCCTCTCACTCTAGACACTCAGACTGTATTATATGCAGCTCCTTTCCTTATTGCCAAGTTTGTTCTTTTTTTTTTCTTTTGTACTTCTTATGTTTTGTCTCTCGAATTTCAATATAATTCTAAAGGAAAAAGGGATAAATATCTTGTCTTGTTATATATGAAACCAAAACTGAAGCAGGTAGCCTTTTTCTAGTGTTTTAAACAATAGTTTAAAACGTTGCAGGAGTTGTGGGAGTTAAGCTGATTGTAGCCTTTGTAGAGCTGTTTTTAGAAAAAAATGGGGAAAAACAGATAAAAATACTTCCTGAGCATGATGATAACTAACCCCACTTTTACTGAAATACAGAGATCACAGGACATTTCTCTTACGTTGTCTTTATTGTTTCCAGGAGGAATCTAAAGTGAAAGGTGTGGCTCTGCTCCTTGTTTGCTGTTCTTAAGGTCTGAAAAAGAAGGATGTTTACCTTTGTGTGAAGCCTACACTCGCCCAAATGCTTTAAAAAAAAGATTATAATCAGTGTGTGGTCTTAAAGTGCCTGTGCTGATGTATGGAGACTTTATAGCATCTTGATTTATGTGATTTGGGGACGGCGTGGGGAAAAAAGGGGGAAGACGAAAGGCAGGGAGTTTTCCTTGAGGACGTCTCGTCCCAGTCAAACCGTCCTCAGCGCAGTAGGGTTTTTTTGTGTTTGGATAGCACCTTACTTCCTTCTCTCACCGCCCCTCCCACCACTTTTGCCGCTGATCTGATGCAGAGCGGGGACGCTGCCAGGGCCGCGGCCTTCTCCACCACCTTCACCTTCTTCACAGCTTTCCCTTTCCCCCCGTCTTTAGCCATGATCCCGGCCCCCTCTGCGGCCCCTCTCCCCAGCGCAGTCACCAGCTCGCACCAGAAAAGCCTCTCGGCCCTCTTCCTCGCCTCCTCTTCTTCATCTTTCGTCCTCATTTTGTCCAAGTCGGCCCCCTTCTGGCTCTCATCATCAGTGTCCTTCTGAAGGGGCTCCGCTTTGAGTCCTCTTTCCCCCCAAATCCTCTGCTGTGCCTCCCTTATGGTGCGCTGGGCGTCCATGAACATTTCTTTGCTGTAGCCGGCTCCTTTGTTCTTCTTCACCATCATGTCCATTTTGACGAGCAGTTGCCGGACTTGTTCGGAACAGCCTTCTGCTTCCTCCTGACCGCCATTTTCAAAGACGTGGAACCCGCCATGGCAGCTGTTGACAAACTCTGACAGCTCAGGACTCTCTTCCATGAAGTCCTGAACACATTTCCCCTTTAGCCGGTCCCCCCGGGTGAACAGCACCATTGTAAACCTGGAGACCTCGGGCCCAAACACGGCCTTGATCCACTCCAGGGTTTCTCTCTCCTCCTGGGTAAACCTCCCGATCGGCAGGTTCACCAAGAAGACGTGGGGTCCCGGAGGGTACAACGTAACACACCGCCCAACCTCGGCCAGAACCTCCTGATGGGGGAGGCGTGTGTGGAAAAAGCCCGGCGTGTCGACGACAGACACGCGGCGCCCCCCCACCGTCCCGGTCTGCCTCTGGCACCGCGCCGTGACGGAGGAGGGGGACACGTCCACCCAGAAGGCGGCCCTGCCCAGTATGGTGTTCCCCGAAGAGCTTCTTCCTGCTCCAGTCCTGCCCAGCAGAGCCATCATCAGAGGTTCAGAATCTGATGTGTGAGGTGATCCATCTCTGGCTGTTCAACACATACAAACAACGTACATAATGTCAATTTTAATTTGACTTACCTGGCACCATCTTACATGTTCCATAGAGAAACAGGGGATGGAATATATGTAAACAATAGATTTTCCATCTTACACCTGCAAATAGTTTAAGCTGATATATATTTTGAAGGTGGAAAAAAGATTATTAGCGCGATTAGTCCCGACCACTGATCCTGCAAAATGACCAAAGCAAGACCTACCGTCATGTGACGCAGCACTTTCAGACGACATCCCCACGAACAATTTTCTTTATAATAAAGGTTCAAAATGTTGGGATGCAGCTTCTACACGTTCAGGCTGAATGTTACCTTTTTTTTGTCCAGCAGTTCTGACCGGATGATTTAATATCCTCTAAATCGCGCAGCACATCGGCGCGCAGCTGCAGACTTTGTGACGCATATTGTGAACCCCCGAATTAAAGGGAAGCAAAAGTTGTTTAACAGAGAATTAGATAAATTATTAAGGATTACATTTTTAAAAAATGCTTTCATCGCAACGTAATATATTTTCAAAAAGTCCCTGCAATTTCTAATTAAGACTACTATAATAAGATGATTAAAAAGGGAGGGATGCAGTTTTGTACCTCTAAATATTGACCACTGGAGGGCAGTAGAAATAAATAAAAATAACTGTCCTAAATGTTTTGCAGACATTTATATTCATTTATATTCCTTTTTATCAACTGTGCACTCCCAGAAAAAACACCAAACTGTACCTTTAGGGGTCCAAAGACTGGTCTCTGTGGTGGTACCCTTAAAGGTCCAGATGTTGTACCTTTGATTCCATTTGATATTTGAGAACATATGTACCTTTCAAAGTACAAATATTTGACTTCAGTTTAGTTGGTTCAGTTATTAACCATATAGGACATATATGTTGAGAGAGGAGACATAACTACATAACTTTTTTCCCGTTGTCCATCTTCTGGAAATGTACCCTAAAACCATCTACAATACTACATATAATTACCAATTATTGCTTGGGAACATTTATTTACGTGTCAGGCCCCATAAAAGGTACAAATAAGGGCCTTCAGGTTGAATTGTGAGACCCACTGGGGTACATTTGTCCAGATATAACTCAGAGTATAGAAATGTACTCATACCGTAGCCCTGTTTTGGAAAGTGTGCATTTTTGACGGACTACAACCAGAGCCAAAGCTTTACAAATGCTAACAAATGCAGTGAAAAAGACAAAACACCCACACGTATTAAACTAACTCATTGAGTGTTCAGATGGTTTGCTGAAGCAACTTAAATGTACAAAACCAGGCAAATGAAAAATAATTTTATAACGTGCGAAATCAATGCTCAAAGAAGAAGTTTATTCAAAGTTTCATGCAGATTATTTTCTAACCTTCGGCACATGTTAAACATTCTTCTATGGATATATATATTCTCATGCTTGGGGTCATGGGCCCAGGGCCTGAACAGCTCAGTAGGTACCTTTTTTGACTGACAATCCGAATGGCTCAGTGGAGATCATTAGATTCTTTTTCCTCTTGGTTTCAGATTCTCTAGTGTGCCTTCTCAGATGGGTAGGCAGAGCTGTGAGTCATTTCTTGGCATCCACGAGATATCTCTGAACAAAATGCCTCATGTTGTCCCGACCAACAGTAAAGAAGAATTAATGACATCAGTCACACTCCTATAGCTTGCATACATTTGCTCCAGGCACAAAGAAAAAAAGGAGGCCATATGCAAATTTTTGCCAAACAATTCCGTAATCAACTAATTTCCCAATCCATCTGAATCTTTCCTCCACTTTTCTGTTCCTGTGTCTGGCACTTGTCCCTGAAATGTAACCAGACTGTCAAGAATGATAGGAATGCGTTACTTTGTTGAGGGCAAGAAAAGTGTAGAAAAGAACCTTTCAACACAGCCCCTTTTGTCTTTTCAACCACTTAGTTAAGTCGTCTTGCTACATTAGAGTGCTGCTATGTGTAACCTTTACAATATGCTAAAGCTATCTATCTAGGGAGGCAACATCATAGAGAGTCTTCTATCTGGCAACATATAGAGAAAGCCAATACTTCACTGTCAGACCGTATCAATGATGTGCAAAGGTTAATGGGGTCCGACTTCTCTTGCGTGCTATCGTTGTAAATAAAGATGCATGCTCAGCAATCTTTTTTTTTTATCCTCACCAATACCCTATTTCATTTTTATGTTGGTTCATTACATACGATTAAAAAAAAACAACTTTCTTTCAAAGGGTGCCATTGTAAAAACAAAAGGTAACTCTGTATACGACAGTGTGATCATGTACTTGTTTGCACTGCTTCTTTTTCGAGTAACATCCCACACCACATAAATTCGATGCTTATCTTTTTGTGCATTTGTTTAACTCATATTGCCACCATTTGTGTAATAAATGGAAAAACTATCACGTAAGCAAACTACATACTGTGAGTGTTTCTGTACAGATAGATTTTATTGTTAGACTTTGGCTTAACTTCTATCTTTCGTTCTTTGCATTTTTATCTATGTGTTAAACATCTGTAAACACACACAAAAACACACACACAGACACAAATTGCACCAATATACCAGTATTTAAGACATTTCAGCCCCAAACTGAATTGAATGTTGCAATCAATTTCAACAAAGTTTGAATAAAAGGACCATTACATGCTTCAGAACACACCATTCTAGATTAAAACCCATCAAGGCGATTCACAAATAAACTCTATCTGTCCACATGTTGAAACAAAGATTTTAAGATGAATTGCACATGGCCACACACACTCGTTCCAGCCTATCAAATCTTTTGGTAATAGTTATGTAGCAAAATCAGCAAATGGTCACTTGAGGATTACAAAGCTTTGGAGCTTGGTCGATTATTCTTTCAATTAAAATAGAAAGTTACTGCGAGTTGTTCTCTAAAAGAACAAGAGATAGGTCATGCACCTGTTAACTGGTTAGCCGTCACTTTATGTATGTAAAGGTTTGTGTATAAATGTTATACTGAGAATGTAAAATTCCATATAATACCACTATATTATCAAAAGTAAAAAGGTTGTGCATGTGTCATTTCAGCTGCACATGAAAATATGCCATTAAGCCGTTCATAGGCTTCAATTGAAATATCTCCATTTTACTCAGTTGTATGAAGTTCGTTTATATTATAATCTCCACTGTAGCTTTGTGTTGTAGTGAGCAGTGGATTGCCAACATCTATAGCTTATTCTCACTCGACAAGGTTGAGTTCACTTCAGATTTGGCAAAAGACCCAGATGTGTGCAAAAAAAACTCACACATCCAGTGCAGTAGTTTGGTTTTCATTTGTGGTACTCTTTGAAAAATTGATATTGCTGATGTCTTCAAGGAAGGAGTATCTACTTATTGAGTGTTCCCCAGTTTCTGCAATGGTTCCTGTTAACTGAGTGGCTAAAGGAAAACATGTCTGTGTCAATTTCAGATTGACTTTCCATTGCTGAAGTGAGTGTGCTACGGCCTTAGTCAGCAGTGATTCAAGCTGATATCAGGATGAACTGTTAGAGGATCTGTCCCACTCCACCTGGCCTCTCACTCGAAACCATGCTCCCTTTCCAGGAGCCTGCTGTGTCATTGAATCCCCTGGGGGAACCTCCCGGCCCGAAATGGGTACATCATCGCTTGCATCATTCGCTGTGCTAAAAGAGGCGGCCTCTTCTTCCTCTAAAACCATGTTCTCACAGCATGTCTTGCTAAGACTGCAGCTGCTGTTGTTATATTCCAGGCTGAGCTGCGACGAGCCTTCCTCCCCACTCATCAAGTTGGAACTCCCAAAGTCAAACACGGTGTTGCTCTCACCGATCCCCAGTCCAAAGCTCTCCAGCATGTCCATTACAGTTGGCGATGACGGCCCAGCGGGGATCTCTTCCTCAATAAGACTCAGGGTGGGCAGGATGTCCACCAACTCTGCCATCTCCATGGGCCGGATGACCTCAGTGATGCTGGAAGGAAAGTCCAGTTCGCTGTCGTAGGACACCTGTGTGTCCAGAACTGCATATCCTGCTTCCAGCTGTGCGGCGGCAGCAGCAGCTGGCTCCAGCCCAAAGTCCATTAAAGTGCCTGTGCATCCACTCTCTGACTGGCCGAGGCTCGTGAGGTCGGTTGTTGACTGAGAGCTCATATCCACGGGGTACCCTCCCTTCACAACACCCTCCATTAACACCATAGCGGCCCCCTCAGGACCAGCTGTACTTCCCTCTGATGCAGAGAACTTGGCAGCGTCTGGTGAAAGCGCCCTCATGGAATTTTCTGAAAACATTAAAAAAAGCACATTTGGAAAAAGATGAGGAGGAATTCGCAACACGTACAGCATGCTTTTGATTGGCCTGTCTAGATATTTAGTGTGCAGTTAGATTAGGTTAGGGTTATTTTGCTCCTCAGCACTTAAACTTGACCTGGATTCCATCTGCTCGCTTTCATTTCTTAGTATGTTTGAGTAATGTTTGAGGTGTAGGATTGATCAAACATGGAAGATTTCTACCAACTATTGGGTTCTGAAAAGAACATAGTTGAAATCCTGACACGTTGTGTAACACCATGGAAGGTAAAAGGGTCAGGCAGTCAGGTGCTGATAATCACTTAGTTTATACTGATAGCTGATGATCAGCCAATATGAACCCTTCTATGAAAGCAGACATTTGCTGGGCCGAGCATTAAACTGTTTGCACACATAATGTCAAGGAGGAACGGGACCAGCAATAATGTTAGAGAGTCAAATGTTGCTGTCAATCGATCTAGGAAGTGTGATATAATTATTTCCCATCAATCAACAATTTAAAAAAAATCACAATACATGAATTTGGTCAAGCTTTCCAAAAGGGAAAACATCCCAGCAATTTCACCCCATGGTAAGACAGGATAATGCTACATAATGAGTAGCAACAACTAAGACTCTAAAGGCCTCAGGTAACACGTTAAAGTTTAATGTTCATGACAGTATAGTTAGAAAAATACTTCACCTGTTTCGGGTTGATATCTATCTAATTCAAATATCATTTAAGGGTAAGACTACTTTTGAAAATATCCTGACTTGAAAAAATCTAGGAACTGGGAAGAGTTCTGACTTATTTTCGCGTCACTGTACAGTACTTCCACTTCCTTACACTACCTTTGATGACTCTTCGTGTTTGCATCCGATGTGGCCACGTTAGCCTGGCAGTCAAACATTCCTCCTCTTCTTCACCATCAGGACACGGTGGGGGGTCCCCTCCCATCACCAGGCCCAGAGGCACCGCCCCCACCCACTGTTTGGACCGGACACACTGCAGACAGTCCATAATCCAGCGGGCGTCCCTCCAAACCATATCCAGGCGCTTGAGAAACAAGACAAAGGAAAAACAACAGAACTGAATCAATTTCAGTGTTGACCAGCTCAGAGGGGAAGCCGTTGTCTCTTATTTACATCCATCATTACATCATAAACATTCAAACAAGATTAGACGTAAAACTTTGAGCCAAGTACGTAGATTATATATATACATATATATATATACTGTACATATAATTTATTCTACATATATATGTATCTATCCCACAGCAACTATGTATTAATATGTGTTTTGTACTGTTTTCGATAACTCACACTAGAAAGCTCAGTGATGTTGTTCAGCCGTTCTCTGGCCTCCTGCACCTCCTTGGTGTCCAGAGCCTCACGCAGCGCTTGCTGGGCCAGATGAGTGTCCAGTTCCAGCCTTACCCAGGCCTGGCAGTACTGACAGAGGAAATCCCGCTCATATGTCCAGAAGTGAACTGGTAAAATCACAGACGAGAGAAATGACAAATCACTTTGTTTTAGAACGCTTCACAGCACATTGTTGCGCTCCAGTGAATTTTCAATCCTTTTTTTGTGCAGGAAAAGTAGGCCCAGGATAAATGGGAATTCATTTAGCCAAGTGATCCCAAAGTTTGATTTATGTTATTCCATTTTTCAATGGTTTCTGGGTAACCTTTTACGATACTTAAATATATTTCCTTTAAATTTTAAGATAATGATACTCTTTGATCTTAATGGGATGTTAAAGAAATATTATGTCTCTAACATTTTTCTTTAGAATCATTACTGTTGGCTGCACAGTGGTGTGGTGGTTTGCTCTGTCTCCTCAGAGCAGGAGGGTTCCTGGTTCAAATCCTTTGGGGACAGTGATCTTTCTGTTTCGAGTTTGCATGTTCTCCCTGAGTACTCTGGCTTTCTCCCACTGTCCACAAACATGTGAATGTTTGTCTCTGTGTGGCCCTGTGATGGACTGGTAAGACTGGACAGGGTGCATTCTGCCGCTCACTCTATTTCTACTGAATTTAATAAAGAAGACACCTTGCCGATATTCGTGGATAAGGTTTTTTCCCAGATATTTTAGTCTAGCCTTGAGGTTCAAAGCAGCGAAACTCCCTCCCATGACTATTAATTTTCTGCCGATGGCATCGCCTCTCCTCTGTCCATTTTATTTGACACTATTCGAAAATCACTACCTTTTAGCTTACCCAGTTCAAAGATCTGCAGGGGCATGGTGAGGCCGGGCTCCTTGGTTCCTACCAGAGGCCAGTAACTGGAGCTGAAGTCTTCACTTGGAGGTAGGAGAAGCAGCATGGACAGCTTTTCACCAAACTGCAGCAGCTCCCGGGTGTACACCCCATACTGATATGCCTGGCAGAAACACAGTGAATGACGGATGCAATTATCAAAAGGAATATTAGAGGGCCCATTTCGAGTTGAATTTCTATGGGTCATATGTTTCACGTTGAGGTTTGATCTAATGTAATCATAAAAACTGACAAGATTTAGGTTTTCTTATTCCTCTAAAACAACAATAAAAGAGTCAGATATTTAGATGGCTGCAGTTTTGCCAGCTTTACCCTGTAGAGGGGGATGTTGAGCTTTGTCAGGAGGTGCGTGACTGCTGCTCTCAGGGACCTAACAAATTCCGCCAGACTGCTGCTCTCCACTGAGCTCTCGTCCTCACTGTTCAACAAGTTCTGGACACTGCCGTTCTGTGCAGCGTAAACGTGACTCTGGAGCCACGCCCACTCCTCTCTGTGACATGGTGAGGTCAACAAAACAAGGCAAGAACCCATCAAACAAGGAACAAAAACACAGTATCCTTTCATGGCGTTGCTCTATGGTGGGATATTTTCTTGTGTAGAGCATTTTGAATGGTGAAATTGTGTTACCTGGACACATGAGCGTTGTGTCGGACCCGTGTATGGCAGAGTAGGTTAGGTAGCCTCTGAGGCACCAGTACCCGGATCTGTTCCACCGAGCTGCACAGCTTCAGGATTCCCACGTACAGACCCGGCTGGGTCCACTGTATGCTGTGTCTGTGGAAGGACAGCTTCTCCTGGAGAGAACACAGTGTTCAGTGGTAGATGTTATCACACACGTTAACTGGCTTTTATCTCATTTTCCATTTCCCTCTTTTTGGTTTCGGGCTCATAAATACGATCCATTATCACATGCAAAACAGGAGACAAAATTTTATCTCAGCTAAACTCAGCTCAGCACTCCTGTGATGTGGCTTTCTGTACATCCATTAGTAAAACACAAACTCACCTTCAGCTGTTCGTAGAGCATGTCCATGGCGGTGGGCTCAGGCAGCAGAGGAGTTCTGCTGCGGTTCTTGTCCAGGCGGGCCAGAGGTATCCAGTGGAAAGGCGGCTCAGGAGGGCTGGGGATGAGAAGTAGAGAAAAAACTATTAAATGCAACTGCGGGAAAAAGCTATTAAAATTACAGCATTTGAGGAGACAAGTCCATACAGATGTCTGATTTAGGAAATTATCATCCCTAAGCGAGAGGGGAAAAAAGTATAACATAGGGACTGAAAAGTGATGGGGTGAATCTTTGTCCTTCAAAGAGAAGACAGAAGTTAAATGGTTGATTCAATAATTCCTGCTCTTTGTGGGGGGGGGGCATTGATGTCCGACAGGTATTAACAGGATCTGACACAAGACTGTTTCTCACTTTGAAGGGTTTGGGAATTCCTTCAGGGTCACGAGCAGCACGTTTCCCTGCCGGTCCTTGAGGGGTTCGTAGTACACCTGACCCAGGTCCATCATTCCTAGAGAAGACTGAACACAGGCAACAATGCAGAGAAAGCAAAAGTCTGAGCATCCATGCTGTGAAACACAGGTTCTGCATATGAAGGTGCATTGTTAAGTAGGCTGACTGAGGACAGCAAAAAAAGAGAAGGTTGAGAAGTAGAAAAGCTGTAATTCAAAGGCAAGTGATTATTTCGTATGTGCCTTATCTTGACAATAAGCAGCTTGAGTTCCTACCTGCAGCTGGGAGACAGCTCTTAAAATGTTGTGCCGGTTTTGAAGGAGGGAGGAGGGAGACGAGTGAGCAGCAGAGAGGCCTTGCTGGAGCCAAGGTACTTGCTGCCATGCACAGGACAACTACAAATAAAGACATCCTGGTGCTTTAATCTGCATTTCATGTGCAGGGATTTCTCATAAATCCAGACAATGAGTCACACTGATAGATAAGTGTAATATTCCTGCATAGCTGTAGCTAAGAGGATGAGCCGGCGTATGCTCACTTTGGCAAACCAAAGGAAGTCATTAGTGATCGAGGTGGAGCAGCACTGGATCTCCACGAGTGGGATCTGATCTTCAGCTGTCACCAGGATGTTGTCCTTGTGGTAGAATACAGTGGCCAAGTACACACCCCTGGTGAAATCAACACACGATACAGACAACCGGCAATCAAAAAGAAATATGATGTAATCAGAGAACATTCCACTCCCAAAAAAACAACAAATACATCAAGAAAATAAAATGCACTGAAATACTAACACTATAACAAAAAGTCTAGCCTCTTTTATAGTGTTACAGATACAGTGATCTGTGAGAGTGGAACTGTGATGGTTGGAAGCAGGAAAAAAAGCGTTCACATACTGTGATTTCAACTAGCATCTGGTTCAAAAGATCTGTTCACTGCTCTTGAAGCTACAGCAGCTCTGATGTGAAAACACAAGGGTTTAGACTTCCTCTTTGTGTTGCCACAGTTTTGTAATCAAATCAAACTGAATCCATCTCTCCTTATAACCCTAAGGCATGGTGAGACAGGTAAGACAGATGATTGCTACCTTTGTAGAAGACGAACAAACTTGGTGGCAGACTGGAAAAGTTGTTTGATGCCCCGAGACACTGACAGGCGCTTGCTGGGACTCAGGGGTTTCGAGTCCTCTGAGGAATGGAGCAGAAGAGTGCCATATTACATGAAAATCACTTCATCTGCAAAAATATATTTCCTGTCAAATCGAAGGATATTTAGGTGAAGATAGTGACACAAAGAGTGGTGTGAACCATGAATAATATCCTGGATGCTTAATCAATCACATAAATAAATATATTGGCATCCGTGTATTTCTGGCCACTTCATACATGTATTTAAAATGTAATTGTGCACTTGTTATTTGCGAATGATAAAGAAGTCATATTCGTTTTCTGATCACACTTGAAAAGCATCATGTGTCCACATCTGAATGCTGAAAATTGTATTAAAAACGCAAGAAGTCAAATCAGATAAAAATAATCAAGGTATATCTGTTTCAGAAGCAGCTCTACTGTTTTTGGTAAAACCTGTTTTTTAGCGTAATGCAAATATGTTTAATTTTTAAATAAATGAAGACTTAATTTTTATGTGCATTTGGTTTTTGGTGCATAAACAATATAGAGCTAGAACCGTAGCTACTTAATTAAACACTCCAGTGTTACCTATGCAATAGCCTCTGTATTCTGACTGTTTGGCATCTTCCAGCAGTTTCCTCACCAGGCCCTCATGGTTCCTGAACTGTGACTTTACACCAACACATTCTCTCCAACCTGCAAAGAGGAGGCAAAACAGAGACATAACGTCACTTTCATTTGTATGCAGTCAGGGAAAAATCATTAAAATGCCAAGAAGCAATTTGAAGACAAGTCATGAGTGCTGGTCTTTTTTTATGTCTATTTCTTATTTCTAATAAGGATAAGGAAGCAGGAGTGCCTTAACAGTTTCTGCATTAATTCACTTTGAAGCACAGCAACCATGTCTGCTCAAGTTGAATTAGACTTTTCAGTTATTCCCTGTTATCTAGCAAGTTACACATCACTATTAACTATGTTATCTGTGTTATTATTTGTTAGAAGAATATTTTTACTCTCTGCCTAGTTGCAATCACTATGTAGAATTCTTTATTTGTTTGACAGTATAAAGTAGAGGGTAAGAGCATGCAATGCAGCAAAAGACTGAGATTGTAACCAAGACTGGAGGCAACACGGGTTCTAAGCCCATTGATGCACAATGACATACTCAATTCACAATGTTTTGAGAATACATAAGACTACCAACCAGTAGACTTCACTTTCTGAATCTCTCAGCATAAAACTTTGCTTAGCTTGTCAGCTAAGTAATTTCAGAACCCGGGGGGCAGAGACAAAAATAACGATGGTCTTTCCAAGCCATAAATCTCCTTTCATCAGAGTTTTGTAATGCAGTCTACTCACTAGAGGGAGCCGCGCTGACTGGAGTAGAACACTGAGGCAGTCCCCATCCTTTCACGTTGTAGGCACTCACTCTTACAAAGTAATGCACTCCCTGTGTTTGGAGAAGCACCAGACCGCCAAATTATCACCATGCATTAACCTCACCAACCATCCATTCCAGGACAAAGAAATAACAGAGCGCTCTCATTATTAATTCATCTGCTGGAGTAAGGCTGTTGAATAGTGTTCTCTTGTGGAAAGTGGTCAAATACAGTAGATGATTGAGGTAATAAATACAGTCGGTATGACGGCCAAGAAATGCTGCAGGGATGCATCATCAGTATAATTATCTGGTGTTAGTTTCTAGTCGTAGCTGGTGTGTGTTTGTGTGTGCTGCTTAACTCACCGCAGTCAATCCCTTGATTATATAGGAGGGATTCTTGGTCTCTGTAACTTGGGCTGTACCGAGAACGCGTTTGAAGCTGGCCGAGGTGCTCCACTCCACTGTAAGCAAAAACAATCCCACTGACAAATTTGTCTCTGGATTTGCCCAAAACCCCAACGAGGGAGAACTAAGAAGAGGATTAGTTACAGTTTGAGGAACGTGGTCTACTTAAGCTTAATGTACTCCTGGCTATGAAGTCAGATAGCATGCCTATGGTAAAGCCTAAACCAAATGCATGACTAAAGGTTCATTCAGTCCAGCTTTTACAACGAGTGTGACTTAGTTTTTCTTGCACCACAGCTATTTTTATTCTTTCCCTGACTCCATTAAAAATGGTCCATTCTTTGTCACAGCTAGCATGCCTATCAAATCATTTGTCCCTTATACAGTTATATAAAAAGGTAAGTACACACCCTCTGTCATTTTTATGGCTTTAGTTATGAGGGAATAATAACACCTTACTACAGCATAAATAACTTATCAGATAAGCAACAATGCACTGTCATTATTTATTCAACAAAGAATGCACAAGCGGTGTGCCAAAAATACAAAGTGCATCCAGTTCGGTGCCTTGTGGAACCAGAATGTAATTTTTTTTCTACAAGTTGTTTTTCATTTGATCCCGTTCTGCTTTACAACATTGCTGCGGTTAATTTAACGTTTGCATCATTCCTTTATGCGTGTTGCATAAAGAACTGTCTCAAAGATCCTACCACAAGTTGAGGTCAGGAAGATTTGTAACACCTCGACTGATTTCTTTTTCACACGTTCCGCTGTAGATTTGTTGCTGCATGTGGACTGATTGATCCGTTGATGACCCAGTATCAGCCAAGCGGGCCTTATATTTGGCTCTGGAATACTTTTATAGTTTCATGGTGGACTCAATAACTTCAAGGTGTGCGGGTCCGGTTGTTGCAAAATAAGCCCAAATCATCAGCCACTGTGCTTTACATTTGGTAAGAATTATTTGTAGTGACATGCTGAGTTTAGATTGTGTTTTCAAATGTTGGTTTTTGGTCTTGGAAGCAACATTGTAAACCCAAGCCATGCCGCCATGTTCTTTAAAGACAGGCTATACCTTGCACCAATCGTAGCATCACTGTAATCTCAGGAGTTTTAACATTTAACACAATTACTGTGGACATTAGTCTGAGATGTAACTTTTTTTTCAGTTTTTCAGTCTGACATCTCACCACTCATCTTTATATCAGATGAGTTTTTGTTTAATAAATAATGACATAATTCAAATTAAATTACTTTTTTTGGTCATGTCTTGATACTTGACATTTCATGTTAAAAAAGCCTACATTCAGTAACTTCTATTTTCAGTATCAGTATTTCAATCTCAGCTTGCCTCTGTAGCGGGTGATGAGCCCCATGGTGACCCCCTCTGGCTCTTTGATCACCACACACAGAGAAGATATGCTGGTTATCAAAATGGACACGTGACTGGGAGGTCCAGGGAGCTCTAGGAGATATGGTCAAAAGAGAAACTGGTTTTAATAATAAGCAACATGTAACATGAAAAGCAAATGTTGTACAAAATAATCAGAATCAACAAGTACCAGTGTTTTACAATTGAAAAAATGGACCAAAAAACATTTTAAATGCAGAAATACAATAGTGTGAGTTCTGACTTAGCGCTTACACAATTAGTCATGATAAATTGAATATCGTTTTGTGGCCTTCAACCTAATGAACTAGCCTTGCTACCTATTGCTCCTTTGAGGCTTGCTGTTCTTCCAAAGCACTGAGGCAGCAGTTAATTGTTATCAAAACTTTAACGCTGGTTCAGAGTCTCTATTTTGTGATCGAATCTACGTGTGTTATGCCCACAAAGACTGCACAAAGGCTTCTTTAGTTAACTTCAACTTTGATATGAACAAATACAATTCAAGTCATACGCCTGTGGCAAAAATAAATGTGTATTCTAGATGTTAAGAATTTAGCCGAACCCCATTTCCTCATAGATTTATAATGAAAGTATGATTAATTTCAGTGCGCACAAAAAGCAAACCTGGGGCCATTTTGCCCCCCAACAGTGCGACAATAAAATAGTCCGGGAGAAGAACAGGAGGTCCTGAAAAAACTACTAGATATAGTACAAATTGGGCATGCATTGCAATACTCAACAAAAACCAAACCCCTTTACAAATTCAACAGCTCGAGAGCCGGTAGAATAAAGGTGTGAGCAGACTAATGGAGAACGCGTAAAGCACCAGAGCCTTGAAAAGTTTCCCTGTGTAGATTATCCTCTTAACCAGTATCGAGGGTTTGTTTGATGACAGCCAGGGTAGGACTTGGGAGAATTGGGCAGGCCGATGACCAGGCAGTGTGTTGAATATAAAAAAGACACAAGTACAACTTCAGGAACGTGTCAGGGTGAATATTTGACCACTGTGGATTTGTCAGAAGTGATGGAGGACTTTGGTGAGGAGAGCTGGAGAAAAAAGCGCTGTTTAGAACTGAGATTTACAGACCATCTGTATCTAAACATCAAGGCTGTTAACGTGTCCATGTGGGCATTGTATTGAAAAACTCTTTATCCATTAAGCTGTCAGAGCACAGTACGGTCAGTTTGCAGAGCAACTTAGCAGAGCTTACTGGCCTGCAGTTGGGAATTTTAAAGCTGGAGCAAAACAGATTACCCCAGGCTAGCATTTAACAAACCATTAAGTAGCTGTGTGCTAAGACAAACAGTGTGGATTTGTTCATTACAGCTAAATGTGAGTCTCTCCTTTAGCTGCTTTTCTTCTTCTACCCCTTGTAAGTCTAATCTACTTGCTCATTGATGATATGACCCTGCTGTGTCGTGTGTGATTCAGAGAAGAAGCTTTGGGACACAGACACATAAGAGATTCGAACTCACTCTATTGCTGTAAGTGGAACAAATGCAATGAAAGAGATATTTTCATATTGAAAAAATAAGAGAGATTCATTGTTAAGAGTGCATTCAATGCCATAAAGCAGATTTGTAAGACGACTGTCTGAGTTTGTGTCCTGAGCTGATGAAATGCCACAAACCAGAACCACTGACCTGTGCTCTGGAAGTTTTCTCTCATCCGGCAGTACAGCTGCAGCCTCAGTCTCCAGAGACAAATCTGTCTCTGAGCGTCGGCCTGTGCCTGGGGCCCGACCACAGCTTTTCTCGCCAACTCGGACTTTCTCTCCTCAACTCGTTTACTTGCCAGTGTCACGAGAGCATCCAGCTTGGCTGACCACTCAACTGGCCGGGACACTGAGAGGTATGATAGTTGAGGCAAAAAACAATGGCACCGGAATAAGATTTTCACAGATTTAAAGTAATGTCTTACAAGAGATTATTCTATAATCATCGTTAGAATATTGAAATCCCAGAACTCACAGACAGGGTTATGTCTGGCTCCCGCCTTTGTCAGCACATGAAGCAGAGGCGAGTTGTGTGTGAGGGCAGCCACGTCCAGGGGAACCAGACCCTGTTCACTCACTCTGTTCACCCCCTTCTCCTTATCTCTCTCCCAATCTTTCTCTCTCTTCTCTCCTCGCTCCCAGATGCTTCCTCCTCCTCCTCCGGAGCTAGTGTGGTCTCTGGACAAAAGGCTCTGTACAGCCAAAGTGTCCTCATTTTCCACCGCCTCCCACAGGGTCTTGTACTAATGGGGAGAAGGAGAAAGGGTGCACATCCACACAGAAGGAAAGATAAAGAGATGGGGTTTTTACGTTGAAAGAGATTTATTTTTTTTCAAGGCTGCCTTGCAAGGTAAGAGATAATGAATGAGAGAGAAATACGGGACACATTTATCAAAGCAGCCCAAGAGAATGCATTCATTATGAGACCCAGAGCGTTTGCATATTACACTTATTAATATATAAAGGTGTATGCAAGACAGGGAAAAGGGCAATTTTCTTCCCCCCAAAACACTGCTTGTTTCTTTTGTGGAAGTCATTGGGGAATTCTTTACACTGCTATCCATACCACAGCAAAAGTTAGAAAGCAGGTGCAGTTGTGTTTGTCTACTGGGAGCAGATCAGACCTCTCCACAACGCACTGTGCGAGTCACAAGCTCCCACATACAAGCCGGCATAAGAACAGGCATTACCGGGCTAATAGCCATCTACTTTTTTTGTTTCTTAATGAAATAACCCAAAGATCAAAAAGTGGATCAGGCAGTCAAACTGTAATCCCTTTTATTAATACTCATCCTTGAGAGGAATACACTACAACTGCCAATGTGACTAAGATCATCAATCAATTCAATGCTGAATCCTTGAAAAGTCTAAAGCTAAAGGGAGTTTTAAAAAAAAAGCTGATCCTTTCCTTGGGAAGGCAATTCAAACAGTTATATCTGCAACTTATTCATCGTTTATATGGCTTTGCTGCTGTCTCTGAAAGTGTCACTGATATCTTTTTTTCCCAAAATGACTTCCTTTAGCTTTCAGAACAGATCTAACTGATCATTGTTCAGTTATCAGTGTTTAACAAATGCCAGTAAAAGTAACACATTGTAAATGCTAGTGTTTGTAAAAAACGATCTTATATCCAATCACACAAAAACATCTTACACTCTCTGGAGACTTGGTGGGTTTTTTGGTTGTGTCCACCACTGAGGCCACAGATGGTTCTCCTCCCCTCAGCCTGACAGACAGGTTCCTGTAGATACGCTTTGGGGAGACAGGGCCCAGGGAGCGCCGGCGCTGAGGCGGGTTCCTCACAGAAACAGACATGACAGAAGAGGAGGGGAACATCTGGGGAGCACAGGTGAGAGGTAAGGACAGGAAAAAAGAGAGTAAAAAAGTAGTTAAATAACTCAAGAAGCGTGAGTGGTTAGTACATTGAAAAAGATTAGCTCAAATCTCAGGGCCACTAAGCAAGGAATAAAAGGATTAAAAAAAGAAAAGCCCTGAGTAAAGCAGATAAAAATAATGACAGTGTGTAATAAAGAGATATTAAGTCACGTTGGCACATTTTATGCAGTAAAGACTACTTTCTGCTAAGTTTCTGCCAAGCACATAAATAATTGATAGAGAGTAACGATGATTGTTCATAATCAATGGAAGAAGCCTCTATTTTTGTACATCTTTTTATATGCTCTCTTTTGTTCCTCTTATAGCCCTCTTCATGTCTAGCTGAGTTCTCTTCACCCTGAGTGTGGTCTTCCACCACACAAAGCAATTTGATTAAACAAAGATTCTCAAAACTCGCATAGATTCTGGGTTCTTCTGTGTTATGATGAACTGCGATCACCTCATGTCATCAGCTTGAGGACAAATATCAATCAACAGAGCAGTAATCACGGTTCATCATCAGTTTCCTTTTCATAATTGCAGCCAGCCACTTTTGTGTCTGAAAATCTGTCTTATGGTCTTCTATTTTCACCCTCTGGGTACAATACAGTTCGTCACAGCGAGTCACTTATTTATCACTGTCTTTTTTATCCTCTCTTATTTCTTCGCTCTCTTTTCACAGGCGCACAATCTGGAGTTCTCATGCTGTTTCGATTCACGTCATGCCATGAGCATTTGGATACGAAGAGAACAGCTTCTCTGTAAAAGCGGGCTACTTAGACTTTGCCAGGTCCCCTTTGTTTGCTGCTTTCTAAACGAAAGCCTCAAATCTCTGATTTGGTTTTGTTCTTTTTTGTTTTTCGGCTTTCATCTCCCCATCTGACTGCACTGTCCCTGCGAGAAAGCAGATACTCCCCTGGTGCACGCTACTTTCAAACGGAGGCTGAGGGCTCCGGCCACAGTGACACCACATCTAGCCATTGTACCTATTAGCTCGCTTAAACAGTACCTGCACTGTCTACAGAAGAGCATAGGGGAGTATACGGGTAATGCCACTGTCCTCTGTTTGTTTATTGTTCCTTACAAAACTCTAAGAAATTGCTGATGAGACATTTGAGGTATAGGAAATAAGTCATACGTTTAGTGAGACATATTCTAACTTTGCTGTACGGATATGACCTATGAAAAGAAATACACAATTGATTCATTGTGGTTTTTGTCAGTATCAAGTCTAGGGGATGTTTTTTTTTTTAGTTTCTTTTTTTTTTAAACCTCTTTCATCTCTGGCGTGCTCAGTGGCAAGAGAGCTGCACATTTGCTACGACTTTCCGGTTTGTAGGTCTGCTGAATGCTACGGCTCTCGAGTTCAGCCGTGCATGGAAACATCTGATGACTAATACTGTTAATCCTTCAGGAAGTGATGCAGCACAGTCATCTGTGAGAATGAACCACAAAAACGTAGCCTGTCACTCTCAAGGGCATTGATTAAATGTGATATGTCCAAAGCTTAAGTCTGCACATAGTATTAGTTTGTAAATGATCATGGGACACACACTGTGGCAAAAAGCAAAGAAGCAAGAAAGAAAATGGACGTAAAACAAAACATGAATTCAAATAGTTTCTAAATTAAACCAGTGACCACAGCCAACCAATGACTTTTTCATATAAGCTACAGAAGAAATTCTTAGAATAACTGCAATATAATGAAAATCTCACGTAACTAAGATACACATCAGTGGCAAAACATCAAGATTTGATATCTATTAACAACAAAAAAGCCACAAAACAATATACAAAGAACACAGTTCAACTAAAAAACCTCAGATCAACTCTGTCATTTGTAGCTTTCCTCATATAAATTGCTCACATCACGTCCCTCATTTCATAGTCCCTTTCCATTGGCTGAAAGTCAGTGTATTCCGCCATTACAAATAATTAACCTCACTGTTTGTTTAATGCTTTTAGGTAGAGCAATTTGTTTGCAAATGTGGACTTTCTGCACTTGTAATTTATGGGTATAATTCATAATGACTATCATTACTAATGTTGGCAAGTTGTCATAAATTAGACGCAATTAAAAAAGGTCCAAAAAACACGCTATCATCACCAGCCCCCAAGGAAAACATGCTTGGGTCTACTTTGGGCCTCTGTTGGCTCATTTAAAGCCTAACGTTGGGAAGACTTTGCATTGCTCCCTGGGATGTTGTGACATGAGACAAGGCTTATTAGCTGGAATGAAATGTGTACTCCTCTCCAAACATGACACTTCTCATTTTAAACTAAATGTTCTAACTTACTTTTATCTGTTGAAAAATAAAAAAATTCCAAATGTCTTTTTGTTGCAAACTGCAAATCCAGACAGCAGTGACTTTCTCATTTCTGCCTCACACACCAGCTCTTCATAGTGGACTCATGAACACTGAGATGAACAACTGTTAGAGAACTGCTTAGTAGCAAACACGTTGCAGCCACAAAGCACTTTCTGGGATTGATTTTGGCTGGCTGACCTATTCTGGTCCAAATCTCCGTTCAAAACACAACAATCTATCCAGCTGGGGATAACAGGAGTTAGCAAACTTCTGTTTAGAGAGTTTTTGCAAACTTTAACCAACCTGACAGCACCAAAGATTTTCACTTCAAGTTCTGGCATTGACATTCTTTCACTGAATCTTTCATTGATTGATGTTCAAGCAAAATATCAATGATTCCAAATAATCAAGCTGCTTAGCCTTTAATAAAAATAAAATAAAAAGTTATTTCGGCTATGTCTTAAAAAAAAAAAAAAAACTTCGAATTGTTAAAGGATATTGAATATCACAGAGCTTGACTAAATATGAACTTTAGCCTGTTGAAAGATGACTTCAAAGTTCTTAATCTCTTACCCCTTGTCGATAGTTGCCCTTTACTCTCTTTCTTCCACCGCTGCACAAAAATGTCGAGATTTTCTTTTCTTTTTTTCTCTATCATAAACGCCTGTCTGTCATTCTCGTAAAATCCATAGCGCTGGCTGCAGAAAGTTCTCACCACTTTCACCTGGTCTCTGCACCCGAGTGGGAGATGCGACTCCTCCACGCGCGCGACACAAGCGCACCCACGCGCCCTCCTAGTTCCGCCCACTTCCTCATTTAGTTTCCCCGAACCAAACTTTTTCTCAATTCTAAAATAATGCTCTTCCTCCAAACATAATTTGTTGCAAGATATGAAGTGCAGATTGTCCATATTTGGAGCTGACGAGTACACTATTGTAGTTTATGTTTTTAGATCCCTCCTCCTCCTTTTAATCCACAATTAGTTTTGATGCAGTTTTAATAGTGAGAGGCTCTCAGGAGGGTAAAAAGTTAATGAAAAACTAATAATGTTTATCATTATGCTCAGAATCCCTGTTGCATAGCTAAAGCAACAGAATTTTTTTTTTCTTTTTCCTTTTTGGAGTTAGTACACTAATGATGAGCCAAGGTGTGGGCTGAGATTACTGAAAAAAGTATAGTGCTATATTAAGATCTGCTCAACACCCCCGTTCGTGGATGCTGCATGGGTGGTGGAATGAGACTGGCGTGAAATAAGTCATGACCTGTCGATCTGTCGCAGAAAACGTGTCTTTGTGTGTGGGTGAGGTTACAGAGGAAGTTATTCGTGACAGGTTTTAGAAAGGCCACCGGCCAAGAATAACGTAAAAACTGTTTAAGTTTTTGCATGTGCTTGGATAGAAGCTGAATATAATCCTTTCTGTTGCCCTTCTCAAATGAAGCTGACAGAATTTGCACTGACCATCTGAAGAGAGATGACCTCTGACAATTCATTTTATGACTATTAGACACTACAACCAATGGGTGCAGCTGTTCAGTGAAACAGATACTTTCTTGCTTGGCTTTCTACTTCTTGACCACGCCGAACACTTGCCTTTTAATAAGTTGGCTAGAGCACAATGTATTTGCTAAATTTGACACATATTGCTCACCGCAGAGCGGTTGGAGTTTGGCTCAGTGCGAGCTCCTGTGAGCCTTCATTTATCTCGTTACACAGAGATACATAGTCACAGGGGAGAACTCTGCTAGCTTGCTGTGATGTTATGCACTCCACCGCTGTGCAGTGAAGGCTGTTTATGGGAGAAATAGACAGCGATTGTAAATTGACATGTTGTTGGTAGCTGATACTCGCCCCCACACACGTAGCCTCGTATTGCTGCTCGGTTGCTGAGAGGCTTTTGTTGTCATGGTGATAAACCAAGTTGTGGCCCTCACAGCTAACTGATGCTGCAAACTCGAATACCCCCATCCAGATACTCTAAGAGTGAAAGACACAAGTCAGAGGACACATTTTTGCTGGTAAATTATTTTGAAGACACATACATATGTTTTTTGCTACATTAAAAAATGCAGTGGAATACATATGACGACATAGCTGCTACTGCAATTATCTTTTAATAAAAAAAAATCAACGATGATAATCAATATTTGTATATGAAATAGAACTGTGAACAGAACCTGGTGAATATGGTGCTATACAATATGACCAAACATTTTTTTTTTTTTAGACCTGCTGTAGTGTTTTAGCCCTATATTTTCCCTGTTAGTTTCTGTTTTGCTTTCCCCTGTTTATCCATACTTTTCCTTGGAATGCTAAACTTCATCCTCCTCCTAACAGTTCTCCTGTGGTCTGATACACAGCTGTGGCATCATCCTGTGAATTCGAGACTTTTACATTAAACCTTGTTTTTTGGTTGCTTGGGCAAAGTCACTGGTCACCAGACTGTCCTGGTCCAATAGTCACATTTAGATTTGTAACAGTGATGCCTTGTCGTTTTTTTGGGACTAACTCAAGTTTCGCTTAATATTTAAGTCAAATTGATATTTTTTTCAGTTTTGTTTTTCACTTGTCTGTAAACCTATTCCTATCTTTGCCATGCCATGAAGCACTGCAAGGTGTAAGACAATGTGAACAGATTATTCCCTGCAGCTGTGAGATCTATAGACACTTAGGTATGAGTTGGTAGTAGTATATACTTTTTAAAGGGCTATTACTTCCAAGCACAGGCTGTGGGTGGTTCTCCGGTTGTATGAACTCAATCACCACTTTAACAAGAAGACAGAGCTGCTGTGTTATTTTAAATCCTCCTCAGGTTCTTAGCCCATCAGCTCTTAGCCTTCCCCGCTTCCTAATCCCGCTGAGTACCAGCCCCCATATCCATATCCAACCAGACAGCCCTTAATATGTCTGTGTACTGATCTGTGAACTGGCCTACGACTAGTTTCTGCCCAATGTCAACTTGGTCCACGCTTGGACCTGCTATTTGTAAAATACTTTAGGTGGAAAAGCTCAAACCATGATTCATCTGACTCTGCTCCGCTAGACTATATTTGATTTAAGGATTTTGTGGACATGCTTTGGGGGTGGAATGAGGGGCCATCTGGTCAGTCAGAACCAGCAACCAGGGTCCCAACCAAGATGGTGCAGATATCATGTTCCTGTCTGCAGTGTCCTTGTTTTCTCCTTCCCAGGTGCCTGCTGATCAACTCCAACACCCAGTCCATCAGGAAAACCTGTATCAGCTTAACTTAACTCAACACCAGTGTCTACAGAAATCTGTTTGGAGGTCCCACATGTATCCTGTCCCCTCATAGGTTTTCTGCAACACAATTTTGGTCCCCCTCTACTGTTTATAGTGTCATAAAAATACACGGATGCATGTAAAGTTCCCCACAGGTGCTGACCACTCAACCTAGTGCATTTGATTAGCACCACCTGGCTGCTACTAACCTTCTTTGTGCCTATAACACAAATATGTTCTAAACTTTTCCCACAAAATGCCACTGGATGTTTTTAATTTGGCTTAGATTGAACATCCATTGAACCCAAACTCTAAAAACAAAACAAAAAACTTTAAAACATGCTTCTCTGAAATATAACGGTTAACTTTAACTCTATGAAAAATTATTGAACTGTTTGTGAACACTTCTAAAGACTGTTAAAAAAGAGAAGAAAAAAAGTTAAGTAAACATCGTCATCCGACTGCATCTCTCACCATTACTGATGTCATCTATTATGTCCTATTAATAAAGTTTTGATATTTTTGTGAACGTGTTGGTATTTTTTGTTAATAAAGTTTTGATATTCGCGCCACAGACACAATTATGATGAAACATTAGCTTCAACATTAGCTAACAATGTGCAGGTGGTCAGCACCAACATTGGTCTATTGGTCTGTTTAGGAGAGTAAAATTAAGATACATGGACAAAGGTTTTATTTTTTAAGGAGTTTTTTTATGCTAGCTTCTGATAACATTACATTAAGAATAAACAGTCTGTGGCAGCCCACCCGTTCCACGGACCTTTCGAGAAAAGTAGTGGACTGGAATTTGTTTCAACAGGTGAAACAGCTGCCATGACAGAAGCGAATTTGGTTTACGACAAGGTCCACTTCAGACATGACTCGAAGTGGAATTTCCGCCTACGGACAACGGAAGAGGGTGGAGTGCTACTCTGTGTGGCCTGTGTGATTGAAATAATTGAAGCGGAAGAAGTTGCTGTGAGGACCCCACACTGTACACACTAAACAATGCTTACAGTTCTACTAAGTCGTAATTTCCTTTCTTTTTTGGGGCCAGACTTGTATCATATTGAGAAATATTTGATTACATGATAACCAAAGTGTATTCATGTGGGGTTGTTGATTGTAGAACATGGATAAAAACATGGACTCAGCCATACTGGAAGCCTGTCCTTATCCTGCTATTTCTTGAAAAAACACTCATCTACCATTTGTTACAGTTCCAACATTAATTTGTGTTTTCATTTTGTTATGTTGGTGTCCTGTAGCCTATTACTTTTTAATACATTGTGCAGCACTTATGGAAATGTAGTCTTCCTGTTAATTTCCACTGATGAGCAGACTTTATTTGGCCTAATTTATATTTTTATCTCTTTAATTGTTCGGCCTGCATCATACAGTCAGTGAGGAAGACTTTTGCCTTGTCCAACATAATTGGGATGATTAAGAGTTCTCCCGGGGCCTTGAGAGAACTCCTCCGACAGGACCACAGAGTAATGTTTCATTTTATTGCTACTCTATTAGGTGAGTAAGCTTCCCGCAGGACATACCAAGGTGAAGGAAAGAATGATTCTCATCTGATGATTGAGGGTGTATGAAAATGTGTTTGGCAAACTTGCAAAACATTACCATCATTAATCAGCACAGATTGTGCTCTCAATGCAATATCCTTGCAGGTTTTAAGATGGTAGAAAAGAAATAGACATTGAGTGAAGCCAACTGACATATATCAACACAATCTAACACACAGCATACTGGCATTATCAAGAGACATGCCTGTTTTCATATTCATGTTGTCTGCTGATGAGCAAGACCTATTTTTAAAAAGCTTTTCAATATACATGATATTAATGGTTTAAGAGTAGCACTGAGTATATAAGATGAAGTACCTTTTTTGTTTTGTTAGAATTGAGTTTGGTTATAGTGCTTTCTGGTCGGGTTTTGTTTTTGTGGCAATGCATACTTTGATATAGTAGGTTTGTATCACAGATGCACAACAACTATAAAAGCTTAGCAACTTTCTGCCTTAAAAAAAGGTGATTTAATGTCATTCGCACCTCTTAAGGAAATGTGAACAAATGAAAGGGTACGGCCTTTATGGAAAGAGTCAATTCTGTGCTTGTGGGTTGCTCAGCTGAATTCTCCTTTATAACAGAAAAATAATAACATAAACCCAATCAAAGTAAGTCTTTATCACTATACACATGAATGCAGCCATGGAACTGTCTCCCTTTTCTTCGTACTCTTTTTATATTTTTACAGACAAAAAGCAAAACTGATTTTAATTAATTTGTTCTTCCCCAGTGATGCTTCAAACTGTGGAGGACCCAGTCACTCTGGAAAAGGTTGATCAAGGTAGACACTCAAACATGATGTATATATGCACACATGCAAAGTCATGTTTGGCTGAGGGTTTTGGTAAGTGTAAATGTTTGCATAACTGTACTTCATGGTAGCTATTTTAAACTGCTTCGGGAGCCAATTTGTTCAAAAAGACATTTGAGTGCTGTAAGTTATGTGCCCATAAAAACACTATGAATTCCATTCGAGCTCATATACCCGTTTGGTATATGTTGGGAGCAATGAAAGTCAATAAAGGATTTTTCTCTATCAAAGTATAAAATATTGTATAAAAGTATGAAATACTGTGATGTGTATATATATCCTGAAAGCCTCTATTTTCCTTTTCGTTGGATCTCTGTGTACGTGCAAAAGCATGTGTGTATTTGTGTTTATCAGCGCTGGTTCAACTGCTTTTGGAGCTCCAGAATGAGCAGTCGCTTCACCTAGTTTTGGATGAGATACACAAACAGGTAAGAAAACTGACATTATATCCTCAGAGGGCTATTTAGTAAACATACAGTGTGCTTGTCTCCTCTTTTGTTGCTGTTGTATCACGTCAGGAGGGGAGGAGGTAGTGGCATCACTCCGCAGTCAGTGGAAAATATTAAAGCTGTGTACACTTATGGTGACAGATGGGTATAATAGAGACGAGGTCTCTTTTATGTAACTATAATAGATCCTGATTGGATCATTTTGCTCACTTATAGCTGACGAGCGCCCTATGAGCCTAGTACTACCACGACTAAAACCGATGTAAACATTTTTTTTGGTCTTTGATATCTTGTGTCAATCTTGAATATGTTGCAACAGAAAACCTTTACAAGTTCCATAACCCATAAAGTCGTTTCCAACTCTCAGTCTTGTCTTTCATAATGGAGATGGGAAAATTTCAATATTCTCCAAAGGGTAGTCTTATCCACACATCTCAAAGTTGTGATGTTTATTGAGCTGGTACTCTGACTTTGGGTCTGCTCTCTGAGTTGATACATTGATAACTCGCTGTGGTTTTACCTTTCATCATAATTTTAATGGAAAGTGTGTAATACTGTTCAAGTCATATTCATCAAGTCTAGAGAACTATTTCTTACGTGAAACCTTACAGTCAAGTATGTTTTGTTTTTCTTTATAGTGTTTCTTTATATTTAACCTTTTGACATGCTTGTGTTTTCCCTGTCTAGCTCAGTGACCAGGAAAGCGTGAAGCGCTTCATGCCTATGTTCAACTTCTTGGCAAATCTTGTGAAAGCAGTCCCCAACGTGTCCCATAGCCTTGTGACTCAGTATGGTGAGACACTGCAACAGAAACTTTGTAAAATCCCACTGGTCCTCCCCCATACTTTTCTATTTTCTAAAGGTTTAAGGAGGTTTCACACTAAGTGTCTTAAAATGGAAACTGAGATTACTTTGGTGTCTTTGTCGTGTCACGGCAAAGTTCAGCTGATTGATTTAATTTTGACACCATTCTAGGAAATGGTTCCAAATGTTAATGAAAAGTCAGGATGCATAAAACCATGAGCATTATTAAAGCTGAGGGTCTGTATCCAGCTTTATGGGAGTGCTTACTGTCACAGTTTATAAGAGGACAAAATAAAAAAAATACTGAAATAACAGATCACATATTTTTCTGGAATATAGTCTTTGCACTTGAGGTAACTCTGACCACTGATCTCCTTTAATAGCTAAGACATACGTGTCCTCCCAGGGATATGTACAGTAGTTTATTCACAGACATGACTGTACAGTTTGTTCAGGGTAACCTTTAAAAATCCGGTTGAGGCACTATCAGGTCACGTCTGGAGTAACTGATGATGCTCTCATCATGTTCGCAACATGTTGAGAGCATGACTTCTCTCATTTTATATATATACATATATATATAAAAAAGGCTCTTTCCAGCATTTTTCTGGATTGTTTGCTGAACACAGGAGGGGCACACACAGTTCAGATACAACACTCTTTATTGACTTTTAAAGAGAGCAATGCATATTGCTAAAAGATAAAAGAGGCAGAAGGATAATGCATCTCTCCATACCTTCCTTGCACAACTGGTGATTTAATCTCGACTCCGAGTGGTTGTTTGACGTCTGCCCACTCACGAAAGCGCTGCTTTATTTAACCGTCATTGTTAATTATCCTCAAACTGTTGTGTACTGTGACGTGTTTACGTCCTGCATGAATGCTTGTCTTCACATTCTAGAGTGCATGTGAGCGTTACGACAGAAAGGCAGGCATGAAAACAATTTTACTATGCCGCATGTTTCCAGCTCCCATGTATTTTCATTAGTCTACAAGCTCCCCAGAGCAGACGCAGGTAGCTGCGGGTCGTGGCAATGCTGATACAAGATATGGGCTGCCTTTATTGACTGTGTATGCCTGTATGTGGCCTGTCACTCAACAAAGTCTCCCTGGGCCTGTTTGGACTAACGACAACAGAAAGGCAATGGCAACACAAGCCCAGAGCTCACAGCAGATTTTCCTCTTTTTCAGACTCAATGTCTGCCCAGATATCTCCATTTCTTATTAACCCCTCCCTCTTTTTTCCCACACTCTTCTTTCCCCTCCCTTTCATTTTATCCATATGTTGTTTTTATTCTCTCCTGGTCTCTTGTCAGGCTTCTGGTGTTGTTCCCTTGGGTCATGACTAAAGATGCCGGTAAAATGCAAGAGCGTAAAGAGCGGATGAAGAGTTAATGAGAAAAGGAAGTAGGAAGACAAGGAAAAAAACAGCAAGGAAGATACTAGAGTTTCTAGATCGTCACAATCGAGTAGAGTAAAAATGTAGTGACCAAGGCTTCACTGAAAATGCAATGTGCAATAAGAGCAGTATGTTTGAGTTCTCTACAGATAAAACGAATTCAACGTATGTATAAGCCGAGGAAAACTCAGTTTGTTGGCTCTTTTAGGGCTACACGTAGAGACATAAAGGCATAAATATGGGCAGAAAAGGCCATGGTTAAACCCTGTGAAGTGAGGGGTAAACAACCACAGAGAGAGAAAGGAGATAACACGATGAATCGTTTTGGTTGAGCGTACACAGCCTTGCAGTGGGGCAGCAGCAAAACAAAGAACACCTTTGGTTTACCTGTCATCCAAAACAAAAGAAAATGGATCACTCATTTTATTTTGGTTTGTCTTGGCTTGCTGCTTACGCCTCTTTGTTTGTGTGTTGTAAAATGTGGTGCTAAACAACTGCTTTACATTTCCATCTTCTGTCCGTGGGGGATTTCACTCTCTCATCCTCCTTTCCAGTCTTCACCCATCTTCTCTCTTAAAGCCAGGCTCTCATTTTGGCTGCCTCCTGTACTTTGGTTTAATCAAACACATCTGGGGGCGTTGCTCTTTTGCCTCACATGGGGTTTGATCTGCTTCACAGAGCAGCTGGGCTTCTTGTCTCTCCTCTCTCCTGCTCAGTCATCCCTGTCTGTTCTTCACTGACTTCATAGCCACTGCAGCTCTATCTATTTGTCTGTCAGTGGATACTCTAACTGTCCTATATATACACTGTAGACATTCTGTTTTACTTCTGCATTCTCTTATCTTCATCATACTGCAGTTTCTTGTTCCATTTGGTCATGTTTCTACATACAAAATCAGAGGACATTTCCAGTAATGTGTTATAATGCCATAAACCCGTCAGAGAAAAATAGCACAATTTCTTACTATTGATTGTAATTTCATAGTTGTAGTTATGTGACCTGCTGTCTCGTTTGAGGTGACAGTCTGTGGTGTTTCAGTGATTCAGATTGTGTTTGTGTTATTGGGTAAAACACCTAATGATGCAACCTCCAAGTGCTGCTGCATTTTTCTATCACTCTTAGCCATTCTTGATCTACCTGTGCCATGTTGTCTGTCATTCACAGTCTCTCCAAGGTGTCATTTATTTATTTATTTCATCCTCTATCCTTTGATGTTCTTGTGGATATAAATCACAGTTTTCTGGCAGACAGCGTACCAAGACATCTGTAGCCTCTGTATGCTGTGCTCCAAGAATACTTTTGTTCCCAAGTGTTATTTTTACTCAACCTTTTTTCTTCCTTTTTTGTATATACCTCCATCGTTATTGCAAGTTTTCCACTGTTGGTTCTACCACTTTCTCTCAGAGCTTACATTAAACGTCAGCTGCATATGTTGAGGCCCCTTTCTGCTGCCTTAAAAGTAAGGAACTTGCATCATTTTACCGCATACTGCATCAAGTTAATAGCGGGATAATGAAGGAGCTTTCCTGTCTTTTCAGAGAGCAGTGACAGAGAAACTAACGTTATTGAAATGTGAAAAGATGATGGAGAATCATAATGGTCTCACAGTAGTCTATTTGAAGCCTCATTAGCCTGGTATCATTTAATAGAAATTTAAGAGATTTTCATATAAATCCCAATAGTCACTATTGTTGTCTGCTGAATGCTACTCTCTCTTTTTTATCATCCTCTTATGCAAACACAATTTTCTATCCATCCATCCATTATCGTAACCGCTTATTCCCTAATTGGGTCGCGGGGCACAATTTTCTATATCTTGATAATTCTCTTGACCTACTTAAATGAAATTACTTAGTGAATTATCTGTCATGATTTAACAGTTTTACATCTACATTATGTGGATTAATTTGTTCTTGTACTTTTTTGTTATCAGTTTTTTTACATTTTCATTTATTTTTTATTATTGTAGTCATTTCTGTCCTCTCTCTGTCTAGTGCCCTTGCTAGACCAGCTGTGCTCAGCTTTGCTCTACCCAGATGAAGGGCTGAAGACTTCAGTAGTGCACATGTGGCTCCAGCTGTTGGGGACACCTGGACACAAAGCAGCCCAGTCCCTGCCCAGTGCCACTTGGGATAGATTATGCATCGTGCTGCTGCAGATCTTTGCTCATGCCAGCTCAGCGCAGCTCATTAAGAATTGTGCTGGTGAGAAAAAGTTTTATTCATTTATACAAGTTTCAAGTAAGACAAGTAATGAAGAAAAAAACTCACAATTTATATAAGAGACTATTTTCAGTGATCTTCTTGCGCTATTACATTCAGGTATCCAGATTTATATCACTTTTTAAGTTGCACCCAACTGGGGCTGTTTTTGTAGTAAGTTAGACTTCTATTGTGAGGGAAATTAAATGAGCTTATCTGGTGTTAGAAACGTTTTTTTCATTGTTGTTTTTAATTTGTGCTTTGCTGTGTTCCCAAAAGCTATGATGAGGAAGAACATGGCATATGTTTTATTATAGCCCACTTTCAAAATATTCTAGAACCTGAATGAATTAATAAAACTAATTTAGTGACTTGCTTCTTATATAAAGCCAACACTTAACAGAAAAATGTGCAACATGCAAGGAAGCGTGGCAATAATAGCTACTTAACGTGTGCTCATGTGTATGATGGTTTTGACACTTTGGACTGGGACTCACTTCATATGTTAACGTATCAGGTATTCAATGAGCTGATTACACTGATTACAGTTTTTTCCCGTTTACAATGATTGTGTTCATATTAACAGTACTTGATGTGACCTGTCATAACTTACTTTAACTCATTTTGAGCTCGGTTTAAAACTTTATTACAGTAATAATTACAGTATACTGAATAATTGAATTTTTACATGTGCCTGTGTTTTTAAAATTTCTGTTAGGCCTCCTCTGGCAGCTTGTGCAGGTGGGAGAAGCAGTGCCGGTTCTGATGAAAGGCACAGCCACTGTGAACATGTGCGATGAGAACCAGGACATCCTCGCTAACAACAGCCAGACCCTGATCCAAAATCAAGAGCAACAGCCCATTGACCACTGCCCTCTGCCTCTCCTGCTGAAAAAGGTCACTGTCTAAACATCCTGCTCCCTCTACCAAGACCTGCACTCTGCACTGACCATAATCATAACAAAAAGCTCTAGTCCTGGATTAATGTCCCTTTGAATAGGGATTAAAGAGGGGGGTTTACCCAGGCTAAATATTTGTGCTGCATGTCTGGGAAATCAGTGTGTGGATTACATTTTGGATTTTCTCAGTGATGATTCACAGCACAACGCAGCCCCATGACGTTAGTGGGTTTGATTAGATTAAGGGTGCGTGGTGTGTTGCTAAACTCTTAACTAAATAATCACATAAAGCTTGCAGATTCTCTCCCAAAACAACATTAATCCTGCCAAATGAATTGTGCGTCTTTGTCTTTGTGCCAACACTAGCTGTGGCCAGAAGTATCATGTTTGTGGTTCATCCATCTATTTGCTTTTTCATTTCAAATGATACTTTTCATTATTATGGATATAATCACAGTCATTACTCTTGGAATGAGAGATAAAGTGTAGCTTTTCTACTTGGCAATGGCATGCAGTTACACTGTTCTTCTATTCCATAACAAATCAGTGAGAAAAAGATAGAAAGGATACCTGTCAAAGGAGTTTATAGTTTTAAACTATCTAACAGAGTGGTAAACTAGTGGTGTCACAAACTAGAGACCTGAAAACCAGGCAGCAACAGACACTTGCTTCATATGTTATAAGAAACTCATGTATTTAATTAGAAACTTGGCAAATATTTGACTGGCGACTTTTTAAAAATGTACTGGATTCTAATAAGTCCCCTAAAATGTGTCTTTCCAGTTGCTGCTGAGTGGTGATGAGGTGTTGCAGTTGACCAGTGCCAAATGTATTGCAGCCATTTTGGCTCACTCTCCAAGCCAGTACAGTGTTGTCTTCATCAAGGCTGACTTACCTGGTAACACACCTGCAGACACACAAACGCAGACACACATTGTTTTTTTCCCCCCATGTTACAGAACAACTTCATCTGAGCCTTTTACAAAAGAAATACTGTGTACCTTTATGATAAAATGTACATTGTACACTGATGATATCAGTAGTCTTTTTCTCTTGACTCTCTTTTTGTAAAAGTTTTCTTGTCCTTGTCTGTTCCTCATAGGGTTTCTGTTCGATCGTCTTGGCTGCAGTAGATGTGAAATGCTGCTGTGGTGTGTCTACAGTTGTTTGGTGCTACTTACTGAAGACCCACTCTTCTTCTCACAGTGTCATTCCATCTATGGTGAGAGCACAGACATTATGGAAAGACCGACAACAGTTACACCAGTTTCACCCAGAAAAGAGAAGCAAGATGGCAGTACTAATTTCTGAAATATTTTTTGCTTCCCTGTTGAGGTTCTTACATCCTCTGTTGTGGTGGTTTACAGTGCTGCCTCACATAAAGATTATTCTTAGTTTGAATACTGGAATCTGGGCACAACTCTAGAAGTCTAGCTTGAAAGTAGCTGTAATACAGAATCGATTTGCCAGTCCACTGGGTATCTCTTGTTACCGCTCCTTGTTGCCACAAAGCGTTTGCTCACATCAGTCTGAATGTGAGTTCTTTGTAGCACTTTCCATGTAAACAGTAAATTAAAACATGTAGCGTTGCTGCTGTTTAATATGCATAAGAGTCAGAATAGGTGTGTGTGTTGATGAACTGTTTGTATAACATCCACAAGCATTTCACTTACTGTATTGCTGAATGGCTTTTTAGAGTTGGAGATATAAAACATCACAACTCTTGCACACAATTTGTCAGGGTTGCTGTTTATTGAGTTGAGTCAAGTGTTTTTCTGAAGCAATGTATGCATGCTGTATATGCCTGTGTGTTTGTTGTGTGCCTCACAGGGATTGAATCCCTGGTCCGTAGCCTGAAGGAGGCTTTGCGGATGACCAATTTGGAAGTACCAAAACAAGGTTTTCTGCTACTCACTGAAATATTGGAAAGGTGAGACAAATTGAGCTTTTTTTTCGTATTTGGACCGTCTTCTGCCATGTGATTCATCTTCATGGATCATCTTTGCTGAATCCCTAAGAATAATGTCACCGCAACTCAAAGTGTAAGTGCCTCAAAGAAACAAGGCCTGTTTTTAAAACTTTGGACCAGGATAGCCAAAATCTAGAATGTAATATATGATATGCGAAAAAGGAACGGCATAAAAAACAGTCATAGGAATGTATTGTTTGCCAGATAAACCAAAAAGACATCACTAATTCCACACTAACATCTGATGTTAGTTCTGGCATTAGGCTTGTCTTGTCTCATTTCCACATTTCTGCAACCGTTTTATAAAGGTGCTTGACTTTGTTTGCATCCTTTTAATTACATAATTTCTTGTCAATATTACCTATGTAAAGCCTAAATCAGCGGCAGTAGTTGTACAGCTGCAGCTTCACTATTAGTTGCTCAGGCTCATTTACCTTAATGGTGAATGTATTAGATAACATGTTTAAGTAACAAAAAGTTTATCCTCTAACAAAGTCCGTGGAAAAACTGCCATCAGGTCCAGCAAATCACAATGTGTATTAACTTGTCAGGCGTACATATATCATATGCTGATTAGACTATGTATAATGGGATTTTTAGGGTTTAGGTTATTTTTTTATTTTTTACTTGATTGAATTTACTACTGTTAAGCTGGTGGCCAAATATGAACCTGATAATACAACTTTGGCTGCACCGGCAAAAAGCATCCCTTCTGTAAAATGTGTTAAATATGCTGCACTGGGGAGTTTAATTAGATTGGAATGAACCTACTGCTGTCCCAGAGATGAATATGTATCGCAAGCCAAAAAAACACGATCCCATTTCTGCAAGGTTGACTAAATTTAAACGGATTTCCCCACCATGACTTGATAATGAGAGAGGGGATAAGAGATTTCACTGTCTAAAAGGGAAACTTGTCCTTTACCCCAAGCGAAACAGTAAAAACCGGTTGTCGACTGCTATTGAAGAGCTGAAAAAGGGTCATTAACGTGATTTTTCACACCTCTGTTTTTAAAATGTTCGTATTGTTATTGACAGGTCAGCACCTCTCTGTAAGTGTGTATGTCTGTGTGCTTTTAAACATGCCAGTGTGCACGAACATGTTATTTTGAGTGGTCTATGTAACTGCTGTTTTGGCAACAGTTAGCTGGTGCACAGCTGCTGATGTGCAGAATCATGGAGGCATACCATTGTGATCTTTGTAATGCCAAGAGGTCCACAGTGTTTGTTTGTTATGCGTACCGTACTGCCCTTAAAGAAAAAATTGTGTTTATGTGTGGTTAAGGCAAATCAGGCAGAGTGACGTAAAAGAATACCGCTTGTGTTGGCACAGCAGATTAAAGAATGGGATACAGAAAGTAAGGCAAAGGAACAGGGTGTCAGTTTTTGAAAGAGCATTGATTTCAGGCATTAAAGTTACCAATACATCCATGTCTTACACTCAGCTTCTGTCAATATTAATCTTAATGACTATAGTAATTCTGTCTGTGTGTTTTCATGTCAGACAGCCCCCAAGTGTGCATCTGTTCCCCAGTGGCTCAGGGTATGAGGCGGTTTCAGAGGCCGTTGTAGCAGGAGTCTCATCTCCCTGCCTGTTAGTCGCCACACAGGCTGTCTCTGCTGGCGCCACTTTGTTCAGGTATATACAAACACACAAAGAGTGCATGAAGTCTAAAAGACCTTAGCCTGCTTAGTCTGAAATTTGTCATTTGAGAGTTTGATTGAGTTTCTGTTGTGGGCAAAGGGCTTAGAGTTGAGTTGGGGAAATGGATGAAGAGGAAGTTATTTTCTGTTTTGATGAAAAAAAAAACATCCCCTCCTCAACATTCTGGCAGGACACAGGAGCAGCTGTAGTGGGAGGCTCATGTCATGGCTCTGCTGGACTGAAGGGTTCAGTTGGTCCTTTCTTCCAGCTTCCATAAGAGTTTTTAAAAGTGACATCTCACAGTTCTTCTCTGATTATGTTTTATTAATATGAATGTATATTATTAGATTCATTTATAGGAAATCAGTGTAAATATCTCTATTTAAGATAATCAACATTTTGAATTTCCCCAACTTTTATTTTTTTTAAACCCAAAGTGTGGCTTAATCAAAGTTATACATAAGTTGTTTAATTCAGTACAGGAAAACCTTGTCCTTAAATGACCTTTCAAAATACACTGCTGCTTATTTAGCGTTTTATATACAGGCTGAATCTTAATAGGACTTGAAAGGCTATGCATTACCGTGTGTGACTCTACTTTGAGTGATAGGTGCATTATGCTCTGGATGCTGTCCTCAGAGCAATGGCTTTTGTCAGTGTGTACCATCTTCACTGTTTTTTGTTCTTAAACATAAATTAGTCATTTGCAAAGGTTCCCATTACACAAGGTGAACGAAGCTGAAAGTGAATGCCTCGTCTACAAAGTTTGCACACTTGTACCACCTGTTCCTGGTATCTAATATAAACCTTACCGTCCAACACAGTCGTGTGTGTGGGTGTATTCTACTGGGGACTATGTTTTGTAATTGGTGCCCTTCAGCAATATCTGCAAAACTCGATTTTTATTTAAAGATCCCCTATACCATACTTTAATAAACCAGGTTTTTAGAACCTGGTTTAGAGTATGTAACATACTCTTAAGTTTTATATCTATCTTTTCATCTTCATATCCAAACGCTGACTATATTTAGAATAGAAAAGAAAGTAATGTTGCAGTATAGATGTGCTGTTGACAATCATCATAAAAGTCTCCTGTGACATTAACTCCAAATAGTCTTGTTAGATTATATGAACAGAGGGAAAAAATGGCTTTCTATGTCGACCACTATTCTTATTATAGTTGATGACAGGTGAACTCAAACAAACAGATCTGAATGGTTAAAAACAATGTATTCCTCACTGCAGTTTAGGAGCCGGCCGGCTCATTCACAGTTTCATGTCTTATGTAACAACCACCACTAAAATACTTCCTGTTGGATAAGATGAAAACTATAAATATCCACCCATCCATTGTCAATTATGCCTATTCCTAGTCGGGTTGCCAGGGGGCTGAAGCATATCCTTGCTGCTTGTGGGCGAGAGGTGGGGTGCACCACGGACAGAAATAAATGAAAACTATTACACAGGAAAAAAGATGGCCATCCCATAGTTCCTTTTGATCCTTTCATGAATAACTCAGATTTGTCATTTTGTGCACATAAGACTTAGTTTCTATCCCACTGGATATGCAGGTATTTGATACATTGCATGCATGTAGTTGTATGGTAACTGTTTAGCAAGCCTACATGTCCATCAAAGGATTAATGAAGAGAACACACCACAGCAGGCAAACATTAAATGTGCCCTAATAGGATTGATCCTTTGACAACCCTTTTCTACTACAGCCAATACTATTACAACTAAAGTGCACATCTCAGTAGTAACCATTTTCTTTGTTAAAGGAGCTTCATCTCTTTCAATTCCACAGACTCAACCACCAGTCGAGACCAGTCCAATACAAGGAGCTCGAAAGACTGATCAAAGCCATCACCGACAGATTCTCTGAACTACTTCTCCCCTCTCCCGCTCAACAGCGTAAAACCGTGAGTCAGCTGGGAGTGAATTGACATTAGAAAATCCGCATTAGCCCTCCAGAAAAAAAAATCTGCTTTGTGCTGTTTTATCTACATGACTAATAGGTTAAACTTATTTTAGGGGTTTAGTGATGAAGACCAAAATACATCTGAGAGATGGCTGTCACAGCAAAAAAGTGCAATCTATTTTGACATGAAGAATTCTAAAGATGAAGGATAGGAAAAAAAGGGCTCAAGATGCAGGCAATATACTATGGAGCAAATTCAACAAGCCAAATCTGGTTTATGTTTTTTTTTTTTTGTCCTCTTTGAGTCACCCTAACAAGTGAGCCCACAGTATTTGCTCTCACAGTTTATTACATTAACCCAAGTTCCCTGACTCAATTTATGAGTACCCTCTTGTAAAAGGAATCATAATTTTACTAAATAACAAATGGAAATCTTCACATTTTACCAAACAATGCTTTGGGTCAAGACACAAAGCAAACTTCGAATGACTGAAAAGATATACTAGATACATAATAGATTTTTCAGTAAACAAAAGTCTGAAGGCTTCTTTATCTAAAAAGGAATTCTATTAGATCCCTCCCAGCTTTATCTCCTGCCCAGCAAAAAAATACAGCCGAGCCTTGTACCAACATACAAAAATAAATCACTAAATGTAACGTATAAAATTATAGAAAAACACAGCTTTTGTTGATCACACCATCAAAATTAAATTCTGTTTCAAAGCTGGTCAATTAGTAGTTTTTGTTTTAAAATTGGTCTTACTGAATGAAATGACCAGGAAAAATGAAGTGTCAGCCATGATATATGCTGCTCATTCTCTACATGCTAAGGGAAGTTGCTTCAGGCCTCTTTTTTGCTTCTTTTTAAGCATAACAACCTTGAAGAGAAATGTAAGCATTCAGCGGTGACATTGAAGGAAAGGAAGGAGTACAACAGAGACTCCTTCTCTTGTTAGAAACCCCGATTATAAAATAATGTTATAATGTTATAAAATAATATTTTCATGGCTTCTTTATATAACCTGCATCACTGCTAGAGGTCAGTATGATTGATTTCTCTTTGCAGCATATTTTCCTTTTAAGAAATATCTCCTTTCATCTTTGCATAACCTCAAAATATTTTAACAAAGAAAGATCTTAGGAAAGGACAAAAGTTATTTTTGGGGGGGTATTTGACTGTACCCCATGTTCATATTCAATTTTTTTTAAATGATTAATTATTTACATTTGAATACTGTTCTTTAAATAAAGGATAGTATTAAAGGGAACTTATACTTGTTAATGGACTTTACTGGACTTATTGGACTTTATTATCCCTATATATTTATTATCTTTATATAATCTAAAGGATCATGACAACCAGATTTTAAAGGAAAGATTCACCAAATTTGTCCAGTTATGGTGCTTTTCTATGTGCTTTTCTAGGATAAGGATAACATTCTTTGAATGAGGTTAGATTTTGAGCACATGTAAAACCAGGAAAAAAGAAGTGCATCAAAACATCAATTCCAAAAATCACTCCGCTAAGAACCCCCTCTTGATAGCACCGGCTGCTTGTCCCCAATATCCAGCGAATGTGGATGAGGTAAAAAGCTGAGAATGGAGCGAGAGACCAAACGCGAAAAGCTTGAGTAGTTTTGAAAGTTCTTGCAAAAGTGATGATCAGAAACTGGCAGCAGGTGAGGCGGGTGTGGCAAACAAACCAGCGAAGACCTCTGGTGGTTGTCAGGAGTGGCACATGAAACAATATTTTCATGATGAATGGCTTTACAATGTAGAACATGTTTTAAGTCTAGTATTTATTGTAATACCACAGAGGGTTTTCAAGGTTTCGCTGTTTCAACAGTTACAGTTTTTTCCTGTATTATTTACGCAAATGAAGACGATTATCGAATTGTACGGTTTTTATTTTATTTATTTTGTACTGTTAAATGTGTTATAAAATAAGTAGTAATTATTTTGATAAATATCCCTGAACAATAGAAAGACAAAGTTCAAATATTCAATGTCCTTCTCAAAGATGAAGCCTCATGACAGCAAAATGTCTCAAAGTCTCAAAATATTCTGGTTACTGAGCCTTAAATCAGACTCAAAAGAACTAAATCATGCCGTTTAATGTAATGGAAAGGATTGAATTTACCTGTCTAGTGAAGCTGCTACTCTCCATTCCATTTTCCCTTTTGTTTGTTTTTCCTCATTTTCTTTTTCCATGTGTCAGGCCAAACTTTGGAGGTCAGATACCAGCAGCACAGCCTTTAGGTCCAAAGGATTTCTGCTCCAGGCCCTGGTCTGTTTTCAGGCTGCCTGCAGGTCAGAATATGTTCATGGAGATAAATGAGGTCATTTAGATAGGGCGATTCGTATCTGAAAAACGTAGAATATATGTTATCATCTAAAGGCTTGTTTTCTCCTAGTAATTAGTTTAAAAGAGTATCTAATTGAACCTTTGAAATAGATAAAGTCCTATTTAGTTTAAGGCACCTTAATTCAATGTTTTTAACTCATCAGCTAAAATGCAGAAGAAATGGGTAAAACCCTAATCTTTGTGTGGAATATGCATCAGATACACATTACCTCTTTCTGTTTGTAACTTTGAGTTTCTACATTCCCCAGGCTGGCTGAGGAATATGCATCAGAGCCTGTGCTGATGGAGAACCCATTTACTGCTCCACACAGACACCAGGATGGTCAGGACCCTTTGGAATCTCTGTGTCAGTGTCTGCTGCACTGTTGCGACTCTGTCTGGATACCCACTGTTCTGGTGAGAGACAGGCAGATGATAAATTGATTAATCGATCTCTGTTTTATTCATTCAACATTTGAAGAAACAATCAACTGCTGTCTTGATGTCTTTTTTAAGAGGGTCAAAGTGATATCAGTGCAGTGTGTGCTGGTTCCTCTTTATGTATAAATAGTCTTTGGTGAGAAGAAAGCTCGTAGCAGTCAGTCAGGGGCCTTTTCTCTAGTGTCATACAGGGTGAGTCAAAGGCCACAGGACAGCCTTGTATTTTAGAAACAAAAACACCCCAGCAACTGTTTTTTAATTGAAGTTATTGCCCCTGGTGCTGAACACATGAAATAGCTGTGCATCACAGGCCACTATCCCAGTTGTTGGGGCGCATTTTTGTGTTGAGCTTTTCTGATATTGCAAATTTGAATAAAACCGTTTTCTGTGACTTTTGACTTACCCTGTTCTTTGTCGGACAGAATTGCTCAGAAATGTCATGTTCTTTTTTTCTGACATTTTATGTATGTCCAGAGGATGTGTGAGTGTGCACCCAGCGCCAAGATACTGCAGTACTTCTACTCCATCCTGTCTTCCCTGTTTACCCTTCTTCCGTCTCTAATGCCTCAATTTGCAACAAAACTAGGTGAGCTCTATAAAAACGAGTACCGGTACTCAAAAAGCAAACTGTGTTGTTTAATGTTATTCTCATACATTATCACCCCTTTTTTGGGCAGCTGGTAACTTGTGAGCAAATGATCAACTTTGACTTTTTTCAATATTGGGTAATCAGATTACTGTAAAATGCACTATTTTGTATTAAAGGAATTCAAACAGTCTAATGAATAATATTATTGAGATTATATGGAGCAGATTCTAAAGTCATTGTTCAGTATGAGTGGAACTAGATTGTTTTTAATAATAGTATTTTGTGCATAGACAGATATCTGGACAAATGCAGGGCTAACAACAAATTAAAGACTAAATGTCTGTTGGGGAAAAAAAGAAGCCACAAAACCTAATCTCACAGTGGACACAATAATCCTCCTTTATTACGGCAATTTTACTGCCTCTGGCATCTGGTAAGCTAGTGTGCCGGCATTTTAAAGAAACCAAGGCTTTATATTCATGCAGCTCGAAGTTATCAGAGCAAAAGAGTTTTCTTCCATGTGTACTAAAAAAATAGAGCAAGTTAGATTTTTACCTGATCAGTCTTTTGATAAGAGAGGTTATTGCTTTCTTTTTGCTACCTCCACTCAAAATTATTGTGGGAATGCTATCCACTGTGCCCAAAGGTTGGCCATTTTTACCTGAAACCCTGAAATTACATTTAGAAGTCTTTTGCAGCTTAGTGTGGTGCTGCAGAGGTCGGACTCATGTGACTGATTCCTTTAGCTGACAGGAGCCCCTTCCTCTTTTCTGCTCCCTCAAATGTCATTCCATTTCCCCCTTTTTAAACCACTTGTCAAACCACTAGGGTCTCAATGTTAAATTCCTTTTCTTTTTGTTCAATGATTTGTGCTCTTTTTGGCTGATGACACCGGTTTCAGGAAATGAGCTTATGTGGATTTATTCTGTACTTATGATGAACAGCAATTTTATCAGCTTTAGCACAAATGAAATGATCTAAGGATTGTTACAAATTGTCACCTTTACTGTCTTCACCCCTCTAGCCTCCTCTGGTTTCTATAGGCAGGCCGTGGAGCAGAAAGTCCTCCTCTGTGCAGGAAACAGGTACTCAAACTTCAGTTAACGCGCTGCGGTCTGAACATTTAGCCCTGTACATAGTTGAGCGAGAAGTCAAGCTGTTGTCATTTCCAGTCAGAGCACATCAAACAGTGAGACAACAGACTGAAGCATCTCAATAATTTCAGTCAGCGTTTCTCACAAGCCTTTCTGCGTCAGTGCGATGGAGCTACAGCTTCACCGCCTGCACTCTGTTTTGTTTGTTTGTGTATATGTGTTAAGAGTGCATTTGTTTAAGCTTTTGTATATGTTCGTGTGGTCATAGATGTGGTTTTTATGGGTAGGCTTTAGACTGTGCTCTGAGCTGTACTGAAACTAAAGCTGTATACTGTATATGAGAGTTAGTGAGTAAAAGCACCTTCAGTCCTGTGCCTCACAGCTAAATCTTCTGTGTATTGTTCTCTTTGTAAATATTGTCTCTGTTTCCCTTAGCTGTCCTTATTGTTTCCTAACTCTTTGTACAGTTATCCTTTCTTCTTTATTCCATCTTCCTTCATGTGTTGTGGTCATTTTTGGCCCTGCTGTGAGCCTTCCTTTCTGCAAATTCTTTCAGGAACCCAAATCTGAACGCATCTTGCAGTGCTTTCCTTCAGAAGCTCAGTATGTGTCTGCTTTTCCTGTCAGACCCCCCTAACTCCAATCACGGTATGCAAAAACACGCACACTCTTGCACCTTGCACAGAGATAAATGCAGCATGAAAAAAACAACTCATTGTTCTTGTCACTTTCAGAGAAGTTACACTGAAGTAGTTAATCATGAAAAGTCAGAAAATGCCAACAATCATCTCACACAACGTGAGGATGTTAAATTAAGAATAGTTGTTAGGTCACAAACAAGAAAAAAAGTGAGTGACACCCATCCCCGAACTAGATGTTGGTAATGTGAAAAGACTTTGAATGTAAAAGTGGATGCCAAATGTGCAACATCTCTCAGTTCTTTGGGTTAGACTGAATAAATTCTGTGAAAAACTAACAATGTTTAAGCTCAGCACTATTGTTCCTCTTGTGTTTTACCACCTTACTGTCACAGAACCTAAAATTAAACCCAAAAGAAAGTGTCTCTGCAGAGACAGCAGTTGTTCCCACAGGACACGTTGTGATAAAGAGTAAAATATCTCTTTGAAGTAATGAGTTGTAAGGGTTTCCTGATGTATCCATGTGTTTGTATATGTGGCGTGTGTGTGTTTCTTTTTGCCTCCTTTTTGTGCGTGTGGAGAATGATTTTGTCAGACCTAGACATTTTCCCTCCTTTTATCACTATTATCTGTTTCTGTTTCACTTCCCACCTCTTGGTCTGCCTTGTTTTTAGTTTGCAGTCATTTTAAACGTTGCCCTTACATTTAATTTCAAAACTGTTATTATTTTACAGGATAAAATGCTATGCCTAGCTCTTCCTCAGACTTTTCCTCAATGAGCATCTGGCTGACTGAGATTTATTCAAGATGCATCATCTCAGAATTGTTTATTTTCTCTTCTTCTTTGCCGGTGAAATCTTGAGTTTGACAGAACACGCAAACTCAATCAGCTTTTTATGGACAGTTTTTTATTGGCCATATCTGTTTCCCTCCATTTATCCCATTCTCCCTCTGAGACTTTGCACAAAGCCTTTATTCTTTCACGCCTTAGTCTTCATATCATTCACCATTTCCCTCGAGGTAACGGCCCCATCAGTGACTGGAGTGCCCCCTTTTTTTTTTTTTACCTCCGGTGTCAAAGTCATGCCGTTTTCCTTGATGATTTTATTCACAGTAGCCCTTCTGTACCACTTGTCATGGGTCTGTAGCTTTCCACAAATCATATCCCCTCCTCTCACTCCTTGATATTGATCTCTGATTCTTTTGCTGCATTTATTTAAGTCCCATTCCCTTATTTACTCATCTGAAGGTTTATGGCCTCTACGTTGTCTTGGATCAGGGACCATTATTCTAAATGCTTTATACCTCTGTGGTCATTCTCATTGTTATTTCTCACACTTCAGCTATTCTTTTCCTCTTTCTCAGCTAAAAAAACAACAATAAAGAGTTATGCCTCAGCAGAACACTAAAGTGTCAGTCCTTAGTTACCCTCCAGCTCCACCCCTGCTGTGGGATGTGTTTCCACTTATAGTTCCTCCTTGTAGCAGTTGTGAGTTCTCTTATCAGCACAGTTTTCACCCTTTCTTCTCACTTCTCGTTCATTGAAATTCTTTGCTTTTCTTGCACATATTTCCCTTCTTTCCCTTAAAGATTACTGATGATGTTTTGGTTTAGCTTTAGTCTAATTAGTTCAATATGCATTTTGAGGTATGCTGAGAATCATTAGCTGCAACCAAACTGAACCTGCTAATGAATCCGCTACTCCTTCCATCTGAAACTTTCTCCATGTCGCTTGCTTTCAGCAGAAGCTCAAGCATGATTGATCGACTACTGTGCCCAACAGGCAGCGAGCCACTGAAAAGACACTAGACTGTATTATGCTCATCTTTTCTTTTTTTTCTCTTTTTTTTCTGACATTCTGCAAAATTACAATATCAGTTTGAAGTGATTAAATGTTTCACTTTTAAATTCTGATTACAGGAGATCAGTCTCCTTCCAGTCACATCAATGCCCCCAGTCGGGCTTCCTATATGGCATTAGGTGGTGGGCTTTATTTCCCTCTTGTCACCTATCTGCATGCTGCAAGCTTTTAATTGCATGATTAGCCCTAGATAACGTAACGCACCATAAATTGGAAAATAATCAGTTTTGATATCTGGATTTATATTCTAAATGCACTTTCAATGAATATATTTCGAAAACTTTTTCGACAGAAAAGCAGACTAAATTAGTATCTTTATGCAAATGCTGTTGTACAACGAATCCAAACTAATTGTCTCGTGGATGTTTGTTCTGAACATGCTTTTGGCATTTTTAGTTAAAAACATGCGCTGTCTTATCAGGGAAAACCAAAGCTCAAACCTCAGGGCGAATTGAGATGAATGTGACCCCTTTCGCATATGGCACATTCAAACTTTATGAAAATAAACAGACACACTGTAACTGTGTGCACGCTTGCCATAGGTGGAGGTGTCCATTCATCTCTGTTGCAGATATCTGATTAGCTGTGATACTCTCAGAAGAAAAAAACTAGACAAAGGTCAGGCATATTTCACGCTGGCATCTTGCAGGGTTTTGAAGATTACCTTGAATTTATTAAGTTTGTAATCCATTTTAGCTCAATATCAACAAGATTAGGCAACATCCCCTCTTTATTTTCAGCTTTAAAGTGGGCCAAGTGTTGCATTTTTCACATTTATCTTCATTTAAAACATTTGGAGGGCCAACTGATTGTTGTCCCTTTCAAACAGGCAAAAGCAAAAAAAAAAGCAGAATCATTTGCAAGTTCCCTTTTCAGTCAGGTTTGCTATGATGTTACTTTCATGCAGCATAGGGTTGAAATGCTTAAGGGAAATTCTTAGCTGCCAAATAAAGCTCTTTTTCATTTACTCTGGAAAATTTGTCCCATGTGTTTATTTTTGTAAGGACATCTACAGTACTTGATTATAGTCACTTGCAACTAGCTGTTACCACTGTTACACATCTGGATTTATTCAGTCTAAGCCTGATAATGGTGAGTGTTCAGTTTGGCAGCTTTTGAAAAGATGGCCTTAGACATTGTTTACTAGTAAATGGAATCCCAGCTATTTTCTTTCCTATATGAATTTTGTTAGGTGAGTATTAGTCGTCTTTAAGTATTCCAAGCAGTATTCCTCTCTCTCTGAAATGTCTCTGCTACCCAGCTTTATGCATTACTAATTAAACTTCTTTTTTCTTCTCCTTTTCTTATTTTCTCCTGCCTGTCTCCCAGATTTTGAGGAGGTGGAAGTTCTGTTGCAATGCAATCTTCCCTCCCTGTGCTTTCATCTGTCAGACTGGCCCTCCGTGTTGTGTGAATATCAAGAATCAAGAGCCACTCAATACTGTCTTGTGATAATACTTTGCCTTGCTCTGCAGCAAGGAGACAGGTAATAGAGTTTAGAAAAATGGATGTAACGGAAGAGCAAAGCTTTAAGAACAAAAGCTTTTGTCTGCTTTTATCACATTCTGTACATGCACCGCTTTTCAGAGGCTTCCAGTTCTGCATTTGAAAACATTTTCCCTCTTGAAAATATGAATCTTCAGATAGAAGTGTGTAAAGTGAAACTGATCTTGTATTCTTAGCTGCTTCTTTTAAGAAATCTAATGAGCAAATAAATATTTGACCATCAGAGGCGGAAAAAAGGCAAAAGCAAGAAACTTTTGTGGAAACTAATTTGAAGCAGTTGCATAAAGAGCTCTGATGTAGAATGGCTTTGTAAGAAGTGCAGGCAGTTTGATCCATGAGCCCTGACTATTTCACCAGAGCCATTTGTGCTGCAGTTCAAAACGTCTTTGATCAGAAAAGTAATTTACCGGCTTAGTAATGGTATGCACCTCTGCGCAGCACTATAGTGACTGTGCTAAGAAGTCAAGGAAGGGAAAAAATGGGACCAAACTGCCTATGTGCTGGTATCCAGAAGGCTGCACCACCAGTGCAAACTTTAGAACAGCTATAAATATGTCACTATCCCCAATGATGATTAACGTAGGGAGATGCTGAATGCTATGCTTTACAAATCACTCACTGCGACTTCACATATTGTTTTTTTCACAAGTGTTTTTATTACTATGTACTTATTCAATTTATATGAAATTGAGACTCATATTTAAATGTTATTTGAATTTGTAGAAAATGTGTCAGTATGATTTCAGAACGAAAAACCTGCATGCAAGGTCACGCAAGGTGCAGTCAGTTAACTTATTAGAGTGACTAATGTGTAGTCCGTATGAATGGGTTTGGTTGTGCATGTCTCTGTAGCTCTCTTCTTTTTCGAAGTGGCACTGCAGCCATCCGTAGAGTAGGCTCTCACATGCATATTTTATGTCCTCCGAGATGAAGTATGTTAGTCTCCTCGAGGAAGATTTCTGCTTTGCCGATCCTTGGTTTGGCTTTAATTCTCAGAGAGGGTTGTGAAGGCTCGCTCATATGGGATCTCATCAAGATTAGTAGAGTTGCAGTCAGAGAGTCACTGTTGGAGGGGATTGAGAAGGAAAGTGTGTGTGTTCTTAGGGATATGAGTTGTTTTTATGTTTAATCTGGATATTTGTTCTGGGTGTATCTGTGTCTGTTTTCCCAAGATAAACATGATCCCAACGCACTTTATCACCTCTATACTCACAGTCTGCGTAGTTTACAGAACTGTGCTGAATTTGCCTGGTGTCTTTGAGTTCATATAGATATATGCAAACGTTTGGCCACATCTATGAGAGGCTGTTTGATAAGGCATAGTCTTATCCCTGTGTGTGTTTACACGTGTAATCCAGGCTTCTTCCAGACCAGACAGTCTTCTCCGGAGTGGTTTGGCTGCTGCAGTCAGTGCAGGAGCAGGGCAGCTGTGCTCTTCCTCGAGCTGTTCTCCGCTCCGCCCTCTACCTGCTGGCAGTGACTCAGGACAAGAGCCCCCGTCTCGACGGGGTAACTCTGATCAGTTCACCCTACAAAAATCACAATGAAATGTAACTCGCCTGAGTAATATTTCAACACAATTGAGACTGAAGAGCTTTGAGAATGTAGTACTTTCATTTTCATTTCATCTCTGCTCCCTGAGTCAACCTGATGATTGTGGATGATCATTCTATATTCTTTTATTTATTTTTCCTGGCAAGCAATGTCATATTGATGTCAGGTTTTTACCAGGATACAAGTGCTCAAACTGATACTTTGTTGCTGTGGAAAGAGATAGTAATGCAGGAACACAAGCTTGAGTTTTGACATGGATGTCATGGAATAGAGAAAATCACACCTTGAGCTTATATTAATCTTTAGATACAGAGAGGGTTTCATCCTTCAGTTGATTCCACAGTATTGAATAGAATGGCACAACATATTTGAATTAATTTTTGCAGCTCAGCAGAGCAAATACTGTCATATCAATAATGACTGCACCTTTTATTTTAAAGAACAGAATACATACACATCCAGGAGCTTATTATGCTCTACTTCCTGCTGAATTCTAACTGTTAATAAGCAGCGGATTACAGGAAATTTCCAGCTGTCCTTTTAGATTTGAATAGACTCTTGCATCTGAATTGTGAGATTTTTCACCACTGCAGGAAAATGCTTCATCTGCCTTCTTTTGCCACCCCCTTCAAGGCTCCTTTAAACTACATTGGCAAAGCCTTAGCCTCCTGCCAAAGCTTCTCGTCCCTTTACTTTCACCATCCTGCACTCCTCCACTTCATCTTTCAATATCCGGAGTTAACAGAAAAATTTGGGGCCCTGGCCCTGGAAGCATGGTTGTCCGGGCAGAACAACATAGACACAGTGCAAAAGATGGTGAGGGAGCTGTTCAAGATGCTTGGAGTATATTTGTTCAGATGAGAAAAAACTATATTTGGATATTACTCCTAAGGAGAAGGCTGACAGCACTGATCAGAGACAGGACCAGCATCTACACCCAGAGGCCATGGAGCTAGTGACTCTGGTGGAGAATTACCCAAATGTCATACTGGTCCTCTTGGTGAGATATTAAAACTATGCCTAACTTTCTCAAAGGATTTTCCAACATCATATGTTTCACATTTTTTCCGTAGACAGTTTGCAGAAATAACATTCAGTGTTGCAGAGATGGTTAGCTTTAGTACTTTAGGGTGATGATGGCAGCAAGGCATTTTAAATGTTATGTTGTGCTTGTCTTTCCATGGCACTGCAGGACATGGTCAGCACCAGAGAGGTTCCCCTCGCAGAGCGAGTTCTGGGTGTACTGGAAGTTCTTTTGCACGATCAAAGACAGTGCATCACAAGCATCTGTACAAATCTGGGGCCGGCGCTTCTTCAGGTGTTACAGCGGATCAATTTGGAGAGTATGGCTCATGGGCTTGGACAGGGCCACAGTGCCACAGGTATGAGATTTAAACTGGCACATTTCACTAGTGTAACAGAAATACACAAATAACTGAAGGTGATGATTATTCTTTTTCTACAACCCCCTCCCAAGTCACCCATAGAAAGGAAGAATAAATATTGACTCAAGTGTTAAGTTGAATGAGATAATAATTTATGAAGTTGAACGCATCAGACAAATTGGTTACTTGAGATTCATAGATTTATCCATCAGTACAAAAACAAAGCAAATCTGCACTGCATCATTCGCTTGTGCAGCAGTAAAGAAAGACTAATGGATTCTTTCATTTGAAGTTAATCTGGTTCTATCACAGCATATTGCTCTCAATATAATGTGTAAAGCAAAAGTTGATGTGCTTTCTTCCACAGCCTTGCTTTTGCTGGAGCTGATCTGTGTTGAATCACACGTGTCCCTTTACAACCATAAAAGGAGAAATGTGCACAGATTTGCAAACACATAACAGTTCCCATCGATGAGCGTACCTTTTATGACTCAAGACACATTTCTTTACGTCCTATAAATGGAGAATTAAATGCATACATTTGCACTCTTCAGTGCACAACAAAAGCATAGACAAATAATACACATTCACATGGATACACACGGGTTTGTGCTCTGTGTAAACACTGAGATGTTATACTGCAAATGTATTGATTTTTGTATTGTGTCTAAGCTTTAAAAACAGTCTCCAGTGGGAGTTATGTGGTTTTAGATGCCCAGTTTATTTTCATGGCTAACATTATGATTTGGAACAGATATTTTTTATTTAATGTCACTCCACAGAATCATTGTGTATTTTTCCTCTCACTACAACTTCATGTAAGTGGACAAAACCCTGATAACTGTTAAGTATATTGTCTTTTAGTAAGAATAACATCAAGTTTGCTGTATCATAGAAGATACAGAATCAGCATGTCATATCACCCACAACCACTGGCTGCCAAAATCATCAGCCCAAAAAAAAAAGAATACATTGGTACGGTCTTAAATCTCAAGGGAGCCTTTAGGCCAAGGAGTGCCTTTCACTGCTGACTACAGAAGAATCTTCACCCTGGTAAAGAAAAACCCTGTCCAACAAATCAGAAACAGGTTTGGTCAGGGTTTATTCATTGGACACGTAAGGCTGCCACACATACTGTCCCACATATCCTCATCGATGATGGCAATTTCACAGTGAAATCCGAAACACCATTTGTTAACCCGTGAGTGCCTTTTGATTTCGTAATGAGCTGTTCAGGGTGTATGCAGAAGAAGAATGAATGGCCTGATATTTGTGAGGTCCCAGAACCTTTGGAAATCTAAAACATGAGACTCGACCAATCTTATCCAACATCAACACTGCACAGTTCTCCAGTTATTCAGCATTAGTGTTCAACATTGATGAGTTGAACATTTGCAAAGAAAATATTTGGAATTGACCCCACACCCAAGCGTTTTTAAGTAAAATTCACAGACGTAGGCATCTAGAAAATGTTCATGAGTTAAGAAGGTCTGTTGTGCAAAGTGCGGTTTCTCACATTCTCAGACTTAGACAGAAATTCTTGGAAGAAAATTTGTGTTCAGATCTATTTGTTGTTTTATTCTCACAGGCAGTGTTTGCTTTGAGCATCTGGCTGGGGTCACATTGAGACAGTTTTAATTCTGTCTCACATTTGCCAGACCTCCTGATCCCATAACAAATCCTATGTTTTCCTGACAAAGCGATCATTTTCAGTTTTTTTATATTTAAAAGAATAGAACGCCCCTAATACCTCAAGGGCCACAACTCATCTTCCATTTAGTGAGGATCTGTTGGTATGCTAATGAACGCCACCCACTCCACTTTCGCAGTTATTCCTCACAGTTTCCTCCACTTTGGCAGAAATCACAGATACTCGTGCAGATTCACAGAGTCAGGGGCTTTTCGCATAAGATGCAGCAACCGTTTTCACTGAAGCGGCACTCTTACAGCTGCGTGGGTCTCTGCCTGGAGCTTATCTCTCCAGAGGCGGCTGAGTCTGTCACCGTGCGCAGGCACCTCATGGGAGAAGCCAGCTTCCCCGCAGGCTTTTTCGACCTTCGTCACAAACCCAGTGTGTTTTCGAACATACAAACCAGGCTGCTCAGGGCATCTTCCCCAACAGCAAGAATGGGATGGATGGAAAACACAAAGTTTAGTGGCAAAACTCTGAATCTTACTGTCAGATTCTAGAGGTGGTGTGGGAAAAACACATTTTACAGGACACACGATGTAAGGAATTCTCAAGGATTGTTTGGAGGTCAGCGGTAACACTTGATACCGTCCAAAGACTCCAGAGTATTACAGTTAATATCAGTAAATTTACTTGTATCAGGTGCCTGATGTTGTTTCTTCTAGCTGTTTCCGCCAAGTGAGAAGAACTTTAATAAACATTAGCACAAAACTCGTTTTCACACATGAACTCCAGAGAATCAGGCGTGGGCTTAGGTGTGTCTGCCTAATCCCACATGCACAAGACAGCAGGAGATTCTTTGTGTGAGATGCACTCACTCTGCCGGAATGCTCCCCAACAGTTCCTTGGGAGGGCACACAGGAGGCACGACATGGTGCCCAAAGTATGCATATGTATCCACAATATGGAAGAGTGAGCAGAAAGTACCGAAAAGGCCAGCAGCAATCAGTTCAAAGCAGTTAGCAGTCATCAGAATATGCTCCATTTCTACCCATGAATTCTCCAGACATTTGATATTACTTTTTTTTTATCGAGCCGGGCTCACACATGGAGTATTTTGTCTAGAGCTAATATCCGGGAGAGGACTGTATGTGTCTGTTTGACGCATTGACCTTTGTATTCTCATATGCAGGGTGTCTGCAGCTCATGTGTGGAGTCTCTCCTGAAAAGTTGATTAGTTTTAGATGAATGTTAAAGTGGCAAAACACTTCCCTGAGCTGCGTCGCCTTTGATTAATAGTGGAAGGGAAGAGACTCATTTATCATCAGTTAAAATGAATCCTCCCAGCCTCCTCTGACAATGTAGGCAGTGATTTATGAGACGCTCCTTTAATATGGTAGATGGCACTACCATATCAATTTATAATCTAAAGATTATAGGTTGTACCACAAATTCCAGAAAGGCACATCCTATATATTTTTTTGGTGATCTTTTTTCCAAACTATTCAGACAACATCCAAAATGGATGACAGTCGATTATAGGGGAAATCAAATAAACCAGGCACTGCCTTTGCAACCTGTGTTGCTGGTCATTTTCACCTGTTGTAAGGTGCAAACATCTGAAAGATGTTTAATGCAATCAGATGCTGAATATGAAGATTCTTTCAGGAGAAAATCCCATTGGCGCTTGAATCCATAGATCGGTGACATTTTGATTCTAGTTAAAAATGTAATGCATAATGATCCATAAACCTGCTCATTAAAAGCACATTTATATAGAAGAGGTGTTAATTATGCTCATTTCCAGTCAGCCACAGAGTTTAAAGCAGTAAGATTCTTATATTGCAAGTGATGAACCACTACAGTTTCTTTCATTGGAATGTGTATTTTCATTAACATTACTGTTGGACACATGTTGGATTTTTTGCAAAATTCTACAAGTTTCCATGAACACAGTGTTTTTTTTTCGGGGCAGGGGCATCTGCCAGATGGTGCTATCATGTCTGTATATATGACCAGGTTAATGAGAACAGCTGAAGGGCACAACACCAGTGTGCCAGCTGGGGATTCAGGAGCTGTTGCAGTGGTTAGCCTCTGCCTGCTCTCTGCTCATCCCAGCTCCTGAGGGGATTACAGGCTGTTATCAATGCACATGCTCTAGTTCAGCTCACTGTAATTTGCATTAATATATACTCCATTTTTGCTTCAACATGGCAGAATCCACCAGAGAGAGATTCTAATGTTATGCACTACAGCAGTCAAAGATGGCGAGTCTTCTTCCTGGTAGCTTTAACTTGATTCTATCTTCATGCCAGAACTCCCAGGGTCCAGCTCCAAAATACTGTCTCTGAAAATTTACATCTGACTCTAGGTTTTTGTTTTTCTTCTTCTTTTACTAACATGATAAATCTGATCAGCAGGCATCTCTTTTTCATTGACTTTTTTTTTTTTTTTTGGGAGGGGTTCTTCCCAAGTAGGACTTTGTAAGTTATTGCTTTTTGAGTACGTGTCTTATTAATACTCCTTTGATTTTTTTTTCTTCTGTTTTTTTGTTGTCTTTTTGGGCAGTCACTTCACTCCCTCTGGTGCTGAGACTGCTTTGTTTGATGCAGGCCGTCGACCCACCTTCAGCCCCCCTCTACTCTAATATGGAGGGAGTGCACTTTAAGCTGCTTTACCATGGTGAGGCCCAAAGGTGCTGCTGACAACACTATCCTAAGGAAATGCATCGGCATTCTCTTCTTAGCCATGGAGAACCCCATACACAGTGTAATGCATCACAGTATGGTCAGACAAACAACTTCTTTATTAGATCCAAATAATCCGATAAAATAAGTCAGCAAAAATTCAGGCCTCATGCTAACACAGACACTGTCTTTTTTGTTGCTAAGAACTTCCACTTAATTCAGCACCTGCTATGTTTTGCTCTTTCTCTTTCACAAGTCTCTTGATTAGCATTGGCTTCGCTCATGTTAATTTAATATAATCATCACAAACACTCCAAGAAGTGCTCTCTGTTGATCTGCAGATGAAAAGGCTGTTCAGATGCCTTAGACTGATGTGGCAAACCATAACTAAGCCTATAATGACTGCAGTCCCATTTATTATGCATTCTGCATTGAGGTTGGCAACCCTCATCCCAGTTTGACATAGTATTTAGTTTTTTACTGTGTAAGTGGAGCCTTATCTGCAGCCTGTGCTGTTAGTTACATTCTACTGCCAATAGTCTGTTCAGAGGACACCTTGACACAGTTAATGTTATAGGACACATGCTGTCACATTTTGCGTGTCATGTCTGAATTTCTTCCTTAAATGGTTCTTGATGTGGGGATAGGTATATCTCTTTAGCTTGATATCAATGTAATGTCTGCCAACTTAATTGAAAGCCAAGTGTGTGATTACCTGATTGTGTGTATGTGTGTTAGTGAGTAGCGTGGTAGGGATGCTGAAGGCTTCGGACACAGAGAGCCTGCTGCCTGCCCTCAACTACCTGTACTGCTGCCTGAGTCTGGCACCGGAACACAGAACTGACCGAGGTTAGATACACTTTACTTTGGCCTCTGTGTTGGCCTATCTCCATTTTTGCTCTTTCTCTCTCTCAGCGCATTTTCACCCCCCCCTTGCCCCAAAATATTTCTCCCAGTCTGCCTTTTGTCCCTCTCTTCCTCGACAAAAGCAAGAAGCAATTTTTTTTGCATTTTGTGGATACGTTACTATGCGTGCAATTACTCTCTCATAAAAGACAACACTATTTTGTTTCTTTTCAAAAGAACGCCTGATTCTCAGATTATATCCACTAATTCTTGAATTAGAATTCATTTCAAAATACAAACTCTGTCCTATATCCAACAAATCAAGTGGAAAATTAGATATCAGTATGAATGGTCAATTCATACGAGGACTTATTTACAGTGAATCAATGTCAAGAAGAGGACTCAAGACAAAGTTGCTAATTAAAGACATTTTAATTATTTTATGGTACCTCCTGATAGATCATTTACAAGCAGTCATGCTAAAACAACTCAGCAGAGGTCAGCAGTGAGCTGGTTGACAGAGCAGACACACATTGAGGCCAGCCAGATCATGCCTACAGCTTTATTGCCTCTTCTGCTGCCTGCCTACATGCAAGCTGCTTTTGCCTATTCTGGTGATTTTTATTTCACTTCAGCCTCAGGCCAGACAGCGTTTCTGCTTATGTTGTGGTTCCCAGGAATAGCAACGCATTCCTCTGGATGAATATTTTAACTTTAAAAGACGGGATCGTTTATTTCTAAAATGTTACGCTGCTGTGCTGGTTTGCTGCCTATGTGCAGCATTCTGCCCTATTTTTATTCAAATCACTTGCCAATTACTTTTTTCCCAATTTTAAAATCAGTTATTAAGCCAAGTCATAGGATGAAACCCTGTTCTATTCTATCTAATTTAAACTGTTTTCATTCAAACTCACATACCAACGTACTTCATTCATTTCAGATATCATTTTGGAGGTTAAATGTGTTAAAAGCTTTTTACTTCTGATTTTCACTTACAAAGGGGTGTTTCTGTTCGTTAATTTTCCCTCACTTGTGTAGAAAGTAATGGGAATGTGGTGCTTTACAAGCTGATTGGTTTAATTTGTTACAAGAGCCAAAGTCGCCAAGGAAAGTTAAAGAGTTTAGATACTCATACAGGACACTAACATTCATGCGTAATGACACAGTTTGGTCCTCTTGCCAGCTGTCTTCATGCTGCTCTCCAACGGCGCGCTGATGGACCAGCTGCAGACAATCATCTCCTCTGCTCCATCCCCTCCTCCTTTGCTGTGCTGCAGCCATCTACTCCTGGCCTCTCTCATTACCTTGCAGCACGTTCACTCCACTCAGGTACACACTAGAGCTCAGGTTTGCACTTATCACAGCTTCAGGATTGAACTCCACACAATCAAGGTTCAGTCAAGGGCAAGAGACAGAATGCACGGCAAAACAGAACACTGAGCTAGAGGCAGAGGCAGAATACAAAAACAACAACTGCATTTGTTTGATACTACACGGCGTGGCTTAGGTATGCAAAACAGGCGGCTCCTGGTCTCTGCTCGCACTGCAGGAATAATATATTCTCACTTGCAGCAATTTTGTCTTTAATCTTGTTATCCTTCTGATTCGCCCTCTCCCTGTTTTTCCCTCTCTCTTTCTCTTTTATTAAAGGTCCATAAGAGCATCAGCTGGAGTCTGGACGCAGCTCTGCAGCGGCTCCTCCTTCAGAAAAAAAACACTGACACTTATGTGCTGGGTAAACAAAGAAAGGAAAAAAAACAAAAGCAGCTGAATTGTAAAGTTAATTGTCTTTTTTAAGGTACACAGTCAGGTCATGAGGGATGCGGGTGCTTGTTTGCTGATAGAAACGCCTGAGAGCTTCTCAATATTTGTAGATAGCTCCTTTTTTTCCTACCCCCCCCCCTATTTTGCCCACTTCTTCTCAGTAGTGCTGTGTCACTTGCTTTTACATTTCCTATGGTATGGAAAACAGATGTGAAATCATGAGACACAACAGCATACTCTGCCCTGGCCTTAGGCATTCCTGTTGTAAATTAGAGGACTATGACGGGCCTAACGCTCTGATTCGGTGAGGCGACCACCTTCCAGTACATCTCCTTCGCTAGCGTTGACCAAAGCCCAGGCTTGCATTGCTCATGCTCATTATATTAAGTGGACCACATCCCACTGCAGCGCTCGTAGAGAGATCATCCCTGCTCCTGTGTCTCTGTCTGTCAGCTGGATAAGTGGCCTGTCAGGGTCTCAGTGATGTATTGCCCCTTTCCCTCTACTTGCCTATCTCTGTCTCTTCACCCACTCAGCCTTCTCTCTGTTTGTCTTTTTCTCATTTTTGTGCCCCTTATTTTTCCCATTCTACCCTGTCTTTCTTTCTCTCTTTCTTTTCCACTGCCACTAATTAGCCCCCCCCTTCCCCCCTCAGAGAGCTGTAATCGCAGTGTACACGGCGTAAGTGCTTTTCAGATGGTTGGTCGCTCTTAGTTTGGATTCCACTGTCCTCCGGCAGTGCTTTTCAGCTTGTCTCTTTTTATCTCCGTCTTGACTGTGGTCCCTCAGTGTTGCTTAACTCTGTTCAACCCTGCCTCGGAGTTGGCACTGACACCTTTAACTTCTTAACTTCTCTCTGTCACATATCAGTCCCAAAATTTGTTATCAGTTGCTTTCAGCTGTTTGTCTGTCCTTTGTTAGATTTCAACCGTCTGTTTTTCTTCCTTCAAATTTCCTGTTTCAATCTGTATACCCCCCTCCCTCAATCTTTTGTTGTAGTCTTTCATCCCAGAAATGCTTAATATATCCTCCTTGTCTGGCTTCCATTCCATTTTTCCATTTCCATTTTTCATTTTCTTTCTTGTTTTTCTAGCCATTGTCGCTTTGCTTTCTTAACATTGTTGCTTTGCTTTATTTCTCTTTCCAGTCAGCTACCTGAGGTTGCTGCAGGCCCTACTTGATGTAGATCTGGCATCAACAGTGGTTAATCTGAGCACTGGTGAGGCCTTGGTAGGGCCCAGACCTCTGCAGGTTGAAGACGGTGCCCTGTACCCGCTTGGCTCCAGAGGGGCACTGTGTCTCGTAACCTCTCTCAGTGGACTACTGTTTCAGGTTGTGGCATTTTTTGTGGCTATTGATATGTTTGTTTGTATTAATCCAAATGTATTCCATATATTTAGTAACTGATGCATCTTGCTTTGCTGGATAAATATAGCTTTGTTTTGTAAACACTTTGCTTTTATTGTATTGCTTTGTAATTTGAGGAAATTGTAACTAGTAGTCATGGTGTTTTATTAGGGAAAGTCTCAGAGAAGTTAATGTGATGCAGAACATCACACAGAATCAGTCAGGGGTAGCAAGTTCCCAATAGTGTTTGGTGTAGCCTGTCTCATACACCTCAATGTGACCTCAGGAAAAAGCACATATATAACCTCTAAATACTGGTACAGTGGCCCTTTACTAAGCTCTACAGGAGCTCTAGAAAAGTGACCCACTCTGTGTCCGAGCTGCAGAAGGTTGTGTGTCCTATTGGAAGAGGACACACAGCGTAAACCATAAAATTGATCTTTAAAGTCCTAACAAAGAGACATTGAGCTTTCTTTTCACAATAAGTAATAGCATAATGAAATGGCATTCTCTGTGTTTTCTAAAGGGATATTTTTACATGTAGCCACTGACTTTGCTGGTTTAGTGCAAAGGTGTTGAATATTTGTGTTTAATTAAAGAATTCAAGCACTATCTTTGCTGGATAGCAGCCAACTCAGATCCAGCCTGAAGGATCAACGGCACACTAACATTTTTTTAACTTAAAAAGGTGTCGGGTCATGAGACATCCATTGGTCATAGTCTGGTGGCCAGATCGCACAAACCAGTGGATAAGTGTAATGCCGAATTCGACTCCCCACCAGTTGCATCTCCTCAAAAAAAAAAAAAAAGGCCCAACTGAGTTCTACGGTTCAGCTTTCCACTCTGCTGTTGAGGAGCTGATATGACTAACAGCCCCCAAACTCCTCCTTGCTCCTGTTCTTTGCTCCCTCTGCCTTCAATGCTCTGTTTCAGCAGCAGGGAGGAACACTGCAGGTCCAGAGTTCTTCTCTCCCCTTCACTTGTTACGTCCCGTCTCCTGCACACACACAGTGGTCCATTGTGCCGTCCTCTTTCTATTTCATCCCTCTCTTAACCTTAGTGTTTACTTTAATTTTAATTTCTTCATTTGTCTTTGCATCCTCATCTTGGTTCCCTCATCTGTATTTCCTGAACCTTGACCCATTTCACCTCCCTCACTCCTTTGTCCCATTTGTCTCCTTGACTCCTTTCTTGTGTTATCACCATCTCTCTGTTTATTGATAGGTTAGAACTGCCCCTTGTCATCTCATATATCTGATGGTTCTACTTGAGTATTTTTGGACACTGCTCAGTGCTCACTGTCAGCCCCCTAATGTTGGAAGACGCATGCATTATTAAAATCTCACTCAGTCGCTCTTCTCTGTTATCTTCTTCTCCCTTGTGTTTCGAAACGCGACTCTGTCCAGTGGCGAGTATGTGTGTGAGTGTATGTACGCGTGCTTCTGGTCCCTCTGCGTTTGTTGTTCTGTTTGTGCCAGTTTCTGCCAAGTGACTAAACAGAGGCTGTGACACTGACAGATATTTTACATTTCAGGCAATGTCTGCCATCGGAATATGTAAAGGCTGCATTACTTCATTTTATTTTGAGTTTCCTTGTCTCAAAAGATACTTTGAAGAATTTATTCCCTTCTGGATGAGTTGTCGGTGGTATTTATCAAATATAAGACGCTTACTTTCATCCATCCATTCATATCCCAGATGGGATATCAATCTCCAGCTCTTAATCATCCCTTCTGATTATCTATTGACTTTTTCTTCATGGCAGTTTACGGCGTTATTCATTTGGATACTTTATTGATTCCTCTGGTATCTTGACATAACAATTTTTCTTTCTCATAATGTGAATGTGTTTTTTTATTCCTTTATTATTATTCCTTTGACGATTGTTCTACTAAAGGTTAATTAAAATTACCTAGGAATTGTTATTTCAAGGATAAAACTTTTTTTACCCGCAGGAAAACTTTGAAGAACTACAAAAAAAAAAGTGTCAGTTTGGTTACATGTTATTTCAGTTTGTGTCACAGCTGCGGTGACCGTGCATAACCGACACCCAAATAATAGATGTTGTTTGCTGTGAGGCAAAGATGAAACATTTAGTTTTAATCACCAGATAAAGCCCATATTTTTATTGCTTGTTACATCTAAATGCCACATCAGAGAATACAATCTAGCGCGTATGTTATTATTTAAAGATATACGATTGACCAATTGGTCACATCTAAAAATTATGTTCCAAAAACCTCTTCTTCTACAAATATGCTTTAAACTGCGCGCACCTTAAGAAATATTTGTCGCTCTGTCCTTTTTGTGCTCTTGAATTCCATTATGTTTTGGCTCATTGCGTCTCTTCCCCCTCAGAAACACGAGCTGTTGTTGAGAGCGTCAGTGAACTGCCTGGCCTCCCTGCTGGGCTTCATGAAGAGAAGGAGTCCCTCTTCAGGTAACAAACAGACAGGGAAGGAGCAACCGTGGGTTGCCCGTTTGTCCTTGTGAGGAAAAAGATTTACAAATGCTTTGAGGGTTCAGATGAAAGGATGTGAATGTTTTCTGCAGCATATACACATGTTAAAAGTTACTCTTCTTAAGGTTTTTTTTTGTATTGTCAGAGCTACATTTCTGTCATAGATTCTATGCTACATCATCATTAAGGGTTAAAACACAGACAGTTTCCCTCTCATATTTTACATTTGTTATATGAGTCATTTTTTAGTGAAGGGAAGTTAATGTAAAGAAAGTAAAAGGATTCAGCACTGGAGTGTTTTAATTCTTTGTCCCGACTGACTTGCTTGAATATGTGTTTTCTCGTTTTTCTCCTCGTGGGTTTCTCATGTGCGTTTTGTGTGTGCCTGTGTATTAGCCAAGTATGTCGTGTGTCAGCCCTGGACTCGATTTCTCCTGCACTGCCTGCTCAGCTCAGGGGAGAGCTGCCCTCTTCACCCCGCCATTCTCAGACTCATCACAGTTGTGAGATGTTTCACACGCACACACACAAACACGGAGCAGAGGTGATTCATGTTTAATTTTAAAAGTAATAAAAGTTAATGGAGATGATATAATACTGGAAGGTGTTTAGATCACGTGAGTAATGAGGCCAAATGCAGTGCTGAGTAATGCAGACTAACACGGTGCCACACATCATAAAGATGAATTATTACTATATTTTCTTTTACGAGTAGAGCCTCTAAACATGTGTCATGTATTATTCAGTGACTGAGCGTAAGGGGCTAGATTGCACTTCTAGTCGACTTCAGCTCTTCGAGAGACAGAGATATCAGTAAGGAATTGGGATATTTTCTGTACAGAAGCTGAACACCAGCCAGTTATGACATGGGAAAGATCCATGTCACTGGCAATTCATCTCAGAGAGCGCTTTTTTCTGACGTTAACATTGGCATTATTGCACCTCAAATGACTGATATACAACTTCAGCGAATTGTTCCTGATCCACAACTCTTAAAGGATATTATTAGTGTTTCTATTCTAAGTGCTCACTATTCTGGCTTAGTAAAATATATCTAGCTTTTTCATTTTCACAGATGAATTTGAGGACAAAGGTATTAAATTACATTTAAAATGTAATTTCTCCTTAAATCTAAATGTGCAAATGAGTCTGTAGTTGAAAAAGGGTATATTTTTCCTTAACTAAAAAGCTGTTTATGAGTCTGTTCAAGGCACCTTTACAGTGAGGAAAATAAGTATTTGAACACCCTGCGACTTTGCAAGTATAGTAATGTATCGGGACCGGCCAGCACGGTGGTGTGGTGGTTAGCACCATCGCCTCACGCCAAGAAGGTTCTACGTTTAAGTCCCTGGGGAATGCAGGACATTTCTGTGTGGATATTGCATGTTCTTCCTGTGTCTGCGTGGGTTCTCTGGCTTCCTCCCACCGTCCAAAAACCTTAGGTTGATTGGACATTCTAAATTGCCCTTAGGAGTGAGTATGCGTGTGCGTGTGCATGGTTGTTAGTCCTTGTGTGTCTCTGTGTGGCCCTGAGATGGACTGGCGGACTGTCCAGGCTGTACCCCGCCTCTCACCTATTGACTACTGGGATAGGCTCCATTCACCCCGCGACTCCATTAGGGAATAAGCGGTTACAAAAATGGATGGATGGATCAAAACCACAAAAAAAGTCGTTATCTGGCTCTCTCCATATCTTCCTGTTTTTATTTCAGATTCCTCCGGGTTCAGTCACGACTGCATCTGTGTAAGGATGAACGTTTGTGTGCTGTCTCTGTCTTTTTTCGGTGCAGCTGTTGGAGTCCAGCAGCACGGCTGTGCTGTGGGAGCCAGACTTGCTCGGTGTTATTGAGACTGTGGGGAGGACGGGGGTGAAGGAGCTCAGTCAGGAAGCAGCACAGGCCCTGAGGCTGCTGCTGATCCAGGTAAACCATGTGCACACACACATGACGGCTTTAAACGTGCCAGGGAAATCATGGAGGGCACACTTTGAGAGCATTTGTCATTATACTATTAGCTGGAAAACTATTTTTTTAGTACAATGTCAGATAGATGGTATAAAGATAGTTAAAAGATAAATAGAGGACAGATGGAGCAGGAAAAGTGGGGAAGGGAAGCATCTGTGTCAATGTAAAGATTTAACTCATATTACTGCACCAAAACACTATGAGAGCAGGAAACATATCCACAGTGTACAACCAAATTATTCATACACATGGAAAAGCAATGTTTTAAGCATTTTTAAAAGAAGGAAAGGGGGAAACCTACTCTGGTAGCTCATTCCAACAACAAGGCACAAGGGAGGAGAAAAATGTGGATATTTTTATCGTAGCCCTGCTCTGTCAGTCATGGGTCCAATGAACAGTCATCTGTGCATTTGAATATTGCACATTTGAATATTTGTCAGGATCATTTGCCTTGAAAATTGTTCTAAATTTGACTCCACTTTGTCATTCTCGTTTTGTAAGTGGTGAACTGTCGATGTGCTAATCTCAGCCCACCAGCAGGGTAGTGGGTGGGCCTGCCCAGCAATGACCAGCTGTAGTGCTGGTGTAATTCACACAGACACTTTTTTAACCATGGGTTAAAAATTTGGTTTAAAGAAAAACTTTCCGTCTTACCAGCTGTTCTCTTCACTTTTCCTCACATACATTCAAATATACTGAATGGCATCACTCTCTTTTGGGTCAAGACTGGCTGGCATGCAACTGTTTTGTGAATTTTAGATTCAGAGCAGACATCTTCAGCTGATTTAGTTTTTTATTTTTTTGTTTGTTTTTGTCTTGTTTTTGCAGGCATATGAATTTTTTTTTAAATTAATTCTAAGTGGTGGAGAACATTTTACATAATGTATTCAATGCCTCATTTTTCTACATAAAAAGTCTGTTCAGTGTAAAAGTCAGAATAATGTCCGTTTATCTCACTGTCGACATTCTTTTTGCTTTGTTTGAAGATGACAGTACAGGGTTTCCTCCTACAAATACAAATGATGTACATTCAATTTCATTAATGTGCCCAGCTACTCAATGCTGACACTAGATGGAACCTTATCGGTCATGAAAACCTCTGCTGGTTGGATGATGATTTATTAAAACTGTTTGTCAGTCTGTATGTATATCTGCGTCGACTGAGCTTTGTGCTTAAATTAAATTATACATGAGTAACTCAGGGCCTGGACTGGAATACTGTCACTCTGTTTGTGCAGTCTCTTGCCAAAAAAGCAACCGGAAAGATACAGTTGACATTTGAAGTCTATAAATGTGTCATTTCATTCTACAAATAATGACATGAATTAAGCAAAGCAGTACAGTTTTTGTCAGCAGCTGCTTTGCTTTGTTCTGTAATGATCATAGCTCTGACACAAGCTTTCGTGTACAGTTAGTGTCATTTGCTGCATCATACCAGTCATTTCTGCGGGAAAAAAAATCACCATCCGAACTCCATCCTTGTCATATCCCTTGTTAGTTTTGCGGCAAGTCCATCTTGGATTGCTTAAAGATGCTGTAAACGACGGAAACGGTGGCAGCGTCGCCACAGAAAAGATTGAATTTGGCATCATACACAGGGCCTGAATTGCATTTAGTATTCTGAGAAGAGCTCCAAGTCAGAGGAGTGACAGAATGATGGCATGATGGCACACACTGCAGCTCCCAGAGCACTGTGTTCCAGGGACTCTTGAACTGTGTGAATGCATGCAAATGTGTCAGCTCGCCTGTGTAAGCAAGTGCATTCTGCTCGTCTGTGAGCACAGCGCATATTTTTCTAAAGGCTTCTAGACTGCTTTGGTGAGCCGGGGGGTTCAGGTTCCCTAAAAGGTCTCATCACAGTCTGACTTTTGTCCGACGCACACACTCTGGTACATGTTGAATTTCACTGTTTTCTGAGGCTCTACTGATTCCACGGGCCCGTGGACTGAAGGTGAGCTCTGCTCATGAGGACTTTCTGTGCACACATTTATGAGGGATGTGGGGTCCTGCCATAGCTGTGGCCAAAAGACCCAGTCAGGGTTAGGAGCTTTTTTCTCGTGCTGCTTGTTTTTGTTTCCCTCAGACTAAAGGGACTTTGTCACCACCACTCTTATCACCATCCTTCCTGCACCAACTCTGGGGTTTTCAATTCCATCCCTTAGTTATTTCACCCCACGTTCCACAGCTTCCTTCCTCTTTTTCATTTCGTTCCAAATTGTTTTCATCCCACTAACTCCTCTTCATTCGCCCCTACTGCTATTTTCAATTACTGACCAGTAATGGAACATTTTTATAGTTTTTTTTTTTCTTTTAACTGTTTGTTCCTCACAACTTTGTCTTCTGGAGTTTGATGGGAGCTTGTTCCATACGAACAACTTCAACGTCTTTTTTTATTTTATTCTGCACATGACCAAAGTCATCGATGTTTGCGTCCTATTGGTCGTATTTCATAGGAGTGCTGTTGTGAGCTCTTCTGAGTAATTCGATTTTCACAAACCTAAAGTTGTCATATCAAATCTGTCCTTGTTTTGATACAAAATAATCAAAATATCCACCTGTCCTTTTTTGAGCTCATATCATTTCAGGCTAGATATTAGAAAGCCCCTGACATCACTGTACTTATTGTTGTGAGGCGAGCTTGGAAAATGACATTCATAAGGAAGAAAATGACCATTTGGTGAGAATATTTGGGTCCACTGTAGTGGCAGTAAGTTTACCTCCAGCATCTTTTCTCACTGAGATTGAGAAAAGTGTGTGCATATTCCCCTTTTTTCCTCAAACTGTCATTATGCCGGGTTCTTCCTCTCGTTAAGTTTACATTTTTACTGATGTTTGCATCTGACTTTTGATCAACAAAATGAAAATCGTTTGCTTTGTTTTACGCAGATTCAGAGCAGCGTGTCAGTGCCCACAGAGGAGCACAAGCTGACAATGAGGAAAATGATGGAGGAGCTTGAACTAAGGACATCAGCTGCCAACTGTGACTCCAGCCCATCCCCCAACATCATGTATCCTAAACTGCAACAAGCTCATCCACAGCTCTGAACTTTACAACACACGCAAAATTCACTCCAGGAAACTGCCATTGTCAGAAAACAAGCCTGAGCACGTAGCAGGTGGAGCAGGTGGAGCAAGTAGAGCAGGTTCTGTGAAAACTTCAGCACTGCAGCACATGCGGCACACATTTAAGTGCATTGTGAAAGATAACCGTACTGTCATTGATTTTCTCTGACATGGTTATTGAATGTCTGTCTGGCCCTTTTTGCTGAAAACTGTGTCAAGCAACACAGGATCTGCTGGAAAGTCAAAGTCTGTACTTAAAGGGCCGGCACTCCTGCCATGCTTAATAGCTCACTGACACACACTTATTTTATATTTTTCTCTCATGGGACTTTTATCCACTAATGAAGGCTCAGACTTCCTTTTTGTAGTTATTCAGTGTCACTTTCACATGCTTTACTGTTATATGAAAAGCTATTTAGCCTTGTGTAGAATTACAAGAGGATCAAATAAGCCCCATGAAAGTGGAGTGGTGTCCTCTTTTATAAAGGCTTAATATCAGTAAATAACCAACTTTAAAGTGACCCCTGATGAATCTTCACTACCTGGCTTTGTAGCTCCTTGACGCTTTATTTCAGATATAGTGGAGATGTGTCCCTATGTCTGTCCGACTTTGCTCTGAAAGCAGGCTGTTTAAAATATTTGAGCGATCAATATGCATAAATTTTACTTTAATTTTTTGTATTACTTTTTTGTTAAGTCTCATTTGGCTCATAACTACTATATGTGTTTGTAAAGCAGTCCATCATATTTAAGTTACATGATGAGACACAGTTTTGCATAAGAAAAAAACGTCTAAGATGGCCTTTTCTCATTTTCAACAGCGTATTTTCCGGCATTCCACAGGCAAAATAAATTATTGTTCATTGTAATAATGGGAATCTCCGGTGGCCTTTATGTCTGAATGATGATTTGCATCACTTAAACGTGACTGTGGCAAATACAGTTACACTTTAAAGTCACTTTCACCTACAGCTTCTTTCGGCGTTTAAATTCCAAATTCCGATGCAAAATAAGGGAACGTGTACTGTTTCTATATTTTTATTTTATTTTCACCTGTAATCCAATATAAATAAGCGAATGACTGAATCTGACTGTGAAGGAAGAGCGTGTGCTGGTGCCACGCTCTAAGTCCGCCGGGTGGAAACCACATCCTCCTCCGTGTTTAGCGCCCGCTCGCTGTCATTCGTCCAAGACGAGCCAGCCGGTGCGATCGTGGCGCTGGTGGAGTGGAGCAGCGAGAGCCGCATGTAAATGACCCACCACCGCTGCTGCTACTGCTGCTACTATCACCTGAGGATCCGGAGGGATAAATTGACCGGGCCGTTTTCTACTCCGTCGGCGAGCCGACTTTTTTAACGCTTTGAGCAGGGACGCGAAGAACGGCTGAGCGGCACCACTCGGGAGCAAACGCTGCCCGCAAACCTCTGCCGTGTGGCCACTACGCGGTGAGTGAACCTCGGGTTCTGTGGAACCATCCAGCGCTGGATCCCCGCGGCTGTGTTGGCCGCTGCTTGGTGCACACGCACACGCACACACACATACACACACACATGCAGGAGGTTTTCCCGTGTAGATGAGCGACTTGAGAGACTTTCACAGAAACGCTTAGCCGTTGAGAAAGTGTTGAAATGGTCACGCATTATTGCGAAGTTGCTGTTTACACGGCAGTCTTTGACTACGCGTGTAATTTCCGGCTCTGGCCGTGTGTCGGCGGCTGCGTGTATGACGGCTGGAGGAAAGTCAGGTCAGGCAGGGGACGTGCAGTTAATTAACCAGTCTGTAATTAATAGTCCACATGACAGCCTTTATCCAGACTCAGCCTGCAACATCATCATTACGCATGCCCGTTGATTTGCTTTTGCATGAATGATGGCAGAAGAGTCTCTCAGATATAGGCAGAGAGAGAGAGAGAGAAAGAGAGATGAAGTGGCAGTCCTTGAACCTCAAGCCTCCCTTCAGGCTTGTAGCCCGAGGGGAAATAGGATCCACTTCATCCAGCTGTCTGTCTGATGGGCATGTTGCTTTTTCCATCCTCTCCAGAGATGCTTTCAGCTCAGGGGTCAGTTTGCCTTTTGAGATGATTTTTCTTTTCTTTACCTGCTGCTCTTCTAGGGAATTATTTCCAAATAGCATTAGTTTTAGCTGTGATTACCAAAGGAGCTGCAGAAGGAGATCACAACCACCAGCAGCCACACTCAATAACAGAAGGAGGAATCCTCACTGGCCGACTGGACACAGAGGAAAATCAGACTTCAGCCTCTCTGACTCATGAGGTCATCGTTAGTAGAAAAGGAAATCTACAGCAGAGAGATTCACGTGGGCTTCCGTGACTTCAGCAAGCAGTAGGCTGTCTGTATTCCTCCACAGGGCCAACTCATCTCGCCTACTTTAGCGCCACAGGGAGAAAGAGGTCCAAACCAGGCCCTCCCACCTCAGACACTGAACGTCATTGGGCTGATCGGAGGGAATCTAAACTGGTCCAAGACTCAGTATGATTTTGTTTTTAAAAAGCTGGGCAAAGTTAATCCCCCTCTTATGTACTATTTTTGCACATTAGGTTAAAAAGATGTTGTAAACTAAACCAATTCAGGTTTCCAAGATAGACATAATGTTTAGCTATAACCTAAGTGTTATAGGTCCTGTTGACATTTTCCCCAGCACGCCGTGTGTCGCCACCTTTCTAATTTTGGGTCAAAGCCGAGCCAATACCTCGGCCGGTGGGTTTTCTGATTACTTCCTTGTCGAAAGGTTTCCATCCAGCGCGATTAGTCCTGCCTGCCCTGGAGCTAATGGTTGTGTTTAGACTCCCATTTCAAGGCTATCCGTGCCACATTAGAAATGATTGATCAGCTGTTTAAGTCCTGCGTCCATTACCTCTCAGAATCTCAGCACTTTGCCCTTTTCGCACCGAAACATTGGCAGCTGCTGGATATACAATATGTGTTGACTGTGTTAAACCGTGCCAGCGGCAATAACCTTTTTGCTCATAAATATCTGTCGAAACTACACGGCCGCCCGCTCTGAAACACACAGCAACATCAAATAAGTCGACAGGCTCCTGCCACGGGGGAGACAGCGCCTTCTGTCCTTGGCTGTTGCACAAAAATATTGAAGCTTTCCACCAGCACTTAAGGGTATTTAGTGGAGCATTTCTCAGAGCACTTTGGAAGAAGTTCAATTTATGGGGTCCGAGCGCACAAATGTCCTCAGGTTTACTTGTTTCAACTTTTAATCTCACACAGGAGACCTCACCTGCCCAAAAAGGGAAGTCTGTTGCATGCACACAGAGAAGCACGTCGAGATGTACTCTGAAATCCTGGTTTTTGAGCAGCTGTCAGCACGCGTTTTCCCTCTGTAGCCGCTAAATGAAAAGGGAGCTCCGAGGGTGAGATGATCGCTGTTTGTCCGTGTTATCGGCCCACTAAAGAGGGATGGTGGGCCGTCCTCTGTCGTGCGCTTTTCTCATCCGATTGGAGAGAGACTGTGCAGGGGAATCACTCGATCGATCCAAATTAACATTCACACCGTGAGATATTTGCTCACTTCCCAGTCCTCCACATTCAAGGATTGGCGCCAGGCTTGTAAAGATGAGCTCAGATAGTTGGGGAATCGTGTCCCGTGTGCTCATTATCCGCCACCGCCTGGCTCTCCTGCTTTCATACTGCACTTCCACTCGCTGTGTCTGAGAAAAGGTAGATGAAATATTCACCAGGATAGCTGTTGTTTTCCTGCAGGGGTCTTGCCCCCTTATTTCCAAGAGCTTTAACACCCACCCGCTCATCTCTTTTCCTCCCCTTTCTCCTCTGCCTCCATATATTACTCTCCATACAATCCTCCCAAGCCTCATAGCCTACTACATCCCTCTGATAGTTTAATTGATGGAGCCCTTGCTAAATTATGCATGGATTATGTGAAATATATCTTGTAGCTTTTCATAAATATAATTCTGCGCCTCCCTTCAGTTGAATCTGTTTTCTTCTTTTTTTTTTTTTTTTAAACTACCCTTCATCAAATTTTAAATTTATCAGTCCTACCGTCACAGCTCTTTCAGTTATCCTATCGCTTTCATCCGTGTCTTTCAAATGCACAAAAAGCCTCTAAGGAAATGAATATTTCAGAGGAAAAGGAAAATGTTGCAGGCCACTGTTTGCATTGGAGACGCAAAGGGGATTGGGAGAGGGGGATCTTGTACGGAGATTGTGCAAGTTTCTCTGGGGGATAAGCAAGTGCCAGACATAAGATGTGCCTGAAAGGAAGCATACAGCTCCCCCTGAGCGGATGCCAGTCACCCTCTGTCGTACCATATTGACCATTAATCCCCAGCACGTTTCTCCATCCCATCTCGTGGAATGTCAAACGTGAGGCCAAAGTGAATTGTTTGTAAATCAAAAGTGAAATCTCTATCTAGTGAAAGTCCCCAGTAGTCCTTTGGTGTTTTAAAGCAGTTTCTGTTCTCCTTCCCCTAGTGTCCAGAAGAGTGCCCCTCTGCCACCCCCTGGTGACCATGCAGAGAGTGAGCGCCGTGGTCCTGGCGCTCGCCGCCGCCGCCCTCAGCTCCACAGACTCCGACCTGCACCGACCACGACACGACTCCAACCTGGAGATCTGTATCCTTCCGTCAGCGACGTGTGTGTGTGTGTGTGTTTCAGCTTCTATGCTGTGAGCGATGGCGTCAGAATTTGTATAGGGTGTTCCTCATGTGTTCTGCATGCGTCTTCCTGACCTCCTCTCGCCAGATAAGCGCCTGTTTGAGACCAAGAGAAAAGATCAGCTGAACGCGCTGAAGAATCTAGTGGAGCTTAACGACATCAACCAACAGTACAAGATCATAGACATCATGCTCAAAGGGCTTTTCAAGGTAAATTGTGCGGGCTCCCTCCAGTCACATGGTCACCACAGAGCTCTGAGACGTCTGCCTTTTAGATGAGAAGGCCTGCAGAATAAGGCCGCTCGCAATTGTTTGCTCTCGTTTTAATGTTAATAAAGAGTGCTCACTGAGCAGTTCATGCCGGCAGCTTTGATTTACAGCATTCTTCCCGTTTCCCAGAGGACAGCTATCTGTGCGTCCACGTGCCTCACAAGGACATCCAGCCTAGGCAACCTTCAGCGGCAGGGAAACACTGTCAGCACTTCTGTATCACTCCTGTCAGCGCAAGGCGAAGCGCTTTACAGAACGTACACGCCGTCGATGTCGGTGGCAGGGAAGTGGCGTGTAAAACACAGCGACGGGCCAAATTAGCATTTACTCCGAGCCGTAAGTCCGGCCTCGCAGGGCAGCTGCCGGCGCGGCTGTGGGAGGTTTCCAAAACACAGTTAACACTCTGGATTAAATGCTTGTTTGTTTTTGAAATGCAGTAATGAGCTAATTATCCCGTTGGACAGCGGTTTATCCATAGTAGAACAGAGAAAACGCATCAAGCGTTGAAAGTGAGCCATTTTTTTCATTATCTGAAAATCACCAGCTCATCTGAAGTTTGATGGCAGCGAAGAAATCTCAAACATATCGGGTCGGTAAAGAATCGGTCAGATTAACCGGCAACAGGTCTGTCAAACCCCTACAAGAGCACCTTAGAGAGGCAGAGTCTCCCAGAAGTAAAGACTAAAGAGTTCAGCGACAACAGACTCTGTAGATAGCAGCTTTATTATCTCTGGGTCCTGGAAGCTGGGGTTGATAAATCATCAGGGTGTGTTCTTACTTAAGGTGTTGGAGGACTCGAGGCAGATCCTGGTGGCGGCAAACATGCGGCCTGACGACCCCTTCCCAATGGATGATAAGATCAAAGAAGGTCTGCCTCTTTTTTACTCCTGGTATTACTGCATTTTTCTCCAGGCTTCTTTTTTGTTTTATTTTAGTGGCTTTCTTTTTTGCCGATCCATCTCAGCTTCTTAAGTACAAATAACCCCAGCCTCTGTGTGCCCCTCAAAACCAAATCAGCCATTTCTTGCTCTGAGCTGTTCCTCTGTTCTGGCTGTCTTCACAGCTTATTCCCACGTGGTGGAGAACACAGCATTTTTCGGCGACGTGGCCTTGCGTTTCCCCCGGATCGTCCACCACTACTACGACCGCAACACCGACTGGGGCGGCCTGCTGCGCTGGGGGCTAAACTTCTGCAACCAGACGGGCGTCTTCACAGGGGGAGCCCACCAACACGTCCTCACACTGGTGAGTGCCCACAATCCCGACATGTTCCCGTCCGTAAAGCTGCAGCAGTTTTTGGGCTTAAATCTAAAGCTCTGTCGCTATTGAATGAATGTCTCAGTTTCTAGCTGCTAGTAAAGTAAAGGCTGTAACAGAAATGCCTTTTGCTAGTGTTTATCACAGTCAGAACTTACAGGAACAGTTAGAAAAATGTCATCGATGACGCATGGGGTTTAATAGCTGTGGGATAGGAACTGAGCAGATCCTCTGCTGTGTGGATGCAGACTCATGTAGAAGCTCACGCTGAGCGGGTGACATTTCCCTGCAAGGGGTGGGCCGTAGTGAAAAAAAACTAAAAAACTCTCGGCAATAAAGCCGTACTCCGCAACATAAAGCAGCGCCATGTGAATGAGACTGGCGTGTAATAACGACAGCATAGTCTGGGTGAAACTCCAGAAAGCGGCCTCCTGTCGTGACGGCATGCGATTCATCATCGGTGGCTGCTAGTATCTCCGAATCCCCGCCAAACACTGGTCAACATCTTTGTCCGTGATCTGTTGTGCTGTGTGGAATATTAAGGAGCGACAACATATGAAGCTTTCCCCCGTTTGAAATATGTGAGCTGAACCGCCGTAGGATTATTCCACAGGCTAAGCAGAAGGATTATGAAATGGATTAATCCTCAATCCACGTTTGAAAGCGTGCACAACCCGCTTTTCTGCCACAGTAACCCCACACTCGGCCTTCCCCAAAGAAAACGAGTATTAATTGCGAATTTCTGTTATTCTACTGTTGTCGCCGTCCCTCAGATGTCGCAGGAGCTGGGAATAACGGAGAAGTCCCCAGACTTCTTAAACCCATACCGTACGGAGAGAGACGACGTGAGTAAGAGGCCTCCATCTGGCTGCAGCACACTGTCCACTGTTGCTGTTGTTGTTGAAAGCACATTCCAATAGCCTAAAATTTGGTTCTCCTCTGGCCCTCTCTCTTCTGCACCAGGTTCTGCACACCGCCGAGGCTTTCCAGAAGATCCTGAGAGAGGAGGAGAAGAGGAGGAGGAAGGAGGAGAAGAGGAAAGAAATCAGGAAAGGCCCCCGCATCTCCCGCTCTCGCTCCGAGCTATAGCTCCCACGAGGAGCGGGGAAAAGGAGCCGGGGGAGAGAAATAACAAAAAGGGGAGCTGCTCGACTTGTAAACTGCGATGGCGGCGAGGGCAGCAGAAGCCGACGTCACTTGTTCAAAAGCCAGGTGCTCTGGAGGAATCGAGACAGGAGCCCTTAATGTGACAAAAGCTGAAGGAGAGCAGTCAGGTCCAGACCAAGACCTAAGATACTGTCGGCCTGCAGTCATTTAGAATTGGAATTAACTTAGTATAACAGGATGATTGTGGGAAAACAAGGGCATCTTTCTTTGTCGAGCACATGAGGATTATATAACTGAAGTTCGGAATAGTATTCATCCTTACAGTTTACTTCAAAACTTTCCAAAACCCCCCAGTATATTGTGTCTGGTCCAGATTTGATGTGTAAAACTCATATGCTTTAAATATCTGTGATTGCTTAATATGAATTCGACATATATTAAACGTGGCCTGGTTCTGTTTTCGGTTAAACTTGGTTAGTTTTTAGAAAGCTTTCCCTTGTTTTGGGGTTTGTTTGTTTTTTTTTCTTGAAAAGAGGACATGTTTCTAAAGGGATATTTATAAAAACAGATTTCTGCTCGATGTCATGTTTCATATTGAGTTTTTCTCACAGACGTTATGATTTCATGTTTACAAGGTCGTGTCATTCCATTCCATCTTTTATTTTCCATACTGTCTGACGGGATTCCAGGGCTTCTACCCCACCTTTGTTTCCGCCTCAATAACCCTTAGATGAAAATAATTTTATTCGGTGGAGCAGAAATCCAACATTTGATCCTTCATCTTGTGTTTGTGTTTGTTCAAACACGTTTTCCTGTTCGGGAAAACCTGTTTTTGTTTCAGTGTAAATTGACATTCTACCAGTTTAGATCAATTGAAATAAAACTGAACTTATTTTAAAAGAGCAAAATGACTGTTATATATATATATATATAAAACGTATATGTATATTTAATTATACTGCTGCAGAATCAACATGCCATTTTGTTGACACGTTTGATTTAATAAAGGAACTCTGGTATATTAAAAAAGAAGAAATAAAGAAGAGAACGTCGTTTGGGTTTGTTTTTTTTTAGGGTTTAATCCCTCTGCGTGCTTTCTGGTGTCACGTTCCAGCGGCTCACCAACAGAGGGCAGCCAGGCAGTACTGACTTTCTACGAGTCAAAGTCCAAATGTTTTGGTTCGGGTTGAACCGACTTAGAAGTTGCACACATCTGTCTGGAGCTGCGCTCACAGCGAGAGAACCAACGCTCCAACGCAAAAGATTAAACCCGAGGAATGTCCCCTAACCAGGACGAAGGTATCGCGATGTTTTCCTCTTGATTGGGTTTTTTGTCGTAAGTTAGCGTGTGGCTAATGTTAGCATAGGGACCCTAAAGATTTGGTGATTAAAACCAGTCGACGTTTGATTTGCGGTGCAATGCGACGCCAATAGGTGAACTTGGCAACAGGTTTACACCACTTGAACTCCACTCTAACGCTACAACTGTGTTTTTACGTTGTTTACATGTTGAACTGTGCTGTTTTCGAGCAGAAACTTCACGAAACCCCCGACTGTACAAAAGCGAGTTGCCGGAAGCCTACACCCACCACCCAAAGACAGCCGGGGCTGTCACGCGGGGTTAGAAGTTAACAACAAAAGCCAAAGGCGTCAGTGTTTAGACTTTAAATCTGCCCTGTATGAGCCAAACCGGCCCAGAGGCCTGCGGTAAGAGTCTGACTGCGTTTACTTCCACTCCTCTAAACTTGTTTGTTTACATGGACAGGGCACGTTTCAGCGGGTCAGACGCAGTTCTGCTTTCTTTATTGTCGTTGCCACTTTTCCAGAGGTACAAAGAAATGGGAGGTGCTGTTGATTCATTATCAGAAATAAAGATATATATAGCGTATAAAAAACAGTAAAGTATACAGAATCACACTGGTAAAATGGTATGAAAAGAATCTAAACAGAAAATTGTAGCATGGTTCTGTATGATTGCACTGATGGATTAAATACATGTGTATATATACACATATATATCACCTTTTTAAGTGTGCTTAGTTTGTTACAGCAATGTCATTTAAGCAAAATATCCATTTCCAAGTTTCCTTCTGCAGCAGAGCTGCTTGAAATGAACTGTACAGCTCTTGAAGCTTTTCGGAGGGCTGATGATATTTTGCATTAAGTGTGCTGGAGCATGGAAACTTGGAAAAGATGCAGAGTTGTGTGCCTTTAGGACCCGGTTAAGGAAACGCGGCCTTATCCAACTAATGAGGCGGCGCATACACAGGACCACATTTATTCAAGCAAAGAGAAACCGACAGATCTGACTAAATCAGACTTGAGTTGAAAAAAATATCTGTTGCTCTTTTATTTAATTTTTTATCAGATTAATATTCTGATTGAAAGTGGTCCAAGTTGGCGCTGCAGGCTTCAGCCTTCTCTTCATGTATAATGAAGTTTTAGGGATGGCGCAGACAAACCCACATTCAGCTGGTTATACAGTCAACGTGTTTCTGAATCTGCTTTAATGTTCCCTTCATCTTAAACTTTTCAAATTTGTCCAGAGTGAAGTGATTCCCTTCATCATGGGATTGTGGTTGGTCTAAATGCACATTTGAAATCTACCAGCATTAAAGCCGAGCCCTCATTCAGAGCACAGTGCGTTTGTGTGCTTTGTGGAGCCTAAATAATGACGTCCTTGCTCCTCGGTAAACCCCGGTGGGCAACTTTAGAGCGCCTTCTGCTGTTTTCATTACCAGCCGAGGGTCGAGACAAAACCATTCTCGACCGCTTAGTGAGAAACAACATTAGCCTCATCAAATTCTCATTTCTCCCGCAGGGTCTCCGCCAGAGGACGAGGATTCTGACATGGAGGCTCAGAACCAAAGCGACCGGCCCGACGCCGCCTGCAGCCAGGAGCTCCGGCTGGTGCTGGTGGGAAAGACCGGATCTGGGAAGAGCGCGTCTGGAAACACCATCCTGGGCCGGACGCAGTTCCTGTCGCAGATCAGCGCCAGCTCCGTCACCCAGGTCTGCCAGCTGGGCAGCGCCGAGCTGCCCGGCGAGGGGGGCCCACCGGCCAGTAGGAGGAGGATAACGGTGGTGGACATGCCGGGCTTCGGGGACACCCACCTGACTGAGGAGCAGACGCACGCAGAGATAGCCAAGTGCGTGTCCCTCTCCGCCCCTGGCCCGCACGCCTTCCTCCTGGTGGTCCCCATCGGCCGATACACGGACAGCGAGAACCAGGCCGTGCGCCAGCTGAGCAGGATATTCGGAGAGGACGCTGTCCGCCACCACACGGTGGTTCTTTTCACCAGGGGCGATGACCTGGAAGGCCTCGGGATCGAAAAATATCTGAGAGACACCGCTCCCCCGGGGCTCCGAGCTCTGATCGATAGATGTGGGGGCAGATACCACGTATTCAACAACAGAGGGCCGGCCAACTCGCCGCAGGTTAAGGAGCTGGTAAAGAAGGTGGAGGATATGGTGAAGCAGAGTGTCAGCGGGTTTTATACTAATCGGGTGTTTTTAGAGGCGGAGGCTGCCATCGCGGAGGAGCAGAGGAGGATGCTGAGTGAGGGGGGGCAGGCGGGGGCCGGGACAGAGGAGAAGGACAGCTGTGGGGTGAAAGCACCGGCTGAGGTGTCGAAACAAAGAAAGTGCGACTTGGAGTCTGGTGTAGGAGGTGAGGAGGGTTTTAGGGTTGAGAGATGGACAGAGGAGAGCAGGGGCGGTGTCCAGAACCTAATGAGGGAGCAGCTCAGAGGCCGGCATCGGGGGGGCGGCCGGGCGGTGGGCCGGCGGCAGTCTCTGCGCCAGTCCCTCAGCCGCTTCCGGAGGGAGGCCGCGCTCTCCGCCAAGGTGCTGGACAGAGTCCGAATCCTGGTGGTGGCGGGGGCGACGGGCATGGCGGTGGGGGCCGCGTTCGGGGCGGCCGCCCCCCTGGCCGCGGCGGCCGGAGCCTCTCTGGTGGGGAACTCCATCGGTTTCGCGGCCGGCCAGCTGTCTGCGGCCGGCGGGGCGGGCGTGGGGAAAGCCGTGGGCGCCATCGTGGCCGCGGCCTCTGGGAAAACCGCCGTGGCCCTGGGGGCGGCGACCGGCGGCCTCCTGGGGGGTTCGGTGGGAGCCGTGGCCGGCGTGGAGGCCGGCAGTGCTCGGGAGGGGGCCTTAGAGGCCCTGGGCCAGGTCAGCGTGATGGGGGCTGCTGCTGTGGGAGTGGCGGCCGGCGTGGGAGGCAGCGTGGGGGGCGGGGCGGCTTTAAGCGCCGCTCTGCAGGGGGCGGGCTGCGGCGCAGCGGCCGTGGGCGGGGCCCAAACGGCGGCAGATTTGGCCGCCGCTGCCGTCCCTCAGGTAGGCTCCACCTCAGCTGCAGCTCTGCACGCGGCGGCCTCGGTGGGGAACATGTCTGCGAACGCCGGGGTGAGTCAGAGCCTGGCAGCTGTGGCCGGCGAGGTAGCTGCAAACGCCCCAGTGGCCGCAGGGCCAGCGGCGGGGGCCGCGGGCCAGCTCTCAGGGCCCTGCGCGGCGTCGCTGGGGGCCGGCGCCGTGTCGGCCCACCGGAGCCACGTGGCTGCGGCCACCTGCATCTTAAACGCAGTGGCTGAAATTGGAAAAGCTGCAGCAGGCATCGCCCTGGCCGGTGGCTTGGTCGTGAAGGTAGTGAAGGAGAAAGTGAGGGGCGGCACAGGCAGAACGGAGGCCGCTTACTCAGAGAAGAAGTCTTATGAAATCTACTGGAACAAATAAACTCAAACCAAGACGGGAGTCAAATCCCAGCGCCTGAAATCATCTTATTCTACCATCTCTCTAATTCAGTAAATATTATTGTTACTTGCAGATGAGTGTGATATAAAACAAGAGAATATGAAGGAACTAATCAGACTTAAAGGAAGAAATGACAAGTTTCCAAACTGTTTGCAGTGCTGTGTGACAACTTGTCCCTTTTGCTTGATTTCTTCTTACCAAAAACAGTTTCATATAAATGAGCAGCCAATGCCAAGTGTTTATATAGATTATATATCAAATCTTTTTAAAAATGCTCATTTCTATAAATACTCCTGTCTGCCACTTGAGACTGCCTCGCAGAGTGTTTTCATGTAATTGTAATATTATTCATAACGTTGCCGCTGTTTGTGTTGAAAGTTGGCAAATTGCTTGCATTTTGAATCCTTAAAGGGCCAGTTGTAACAACACTGTTTGAAATCCTGTTGCAGAGAGGAGTTTTGCAGTTATGTAATAACTCTGAACTTGCTGTTCATCAGGTGTGAGTATTTCTCCAGCTCACGTGTGTGCTCCTGTTCTGCAGTTAAATCACAATAAAGCACTTACCTGTTTACGACTGAGTGTTTTCCTTTGTTAAAAAAATACTATAGACACTTTATTTGAAGTTAAATATAAAGTACATTTGTGAACAATAATGTATTCTGCTGTTTCGGAGGTGTTATATATCTGTAGAAAAACACGAGACATTTCAGTGCTTTTGTTTTGTTAATTTTTTCCCCCATAAAAGACTCCATAAAAAACACCTGTTATGGATTTTTTTTTTCTTCTCTTGGTGCTTGTGATATACTGCGTGTAATGACTAACTGCTTTACGACGTCAGTTATTCAAAAAAATATGTCCGCAGCATTGAGTTAATGTCATGTATTTGTTACCATCATTACTTCCAAGGTGTTGGATGTGACTGGTGAGGCTCTTTCTATGAAGATAGGGGGCGCGGTTTATTCAAATGACACAGAAGCTTCTGATGCTTGACGTACTATCAGACCACAGTAAATGCGGCCGTGTCATTGGACGACGGTGACTGGTCTCATGACAAGAAGAGCCAATTGGATCCCGTTTGGAGCCACACAGTCTGTTTGTGAATGACGTAATTAGCGTAAAACAAGATGGCGTCGCCTTGGATGTAAATTGCCGTGAATGATTTTCTTAGTGTAAATTGTGCCTCCGTCGAGGCTGTGGTGTTGTATTTCGCCTGTTCTGATAACGGAGACACTTCCTTATCAGATAAGGCCGTCGTGGACGTTTCGGAACGCCTGAGAGGAGCCTACGGTTCTTGCGTCTGTTCTCCCGCGACCCTCCGGTGACAGCCGCAGAGGCGAGCCGCTGACGGCCAGGATGGACACCGGAGAGTACATCTCCACCATGGAGAACATGGACACGACTTTATCAGAATTAGGGGACGAGTTTACTTTAGGAGACATTGACGGTGAGTAGTACACACGTTGCTGCCCTCCCTGCCCTCGGTGTTGTTGTTTCCTAAATGTTGGCCTGTTTCCACTCTGTCACAACAACTTCTTGCATCCGGTCTGAGATTTGTCCGTGGAGTTTTATATTAAATTATACTGTCAGATTCTGAAGCAGTGACTGGGGTTATTAAATGTTTGCAGTTGTTCATATTTGTGTTCTAGTCCAGGTTTAATTTGTACACATAGTTATGCATTTGTTTATTAAAGAGAATTTAGAAACAGTCAGTACGTATGAGTAAATACATAATTGTATTTATTTAATTAATTATTTAGATGTTATCTTTATTTTTTGCTTGTGGAGTAAATGGGGTCTGGTGACGCTGTATAAGGTAACGGTCTAATTACTGAACACTAAGAGCCGTAAGAGCAAACAGTTGTTTAGATATTGTGATGAGAAACTAATTTTATGTGTCCCTGGAGGTGGAAAAAATGGATTAAAAAGTTTAGAGGACACACCAAAAATAAAAACAAGACATTTGTAAAACCCGATATAGAATAAAATGAACAAAACTATAATTTTAGAAAGTTCAAGCACTAAAAAAGCCCCATTTGCCTTAACAAAAGTAAATGCTTTCTGAAATGTCTTTATGTTTCTCTCTCTGCTTGTTGCTGCTCAGGAGCAACTTATGACTTTTCTGCTTACTTTTGCATCTGTTAGAAGCAATCCCGTGAGCCAGGTCTCTGTATAGATCCAGTTCTCCAAACTTTTATTTGAGCACATGGAAGTCCTACCTGATTAGACCTCAGAGGTCTCAAATGAAGGAGGGTTCAGTTTTTGGTGTCACACAAGGCAGTGCCGTGTCATCAGATTCCCATTTAGGTAGAATTTAACTAGATCCAAAGTCACCGGACCAGACTGGCAGATGGCCTGGGTGGTTTCTGATTTGAAGTGTTTACAATCAGAGAACTGGCGTACAGGATTATGTAACAGCAGCCTTGGAGGCGCAACATCAACATTCTGAAAGAATACCTGCTTTTGGCTTCAAAAGCTAATTTTCCATTCATATGTGGCTGATCGAGGGGATAAGCAGACATCAGGCCAGCCTCGGTTGTGTAATCCCAATTAATCATCGTGTCAAAAGAGAGGAATGTACAGATTGTTTGTTTGAAAGAGGAGGGGGAAAAAAGCTGATGAATTCACAGGCAGACTGCAGCACAGACAGTCCAGCTCTACTCTGTCCCCGTCTGGCCCACGCCTGCTGGAAAAAATACAGCTTTACTGTTTGGGACTTTTCCAACTATAGAAAGATTCAGTTCAGTGTCAGAAATCGTTGGAATATTCATGCATTTATTAAACAAAAGGTCTTGTAGTTGATCTTTTATTCGTATGGGGCATCCCTGTTCTCCAGAGGCTACCCTTACTAACTTCAGATCTGCTTATATAACTTATTGTATTTGGTCTCTGATGTACTGGCCCCACTTTGATTAGTTTAAATATAGTGTGCGCTTGTGAGAGTATCTTTATAGCCTGCCTCTAAAAGTCTGCTCTCTGTGTGAGGGCAGAACAATGTGTGCATAAAGTGTCTGATAATTGTTTAGTTGCCATTCCTGTTTATTCCCAATGTCCTGGACTTTAAAGGACACTTCCTTAAAACCCATAGGCACAGTAAGCAAGAGAACTTTTAGAAACCTACCACACAATTAGTTTGAGATGAGATTGTGAGGATCTTCTGCATCACTCACTGTGCGTGGGACCGACTTGTCAGTTTAATGCTTGGAACTTTTTGCTTCGTCTTCATTTAGAGTTAAAACTAAATGTCGATCAGTCATGTCATGAGCTGCTGGTCTTTACATCGTTGCTTTACGTCTGATGGCACTTTCAAAAGAAATCCAGCAGATCTCAGCTATTAACCCCCTGAGATATATCGCCTTACATACTATGAAATGGTCTGCTGCTTGAAATTGATTCTTGTTTTTATGAGTCTCGGTGCAGCTCCCCCCAACAGGCTGATAAATTGCCCCGCACTCAGCCTTCAGCGGACCAGGAAGCAGTTATAGTTCAGGTGCAGCAGAGCTTGGACTCTCCAGATTCCTGTCTTGTTGCGAGGACGTTGTGAACACACACCCTCTTGGGTGCTGAGCTACTGAGTCACAGTAGTGATGTCTTCTGTCTGAAAAGTACATGTCACATCCATGTTAGGAGCAGTTGAGGAGGTGGCTGGAAACGAGCCTAATTCATCAACCCTCCACTGCTGTGCCTCGCTGTTGGTGTCAGGGTTTTTTTGTTTTGTTTTGTTTTGTTAATATGCCGTGTTTGGTTTTCACCAAATATCCTCAGTCTTTTGCCAGAAATTTAACAGTCTGATCTTGAGAGTGAATTGCTGGGTCTTGCTTTGATTTGTATGGGGTGTTTTTCTCAAGGAATATCCCTCTCCACATCAATAATTGGGGAAGCAGTGGGGTTATTATAGGTTTTTAACACATTGTACTTTTCTTGTAGAGTTCTTTCTATGAATAATGAAGCTGTAATATGTCCGATGCTGCTGTTCATTGTACAGTGCCAGTAATGCGGTCGTCGATGTAATGCCACTTCAGACAGGCCATGAATGTGCTCTTTGTCTCCTGTATCGTCTGGTCTGGCTCTCTTACAGCAGGACTAAGTTCAAGGCTACACCATAGTGACCCTGACACTTCAGGCCATGGGCTCTGTCAGTTGCATCAGTCAGGGAATCTTCAACTACACAAGCTCTCAAAAGCTCCTGGGCCACAGTCTTGTTTTAATCAGACACCTGACAGGAAAGAATGTAGTTTGCACGCATTTTTTTTCAATGCAATAAGAAAAATTTCCTGAATTAAATAAATCTTAATTATTGGAGAAGCAGGAAACTGTGTGTGTGCGATTAAAACCAACCAGTAGAAATGGTACAACATTTGTTCACTAAAACATGATTTCTTTCCGGTTCTGATATGGAGCTCCTTCGTTTCTGTAAAAAGACCAATTCAGTGAAAACAGAATAAGTGATTGCCCAGTAATTGCAGAATGCTGCATAATCATAGGTTTAATGGGTTGAATTGACAGTTATCTATCTACCATTATCTGTGAGGGTCATCAGAATTACCACCCACTTTTTCAAGGTTTCTGTTTGAAGGTTTCTTTTAATTGATTTATGACCTGAACAGTAGCTGTGCATGACTGAATGCGCCTGTTCAAGGCCATGTAGTGAAATTCTCTATAATCTGTTGAAAGCGTTCAGACGTTTACCACCTATTATTAGGATAAAGTGAGCTTCCAGTCAATCACATGGCCATTGTCTGTCATCGGTTTATATTGCAGTATGTTCATCTTGACCTATACAGTTGCTAAGCAACAACAAATTTCCAAAGTAAAATCAGTTTAGAAGTATTTTGATCAAAATACACTTCAGATCCCACAATACTCATGTTTTGTATTGTTGTTTTTTTTAGATGCACTGATTAAATTCTGACTTTTCACAATGTCCCTCTGCCTCTGGATCTCCTCCAGAGATGCTGCAGTTTGTCAGCAACCAGGTGGGGGACTTCCCAGACTTGTTTGAGGACCAGATGACGACAGCGGGCTCTTTACAAAATGGCTCTGCCAGCTCACAGCCGGCCATCCAGACCCCTCCCACTCCCCAGACACCGACGGCTGCTGCCTACCAGGTTTCCAGTGCGGGCCTCTCCCCCGCCCAGACGCTGTCTCCACAGTCCGTACCCCTCACCCCTCCCCTCACACCCGCCCAGACGCTCTCTCCACAGTCCGTACCCCTCACCCCGCCCCTCACACCCGCCCAGACGCCCTCTCCCATCGCCACCCCCGCAGTGCAGCAGCAGGTGACCCGCAGCCCACCGCTGCTTCAGCCACGCCCTCAGGTGGTCCAGCCCATCCAGCCTCAGCCCCAGCAGCCAGCCCAGCAAACCATTCAGGTAGGGCCTTTTATTATGTTTGTCACTGTCTGGATTTGGAGATGGTTGAATATAAGTTAGTCAATGATGCCACTTAAAAACACTCTTAATTTCCGTGTCAGAGATAAAAATGCCAGTTTAAATGGAGCCTTTGTTTCCCCTTTGAATATAGATGCACACCCAGGGGCTCCACATGCAGGCCCAAAGCTTCCCAGTGCACACCCTGGTTCAGACTCACAGCCAGACGCCGTTGCCCATTCAGACCCAAGCAGCCCAGACTGTGATGATTGCCTCCAGTGGGGGACAGTCACGCTTCATCCAGAACCCCGTCATCTGTCATCAGAACCACACCCCTGGTTTCCAAGGTGAGTGCAGAAAAAGCCAGGACAGCTTTTCTGGATATGTGAGTGAGTTCAAACCCGATTCATCATGTTATTATGCTTTATGTCTATTGATAATATCAAGCTGCCAGTGTAATGGGAAAAAAAACATCCATCCATTTGTTTTTTCATTTGTCCAGTCCTCCAGCCGCAAGTGCAGAGCATCATGACTTCATCCCAGCTCCAACCAGTCACCATCCAGCACCAGCGTGTTCTGACCCCAACAGGTCAAACCATCCAGACCCTCTCCACAGCTCCCACTGCGGTCCACACTATGCAGCAGCAGATGCAACAAGTCCCAGTGAGTGACCTCTGTTTTCATGAGCAGCATTGGAGCGATAGCTATCAGAAAATTAATGGAAAATCATTGATGACGAGCAGACGAATCTTCATGACAAATCTGTAATGGCTTGTAAGAAAAACATCAAACCATCAGGCTGACACTTTGTGTTGCCCGTCTGTTAGGTTCTGGTCCAGCAGCCTCAGATTCTCAAGACGGACTCTCTGGTTCTCACAACACTCAAGCCGGATGGGACGCAGGTGTTGTCAACCATGCAGAGCCCCACAGGCATCACCACCCTCACCACACCCATTCAAAACACGGCTTTACAGGTTCCGGTATGCGGCATGCGGATAGAAAGATGATGATTTAGACCTCGTCCACAGACCTAATAGTTTGAAGTAAGCGTCCCGCTCTGGTTTCTGTCCACAGACACTGATGGGCAGCAACATTCTGACCACTGTTCCCGTTGTGATGGGAGGAGACAAGCTGCCCATCAAACAGCTCCAGCAAGGCTCCTCCAATGGCACATGTGGAGTCAGGCCGAGCATGGAGCAGAGCCAGATGTCAGGAGGGTTAGGGTCGGGGGTGGTGGTGAAGGAGGGCGAAAGGAGAACCACCCACAACATCATCGAGAAGAGATACAGGTCGTCCATCAACGATAAGATCGTGGAGCTCAGAGACCTGGTTATGGGAAACGATGCCAAGGTAGGATGGTCAAACAGCAGGACTGCTCTCATTCTGCTCTTAAACACAGCTCATCAGAAGGAGTCTCACAATTCCTTCTTCACATATTTTCATCTCAGATGCATAAATCAGGAGTGCTGAGGAAGGCCATCGACTACATAAAATACCTGCAGCAGGTCAACCACAAGCTACGACAGGAGAACCTGGCCCTGAAAATGTCCAACCAGAAGAACAGTACGTGTTTCTGTTGATTTAAAAAAAACAAAAAACGATACAGGTCATCATTTATAGCCACGGGAGATTACAGTGAAAGATTCTGTGTGTCTCAGAGCCGGGGACACTCACGGAGGACGTGGAGCTCAAACAGGAAGTGGTGATGATGTCCCCTCCGGCCTCAGATTCTGGCTCTGGATCCCCTCAACAGTTTTCTCCGTACTGCGTGGACTCTGAGCCTGGCAGCCCCCTGCTGGATCATGATCAGGTGTCTGCCGTCGGCACCATCGCGCTGTTCTCTGCTCTTTATTTTTCTCATTAAGATCGTCTGTAACCTCTTCATCTCTTTCAGTTGAAGAGTGAGCCTGACTCTCCCTCCTCGGTGGGGGTGATGGACCGCTCCCGGCTGCTCCTGTGCGCCCTGACTTTCGTCTGCCTGTCCCTAAACCCACTGCCCTCGTTGTTGGGCTCTGAGTCCTCAATGGGCCCCAACCTTTCCACAGCCCATGTCCCATCTAGAACGCTCGTCTGGTTTCCAACTCACACACAGGACTTTGGTTGGCAGACCTTGCTGCTTTTCGTCTTCATTCACGCCTGAAATTTTTTTTCTCTCTCTCATGCCGTTTTCTTCTCATTTTCCAGCATCGTGGCTGCGCTGCCTGTTGCCGTGGGTGATGGTGTGGGTGCTGAGTGGGGTGGGAGCGGTGTGGGGCTGTGTCAGGGTGCTCTACCTGTGGGAGCCCGTCACACCCCTTCACTCGCCCAAATCCGTGTCGTTCTGGAGGCACCGGAAACAAGCCGACCTGCATCTCAACAGGGTGGGTGCAGATTCTCGTTCGCTCTCATCGCTTCAATGTCCCGGGTCTGGCGGGGCCGTTCCCTGTCTGGTGTCTAAATCCTCTTCACACGGAACTGTTTTCCGTCCTGGGGCTGCAGGGGGACTACACAGCAGCGATGGCCAGTTTGGAGACTTGCCTGTCCGTCTTGACGAGAGCTCTTCCTTCAACCCACCTGGACCTGATCTGCTCGCTGTCCTGGAACCTGATTCGCTACTGTCTGCACCGCCCAACTCCGCTGGGCTGGCTGGTCCACCAGGTCGGAGGGAAGCACGAGGGCGATGAGGCGCGGACCAGCGCCAAAGACGCAGCCCTGGTTTACCACCGGCTGAGCCAGCTCCAGCTCACAGGTCCGCGCGCCCATCCGAAGCCCGCCGTCGCATCCAGGGAACGAGGAGAAGGCTGGAGGAAGATAAAGGAATGTGTGCCGTGTCTTGTCTCCGCAGGGAAGCTGCCTCAGCGCAGCAGCCTGTGGGCTTTGTCTCTGTCCCTGAGTGCCATGAACCTCAGCGAGAGCGCCCAAGGCAAGATGCCCCCGGCTCAGCTCGCTCAGATTTATGTCACCGCGGCGACAGCCCTGCGCAGCGTCCTGGGCCACCATCTCTCATGTCTGCCTGTACGTCTCCACCCTTCTCCATCACCGCTTCCTGTCACCGTGGAGGAAAGCGCCCTCGCCGTTTCTCATCCCGTCGGCTTTGTCCGTCTCCCAGGGTTACCTGCTGGGCTGTGCAGAGAGTGTGGCCAACCAATCGGAGGGCAAGCCGGTCCCCGACTGTCTGCGCTGGCTCTTCACCCCATTGGGCAGGCAGTTCTTCCTGAGCTGCGATTGGTCGGTGAGGTCGGAGAGCACCGACGGGGTGTACACGTCTCAAAGAGACCCAGGTTTGATTTCTTTCCTGTTCCGTCCCGTTATGGAGGTGAGCCTGCTGCGTTGCTCACCCCCTCCTCTCTGTTTTGCAGTGGACCCCATCGCCCAGCTGCACCGCTGCTTCTGCAGGAAGCTTCTGGAGAGAGCCGTTCACACCCTCATCCAGCCGCAGAGCGACTCCGATGCCAGCAGCCGCAAGACCGACTTTGGGTACAGCAGAGGCAAGCTGGGCTCTCCACCGCCTTAGTGTCGTTGTCTTACCTGCTCTTCTTCTGCTCCGTTGCCCTTTCAGGGAGTTTTCCAGCGCCCTGGAGTTCCTCGAGTTGTTGAACAGCTGCACAGAAGACTCTCCTTCTCCACCTCCGCCTTTCTCAACTCCTCTCAATCCCACCACCATTCCCGGTACAAATAAATGGCCAGAAACTATGTTGACTTAAAATAAGGAAGCAAGAATCATTATCATTGTTTGCATAGAGGAATGATTCAAGCTTTTTATCATTAATCTGATGGCTAAAAACCATTTTCTTTCAACAGCCCATGTTCACTAGCACTTTTTTTATATTTGGTCATTGATTTATGGTAATAAGCAACTCCCTGTATTAGTTACCATAGTAACAATCCATCAGATCAGAGTTAAGGAGAATGTCTTTCTGTGTTTGCATCATCCTTTTGAGCCAGCTCCATCAGGCATTTGATTCATAATCCACAAAAGCTGTCGGAGCCTGTGCACCTATTCTTCTGTTCCTATCGTCCTCCTTTCTTTTTTTTTGCCAGTGGGTGACCCGGTGAGTCGCTGGTGGGCTCTTGTCCTGAAGGCTGCCGTTCATTGGCTGCAGGGTGATGACGTCACTGTGCGATTGCTCTTGGCTGAAGCAGAGCGAATGCCGAGGGCCCTGCACATTCTCGAGTAGGTCCAATCCAAGAAAATTACACTGGCTAAACGATATGAGTCAGAATACATAGATCTGACCCAAAACCTAATCCAGCTCTTGATCCAGACGTCCGTCCCTCTCTGTTTCAGCCACCCCCTGCCCAAGGCTGTGCTTCTTCTCTGTAAGGTGGTTCAGATGAGCCTCTCCCCTCTGAAGGGAGAGGGGGTGGCGGCCTGCCTCTCACACTGCGACAGAGCCAGCAGCTACCTACGCTCCAGCATCTCTGTGCCTCTCACCCAGCCTGGAAACTGGCTTAACAAGGTAGTTTGAGGACCCTGCCAGCACTGGCCACTGGTTTCACTGAGACCTGCACTTGGCTTGGGGGCGCACGGTGGCCTTAGAGGGCGGAGCTGCTATCAAATTGAATTTCCTCTTCTAGTTGGGTTGCTTTTTTAAGAGCTTAATGGTTCATGCACAAACCCACGCTGCATGTCGGGACAGCGGCAGGGCGGGCTGGTGTGTGTGTGTGTGTGTGTGTGTGTGTGTGTGCGCAGTGTGGGTGGCAGGAGGTGGCTGCGGTGCATTGTAGTTGCATTGCATTATCCTGAAACCGAGTGCAATGTGCCTGCAGTGCAACGCAGAGGCCTCCCCGATCTGCACGCACCCGCTACACACCCCACGGCTCCATAAGCGCCACCACCCACGGCAGCTGGGAGCTTGCCACGCTCATGTTTCTGATTTGTGTTTTGGGATGGGGCGCGATTGCGGTGGTCAGAGCAGAAAGACTTTGGGTACCAAATCAACTGCTCCAAAATTTATGTTCAGCCAAAGCTTAACTTTTTTTTTTCTTCTTATTTGCAAATGTAGAAAGCTTTTTTTATTTTTTTTTCTTCAAAGGGGGTGGAGGTCCTGGTGTGTGACCTGCTGCTGACTCTGAGGACCAGCTTATGGCAGCGAGGAAGCGGCAGTAACGGAGAGCCCAGCCTGGCTCCTGGATCCCAGCTGGCTGGTTTCCAGAGGGACCTGAGCGCACTCCGGAAGCTGGCCCAGTGTTACAGACAGGCGCAGCATAAGGTACGCCGGCCCAATCACTGCCTCCTTTTTTTGTTTTTCTTCTAATTGAATTCTGTGAAAACGCCTAAATTCAAAAGGCACCAAAGCCCGGAGGGCTCATTTAGCCTCCATCGCTCACCTTCTAGATAAATAGTTGAAAAGCTGGCTGCATTTGTGAAGTTAAAGCAAGCAGGGCAGGAACAGTCAGAAGATTTGTGTTAACTGCACCCACAACAAGCTCTTTTTTTTCTTTTCTTGCTTTTGCCTCAGGCGTTCCTTCATGAGACCACAGTGCGGCTGATGGCGGGAGCCAGCCCAACAAGGACCCACCAGCTGCTGGAGCACAACCTGCGACGCAGGCCTCGCAGCTCCTACTCAGCAGGTTAGCCAACCCCAAAACCTCCGTTTGATAGTTGAGTATTTCATATTATTTCAAGAATATGTACATCTAATTCCCCCTTCTCTCATTCTGCCGTCAGAGGGTGACTGTGTTCTGGGTGAAAGGGAGAGGGCTCATGCCATTCTCCTGGCCTGCCGCCACCTGCCCATGCCTCTGCTGACCCCCCCAGGCCACCGGGCCCGTCTGCTGGCGGAGGCCAAACGAACTCTGGAGCGGGTGGGGGACCGGCGCTCCCTGCAGGACTGTCAGCAGATCCTGCTGCGCCTGAGCGGGGGCACCACCATCGCCGCCTCCTGATCGCCCCCGTTAGCCAGGCTTCTTATTCCAGCGCAGCCTCTTATGGTCCCACAGTCCTTTTTCCCCTCAGAGTGCAGACGGATGGGTTTCCCTCCAAACCACAGCGTGTCCACCAACACACAGGTGGCTGTTCTCTACTCTTAACAGCTCCACAGATTTATATCAACAGGCCAGTTTTATGTCTGGTTTGAGGCCAAGTTGGAATGTGCTGGCCCCCGTCTGACCAGCAGCAAGGGCACCCGGAAAGTTCATTCTTCCACCCCGACCAATATCGCTTTTTTTTGGTTTGTTTGTTTTTAAAGCAATTCAGAACCAAACAATCTACCCCTTTCAGTTTAACGACACTCGGCTGTGTGGTTTCTGCTTAGATTGACTCACCAACAGCTCCAGGAGACCAATGTTAACAGGCCCTAAAAAAGGGACCATTACCCAACTAGCTCTTTAAATAAATGCAGCGCAGCAGTTTGGTGAGCTGCGGGAGCGGAGCCACGCTGGTTATCGGCAAACGGCAGTTTAAGTGCTGCAGCAGGCCGTTTACTGTTTAGTTTAATTTGCAAATGGATCAGCGGAGCTGGGAGCTCGGCTGTCCTGTAGGACAGCTTCACATGGGCCTGTTTGGAACCGTGCAGTGCTGAGTAGTGCGTCTTCTTGTCTACCTCAAATACTGTACAATGCCGTCATTGTGCCGTGGAGCAAAATAGGAAACTTAAGCACCGCGTCAATTACCCTGAATTGGAAATGAGGCCTGGGTTTACTTCAGTGTCCCGGTAATAAAACCTCGCTGACCTGAGTTCCGTTGACTGTGGGATTCGGCACAGGAATCTTTACTGGCGTCAGCAGGAGCCGCGGCCTCCTGCTCCTTAATGTCCGACGCCGGGCAGAGAAACCGTCAGATAAAGCACACAACACAACGCTGGCGAAAAATGCATATGACACACAAGGTTGTATATAAATTGTACAAAAGCCGACACACAGAAGTAGATCACTTGGAGAGCTGTTTGCTTCTGCTTTGGGACGCCCAGAAGAACCCTCTTAGGTCAACTGTCTGAACCTACTAGCTGTCCTCCACCAAACACTGCTGTTTTCAGACACTGGCCGGCTAAAGCCTTGCCTCAGGGCTTTGGAAAATGTCACTGTTGTGACATCCTCTTCCACGTTTGTCACATGTCAGCCGGTGTCTGAATCTCAAGAGAGGTTTGTGGCGCACAGTGCACAGGTAGAAATGAAGGCCACTCTGGAAGTGATGTCCACCTACGGTGTAAAGCTCTCATGCAAAAAGGCATTGGTGTTAAGTAGTAAAGAAAGGATATTTTCTTATGTTTGAACGATTTTGGAGAGAAGCTGTAAGTTTTACGTGATATGTTTGTCTAATTAGCTTTTATTTGTAATTATCATCTTACAGTTTTCATTCCTGTTCCTTCGCTGTGGAATGTCTTATTTAATGGGTATGTAATATATAAATGCTTTTTGGGGCGGGGGGGAGCGTTTTGCAGTTATTGTTGTATATTGTTCTAAGCAGCATCAGGGCAGAACCTGTTCGAGGGGACTTTGAACTAAAGAGATGCTTTTTTTCTTTTTTTTTACTTTTAAAATGCAACTCCTTCGTTCTGACATTTAGCTTGCGTAAGGATCACTCCTTTTAAAGCTGAAATGTCACTTCTTCCATGTCTTAAAATGTCCAAGACTCTGTTTTCAGTGTCAATCAAAGCACCGCTGCAAATATGTTGGTTTAGATTCAGCCTCTCCAGCTGGTGAAAGGACACAATGCTTCAACAGCTTTGCCAAGCTACAGTTTTGTTGTCACTGTAAGTGCTTTTTGACTGTTGTATGTTTTTTTTTGTCTTTTCCCCTTGAGATGCTTTCTTGTTTGAAGTTGTTTTCCTTTGATTGTTTTCTAATAAAACACCTCAACACTGTGCGGCCTCTATAATGTTGTTGTTTTTTTTACTATCTGAATGGGACGTTCAGACACTGAAACTTAAGAAAGAGAAATTATGTTTCTTGTTTCTGGTTTGAGTCAGGGCAGTGCCATCACTAAGGAAATTTGCCAGAGTTGCACAGACTGTAGAAGCAGTGATCAAAATGACCTGGGATGACATTTTCCGTCTAATGGATACATGACAAGCTTCACACAAACTACATGGTATGTGTGTATATACATATAGATATATAAAATCGAAATACTTTTGAGTGGCTTCAAACTTATACAAAGAAAATCATGCTCCATAATATAAAAACAATCAAAGAACAAATAAAACCTGTCTGACAACACACCAACGGGCCATATCATTTGCCATCGGTGAAATAGGAGAAGCATGAATTCCAAATGTTCTATTTCTGCATAAATCAAATGGAACAAAATACATTATTTTCAATCAAATGAATACTGAAAGAATCTTTTAGAAAACAATTATATTTTGCTATTGAATTTTGCTTTGCTATTAACATCGAATCTCATATTTTTTTACACGCTTCACTGAACTGACCAAAGATGCTCTAACAGTATTTTTAAAAATGTTACTTCTTATTAGGGTTTAGGTTTCCACAAAACCCGAAACAAACGAGATATGGTCACATTTCCATGAAATATTCCTTGAAACATTTTTTTTAAACAAACAAACATGATCACGTTTGTGCGTGTGTATTGAAAGATAAAAGCATCAATACAATGAATAAATAAAACTGTTGCTGAGCAGTCCTAGCGGAACACTTCCCCTTAACGAGTTTCCTACCGGACGGGGTTACCGTGCGTGCCATTAAAGTTAAGTCGGAAGTATATTACAGGAAAACCTCACGTGCAGAAGATGAAAAACACAAAAAACAATAACCATGCATCCAAAAGGGGAAAATTCAAGCCAGGGTCCAAACGGAGAGAAAATAAATGCGTTGTAATGTTCGACGACAAAGACAGACAGTAAGTTTATCAGAGGTTGTGCTCTAACCGGCTACTGCTGTGAGCTAGCATGATAGCACTGACCCTTAACTTGTTTATTCTAATGTAAACTTGGCATGTGTTCTGTTAAATGTGTCTAAAAATTCTCCGCGTGAAAGCATAACGTTGATAGTTTTGTGTTTTACGAAGGAAAAAACATCACGTACATTGCAACAGTTTCCCTAAATATGTTATCAGCTCCAGTAGCTCTTGCTCTTACTTTTTAATTGTTTTTTTCTCTCACTCCTTTCCAGAACACCTATGGTCAATCTCTACGTCATGCTTACTTTATATTCTTATCATAACTTGTGTTTCCTCATAAAATTGATAGATTTTCAATAAAGTTTAGGAGGTATATGTTGAAAAGAGAGGTTATTAGGATGCAAGCTTTACATTTAAGCGAGTTTTGCCCCAAAGAAGTACGACACTGATGTCTCACATCTTGTTTTTATTCTAACCCGCTTGCTTTTACACAAATGACTGCAGTCAACGCCTTTCTTTTCCTCCTCTTTGTCAGAGATTATCTTACCGGTTTCCATAAGCGAAAAGTGGAGAGGAGAAAAGCAGCCGTGGACGAGATGAGGAAGAAAATTAAGGAAGAGCAGAAAAGAGTCAGAGAAGAAGTAAGTCGAAAGAATTGGTCCCAAACCTGAGTGTGTGATTACACAAGGAGCGAATGAGGGGCTAACTTTAGTTTTCTCCTTTCAGCGGCATAAGGAATACGTGAAGATGCTGCAGGCCAGAGAAGAAGCTCTTGGTGAGTTCAGGGAAGTCCGGTGCTCGGAATTCTTTTCAGCATTTTAGATTTGGGAATATGTGACTAATGTTATTTTTTTCCTCCCTCTTTGGTGTCTATTTCGCAGCGGACGCTGAAGATGACCTGGAAGATTTAATAACCAGCAAAACGGAGTCTGTGCAGTATGACCACCCGAACCACACGGTCACCGTGACGACAATCAGTGATCTTGACCTCTCCAGGACGTCTCTCCTGGGCTCTGCTGAAAACCAGGTAAACATTGAAGCCTGATGGGATCCAGTGGCTGTGAGGGAACTGTTCATACTTAAGGTTATAATATCAACTGTGAATGTAGGACTTAAAGGCTGAAGGGGACAACGAGGATAAAAAAGAGGGGGAAGAAGAAAAAGAAGAGAAAACACCTGCCATGCCTAAGAAAGCCGGAAACCCAATCATGACCAAAAAGTAAGACCGTTATCATATTTTTTTTCCCACTCATGTTCATCTTTTCTTGTCCTGAAAATAGCCTTTTATGCCATTTTAAAAGAAACTATAGACTGTTTCCCCACTTAGTCTGGTTACTCCTTCTGATTAACGACACATCAGTGGTGTCCTCAGATGTTTATTTTGGTCAGTCCAGCTTCATTCCCTCCCCCCCCCCCTTCAGGATCCGCACCCTGACGGCGGCCCTCAACACTTACACGTGCAAGCGGAAGCGGAAAGGCAAGCAGGAAGGCAGAGGCGGACGGGGCCGGCCCACAGACAGCAGACCCGGTGTCACGGAGAGGAAACGCAGAGGCGGGAAGACCGGGAAGACCGGCAGGTCCCAGCGGCGGAAACGCACCGGGAAGAGGGTTCACCATCAGGACTAAGGGTGCGCCTTTAAAAGCTTTGTGCGAGGTTCATCCTCTTTAAAGACACTCGACTTTTTGGGCGGACCTCGGCGTGCTGAGGCCTCTTTGTTGGAGCCGGATGTATATTTGCTGAAGTCATAAAACAGAGATGATGCAGATATTTTATTGTCTGACTTCTCTAAAAAAAAGATTTCCACTGTTTCTGCCTCTTGAAATGTCGTGCTCAGTGTTTTTGTAGTGTTCTCGTGTCGTTATTATTCACACACCACTGTAAATACATACCATTTGATTAAAGGAAATAGTTGTATTTCTGAATGCTCTCCTTTTGGAGGAGTGTCACCCCACAGTCGGTGTACTCTCTTTGGAATTTAGTTCCTCAGTGCTCTATTGTTAAATAGGAAACCTGATGCTGTTGTCAACATCCTCTGCGCTACACCAGGAAATCGGCCCTTGGCTCCGTTTCCTTAAAGCCAACTTTTACCTGCATGTGTGTTATATAGGAGCGCCTCAAAGCGCACAGCCAGTGGTTTAAATGCACGTAAACACCCCACATCTCACCGGTGTTTATTTATTTACATTAACCCGAGCCAGCGCCTTCCAGCTGTCCCTGGTGTGGGCGTTTCATTTCGCTTTCTAAAGCCTGTGATATTTAATACAGCCGCCCATCAGCGGAAGCGGAAGGCCACCGACTCCATGATGGATCCGGGGCCCGTGTGGGCCTGGGGGTCAGTGCTGTGTTAATGAGAGCCATCATGGCTGTCACGGATGCCTCAGTTTCACTCATTGTGAGAGCAGCCAATGGGGGTGAGCCGAGGGTTGGCAGCCCAGGAGGATAGAGAGCATGGGGAGGATGAGGCATGCGCCTCATGGGGGGCTGATGAGCAGATCATCCTCGAATTCCAAATGACATATTCAGAGTGGAGCTGGCCACAGGATCTAATTTTGTCTGGTAATTCTATTTTTTCTAAACTTCCATATTTATAAATATGTGGTTATAAAGAGTAGCTGCATCAAAGAAAATTTGTATTCTCTCTATAACTTTTTTTCTAAAGAATTCTAATACGTTGGAGATAGTAAAGCTTGTGGAGGTTGTTGAATTAAGGTGCATGTGTCTGGCTGTTTGCAGTGATACTTGTCTGTGGGGAACTCTTAACTGGTTTTTGTTTCCTTGTCCTCACCTAGTCTTTGCAGATGAGTACTTTCAGATCCTGCATGCATCATGAAATGAAGCCTTCTTTTTCGGGCAGGGCAGTAACTTTGGACTCCCTCTGACAGCACCTGCAGAAATTCCAGGTGTTAGCACCACCATATCAAAGAGTATTCATAGCTTTTTCTGTGTCATTACGCACTTGGTTGTTGGAGATATGAATGACTTTATTACAATGTCTTTTAGTTGGTTTGTTTAAGTCTTCCCCACTACTCGTGCTTCTGTTTCTCAGTGGTCTCTGGGTTGCAATGAGCGAGGCCACTGCCCCTCTAGACTCACCATGTCCCACTCTGCTGAGGAGCCCTCGTGCCCCAAGTTCCAGCCCAATATCTTTGACCCCTCCCGCTGCCATGACTGCCTACGCCAGAGGCACCTGCACACCAGCGCAGAGGACAGCCCTGAGCTCGCACCCCAGGAGAAGCCTCAGACACAGCCTGAGGCGGGGGCTAAGACCGGAACCGGTGCTGGGGTGGGAACTGGGATCGGGTCGAGCAGAGGAGGGGTGCTAACGCCGATCCCATCCCAGGCAGAGGAAGGAGACACGAGCTGTAAGGTAAGAATAAAAGACCCGAGTGAGGAGGAGGGAGGGGGGGGATGAGCCGGGGAACTCGGTAGGCAGGTGGAGAAACAAAGAGAATGTACTGACTGATGGGATTAGTTGGACCTTAACAAAGCCTGCCAGCTGAGAGCAGCTACACAATGAGGCTGAAGGGTTAATGATGCTTGTGTGGATCAAAAGTCAGAATTTCAAGAAGTCGTTTTGCCTTGAATTTGACGTACACAGGAGAGCTCCTCATTTGACCCAGAAATACGCCTCTGTGACCGAGAAGACAAATCATAACTCGTCTCCAAGTTCAGCTCAGACAAAATGCAGACTTAATGTGTGGTTGAGACACTGTTGGACGTAGAAAATAAGAGGTAACAACCCGGAGCAGGGTGGCAGTTGGTGCTCCTATTATAAATGAATGAAGCTGGATCACTTACTGCCCTCTTGAGAATCACAAGTAATTTTAGAAAGCGGTGTAAAAAGAGAGGATAGGCATGTGTCTGAATAGTATCAATAAAATGTGTCATGGCAACTACTTCCTGTTCATTCTGAATTCATAATGCTATTACAGCTGACTGGAGACTGAAGTTTTGTTTCAGTCCATAGTGCAGTTTTTTTGCATTAAAGTCTCTTTTGCGTATAACGTCTAGTTTCCTGGAAGGTGAAGGGATGAGAGCCATTTTCTTACGTCTATCGACAGCTTTGGATTTTAATACAGTGTTGTTTAAAAGAAGGTTTAACAGGGAGAAAAAAAAGGTATGAAATATTAATGAGGAAAGCCACAAAGCAGCTCAAGTTGCAGAAGTGTAACCTTAATCGAACAGTAGAATGAACGTGTCTGTTAGAGAGGAATCTGGGGGCAGATGCTATTCATCAAACAACCCAGGACATGAAGTCGGGCATAGATGTCTTGGACTTAAAGTTCACATGTCCCGTCATATTTTTCCATTTGTCTTCTTTTGGCCTTTGCCGGGAGACACAGCCATTCTCAAGATTGACACGCGTACCTTTGCGACCCGGAGAGAGATGGGGTTTGCTTGGACACTGTGAGTGGCCCATGTCTCTCCTTGTCACCCTATCAGGAAGATTCTGACAGCCTGTCAGTGGTGAGCAGCTTGTGTGATGTCAATGGAGGCCATTTGGGCTACGAGCAGACCTCTCTGTGCATCCTGAGCCCCGACTGTGAGCTTTACATCTGTGACGGTGACCAGGACTACAGCACAGACAGGTAAAGATACTTAAGCGTGACGGTTAGACCTCCAAACTGGTAAAATGTTTATTCCTTTGTGTGACAAATAGGTTAAATTTATTAAATAATTTGTATGAAATCTGTATAAAATCATTTATATGAAATAACTGCAGTAAATAAAACATCTCTAAGACCTAAAATCTTTAACCTTCCCAACTCTGCTCTTGTAATTCTTCTCCAATCTCCTTCTCCGTGTAGCTACTGTGACCGGAGCGAGTACAGCGGCTCCGTGAGTGCGGAGGAGGAATATTTGCAGATACGACAGGGTTTCTCCAAACTCAGCATGACTCGACTTGACCCTCCTTCTTACCGTCCCAGACCCCAAGCGTGGATGGATGAAGCCCAGAGCCGAAACAGCTTTCCTAGACATGCAGGTAAAAACTGAATATTTCTTTGCTCGAGACCTGGCAGATGAGATATATTGAGAATAGTTAGAAAAGACGTGCAACTCAGTTGCTGCAAGGTAAGGAAAAGGTTTAAGATTAGGATATCTCCCCTGATCTCTCATTTGAATGTGGGTAGTTTTTTTTAGATATTTATTTGCAGCAGTAGTCTGAGACCTCTGTAAACCTCCACTTGACCAATCTATATCTTGTTACAGCCAGAGGTGTTCTTTACTTGGCAATACTATTTGCAGTCACAAGCTGAGGTGTCAAAGTGCAATTATCCGTAATACAATATAGGTGGGTTTGTGTTGGTAAACCTCCAGAAGTTACTGACAAGCTGAACATTGTAGACCGAGTCCCTTTTTGTGTCCCCTATTATTATTTCCAATTTTTTTAATGGCTTCTTTCCTTAATCTTGATATTTTTATCACCCAGGCTTCAAAGAAGACAGAGAGAACCGTGAAAGCGGTTATTTTTCTCTGGGGAAGGCAGCGGGTGCCCGTTCACTCCGTGAAAATACGCCATCCGCCCCTTTTCGACATTTTGAAAGAGGTCATCCCATCTTTAGCCACAGAAACATTGTGCCCAAAGACACCATCCCATTCAGGAACCCTAATCTCGGTGTGGCCTCTGAAAGGCCAATACCGGAGTTTTTTGGTGAGGATATACCTTTTGAGAGCCCTCCTCCAGACCCTCATGAAGTTGCAGTTGAAGTTGAAGCCCAAGTTGGTCCTAGATCTCCAAGTCCCACTCCTTTTAAGATCGCAGAATCCCTGGCCTCAAGGGGCCGAAAGGGTTTCAATCGAGGGAATCCTTCTTCTCACGTCTCCTCCTTTCCACAGTCTGGACGCCATGATTCCTCAAGGCAAGCATCAGCTCTGCAGTCCCGCTCCCCATCGCCCACACGAGGAACATTACAATTCAGACGCAGTGAGTCCAGTGCCTCTCTAAACAGGCAAAACTTTGATGGGGGTGGGTGGACTCAAGGGACAGCAGCAAGGTCCAGAGGGTCCTCGCAAGGTGCACACGGACAACGTTTTGAGTCGGGAACTCTTCCAAGAAACTTCAAATCATTTGCTAGTTCAGTCAAATCCCAGTCGGGCACAGTTTCTGACTTTAGAGGGACCTTGCGGAAAGCAGAATGTAAGAGTTTGGATGATCTGGGTTTTGACGGCAGACGTTCATCTCCCTCAAGGAGGGGCTGTAACTCTTCAAGCCAAATGTCTCCTCTCAAAAATGAGGTTACCTCAAGTTTATCGCATCCACGCGGGGGTAACAGTCGTACCTCCTCTCCACCGAAAACAACCTTTAACAGTCTGCGTGACGGTTGCAGTTCTCCGCCGTCAAGGAGAAGTTACAGTTTGTCCAGCCAATCGATCCTTCGTAAATCTGAATCAGTTACTTCTCTTAACAGACACAGTCACTATGGTCGCTGCGGTTCCCCAATTAGAGAAGGCTACGATATTGAAAGTCAGGCTCTGCTGCGTAATCCATCGTCTAGAAACGGGTTTAATGGTCAAGATGGTGAGGTCCCCACCATGGCTCCCCCTGTACGAGATTACGACAGACCTAGTCAATCCGTACTTCGTAAGACTTCCTCAAGCCCTGTCAGTAGCAGTCGAGTTCGGGATAGCCGTTCCTCCTCTCCCAGTAGGAGGAGCTATGAAAACCTTAATCAGTATCAAATTAAAAAGAAAGACTTCAATGGTTCTTTAAATGGGCATAGTCATGACATTCGTAACTCCTCACCTTTGAGAAGAAACTACGATGGTAAGCACTCTCAGCCTCTGCTGCGCGAAAAGCCTGAGTGTAACAGCCCCATCAAAAGCCGCCATGGTTACAGTTCCCCAGCTTTTAGTAAAGGCAACGATGCACCCGATCAACGCATACTTCGGAAGTCAGAAACCGGCAGCAGCCTAAAAAGCAAGAGTCAACACAGCCGCAGCTCCTCACCGTCTATAAAAGGCAATACTCACCCACCAGGCTATTCACTCCTCAGAACTGCTTCTAACGGAGACTCTAATCATTCCCCTCAGAGAAAAAACTTTCCCAGTGAAAATAAATCTGACTCTAATCGCTTACCACACACATGGCGGGGATCCACACATTCCCTGCACAGCTCCTCACAATCTTTAGCTACTTCACCCTCAAAACAAACCACAAATGGGAACAAAACCACTTTTGTCTCTAGGCAAACAACTAGATGGACTGGAAATGTCAGGTCTGGGGTTACTAAACAGAGTTATGACGATCGCTGCCCTTCTCCCAACGACAGAAGGCCTTCCCAACGCACACGTAGCAATTCTCCCTCACCTCGTATTCAAATGCTGAGGCATACCTCCTCCCAGAGCTCCATGGAGTCTTCAGAGTCAGGCCAACACTCTGTGGGATCCGCAGGACGGAACAGAGAAGAGTACGCCATGTTGGCTGACCTGCCAAAGGTCAAAAGGATTTATCAGAGAGAGGCTCCAGGCCACACCGGGCGGCCATCGAGCCAGCAGGCCATCCGGAGGCAGGACCTCTTCAAACCGGCCAGGTCAGACTCACTTAGCAATCACAAATATAAGAAGCACTTTCCTATATTGGGTTTGTGAGTGAATATTGAATAATACTGTTCCTATATAATCCAATTGACACAAGTTAAACAAGCCAATGACAAAATTTCCTTCTAATGCAGCATCGGCAGGTATAGATTTGTCACGATGGGACACTGACAAACTCTTTGTGCTTTTCAGTCACTCTCTGAGCAAGCATCCCTCCACCGAGTGGGAAGATGCAGGGGAAACGGAAAAAGAGTGGCAGCACGGTGGTAGCGGGTATCTGTCCCGAGCTCACTCCTCCACATCATTACAAGTAGGCTGATTGAGACTATTATGAGTTCTACCGACACCTGAACAGTTCAGTCCTTAGATTGTGATTTCAGCTATGTGAAATATGTTTGTGGTGAAATACTGTATATTTCCATCCAACAAACCAATGTTGCATTCAAAAGAGAAAACACATTTGATATTGAAAGTGAGAAACTTGATTATTTAAAAAAAAAAAACACAAGTGGATCTTAAATTTGAGTAGCATTGCCTCATCTTTTACCATTATTCTTTGTTGATAAATCTTTGGGAGAGGAATGTTGCCCCGTCCTTGTGTGATATGGAAATCAAGTTGCTCAGCAACCCCGGCTCTCCTTTGTTCTATTTGGTGTTTTGTCATTTGTTGCATGTGATAGCAGAAGGTCTTAATCACACCTTTCACCAAAAAATTGTCTTAATTTGTCTTTTGAAAGTCAAAATCTTCATGTTTGTTCTGTGCAATACCTATGATCTTTGTAACCACGAGCTATTCTTATCCAGAGATCTGGCAGTCCCACAGCGGATGAGGGCAGTTCTTGGAAAAGTAATAATCACAGATCAGACCAAGTGCAGGTATGTGCTACAGCTTCATATTACGAGTTTGTCGAACAGTGTCCCTTGTTTGTTTGTTTTACAGCCAATGGGCCCTTTTCATTTTCCAGTGCATGTTTATTGCCTACCAACCTACATCACCATATTCATGCACACCCCCACCATTGTGCACTCTTAAACCTAGATATATATTCAAATTGACTTCCTGTTTCCGACATCATTTCAGCTTCTTCTAATTGTGTGTCCATTTGCTTTACCAACACTTGAGTCATTTCATGGGTTTGACTGAGCTTTGTCAGTTGTGGTCTGCTGGGGCATGTGTGGAAATTCCTGAACTGAAACCAATAGCTACAGAAGAGAGGATTTTTGAAGGGGAGGAATGCCACTTAATTTCCAAACCCCGGAGATTATTCTCTCAGGAAACTAGGGCAAGTTGGCTCCTTACGTTTGAAAACTAGGCTAAAGCTAAACTTTTCCAAGTCGTTGATCCCCAAGATTTATTTTGCTCCCAGGAAGAGTGGAGGAACAAGAGCTGAAGCTAAACACTTTTTCCATACTATTTCTTGTTGTGACAGGCTGTTTTGGGTGCAGTTAATCAGGACTATAATATCTCTCATGTGGCCAGGTGCTCGAATGGATCCCCTGCTGGTCATGAAGACTCCCCAACCCTATTTTCACAGAGCCAGCGTCGCGTGTTTTCTCAAAACGGTCTTGGCGGATCCGCCCAGGAAGTGGCAGACAGGGTAGACAGAGCAGAGAGAGAGAGAGAGAGAGAGAGAGCAACGAGTAGCGACATATCCGAGGCTGCAGGGGAACGTTTGACTTGTCAGAAAGTTTTCGGAAAACACCGTTTTTTAGCGCCAGCCGCTGGTCTCCGGGGAAGCGGAATGGATGCCCTTTCCCCCGAACACCGGGCAGAAAGTTTGCCCTGAAAAGGACGGCGGCTCGTTTTTGGTTGCGATAAAAAAAAAGAAAGAAAAGAAAAAGAAAACCGTATGAATGGCGAGGTTTTATCAAAATTTGCGTAACGCGAGTTTTCCGCGTGAGAGCAAGGTGCGTTTTACCCGAGCGTTTTAGATAAGCCGAGTCGTTCCGTTTGAGGACAGGACCAGTTTCTGGACTCTACTGGAAGTATCTGTACTTTCGTCTTTATTTATTTAGTTGTTTATTTTTTTACCTGCCCGGACCCTTTATTTTTTTTATCATGACGGTAAGCTGCGCCCTCTTTCAATAAGTGCTAGCCTAAACTCATGTCGTGAAAGCAGTTTTTGTTTTTCCTGTCTTACACCTTCTTCCTCATTTAATGTGTGTGTGTGTGGACTGTTGCCGTGGAACGTGGCGTGCTCGTCGTATTTAAACGAAAGTTTAAAGTTTTTAAAGTCCACGTACAGTAGCTAGCTGTTTTTGTTAGGGGTGTGTTCAAAGTTACCGCTAGCTTAAAACATTTTTTTTTTTTTAAATTTCAGTGCAGCTGCCTGTAATATTCTGTCTGCGGGGCTGACAGGCTGGCTCCTGTGGGGTGTAGCTCCTTCTGTTTACCCTCTGGCTGTTTACAGTAGCTGGACGTGTCATTTGCCAGTAGTCGGGACCCGTGTGTGACACTTTATGGCCGGGTTGTGACACATGTTGATGGCGCACTCAACTGGAGGACACCTTGAAAAGTTCAGTTGAACTGAACAAGACTTTGGGTGTTCTGTTTTTGGGGAAATGCATCTTTCCTCACACGGGACTGCACTTTCTCTTTTGTTGTTTGACACTGTGTTTTGAACTTGAGGGCCACCATACTGTTTGCACATAGTCTCAAAGAGCCCAAATAAGCTGTTAACTTGTTTTGTGAGGCACACAGGAGGTGTTGTGGCACGGAACCACGATAATCCAGGAACTGTCATCACAATGGTTGTACAATAGGATACTCCTGTTCACAGGTAACCTGTTAAGCTTAGACCGAGAGACAAAGCTCCCCAAACAATGCTCGTTTTTTTTGGTGGCAGGAAACAGGGGTTGTGAAGAGTCCCACATTGTTTCAGACTTGTCATGCACTTTGTTTCCATTTCAGACGCGATCATTGAGAGAAGTGGTTATTTTCTAAAATGTGTCCTCCTCCCTCAAACTGTTTCCTGACGATGTCTGGGGGCTTGCATAGACTGGTTAACATAAATTTACACGTTGCAAGTCGCTGCTTTAACTTCACCTGAAGGCAGAAATGACTATTGAGTGCATAATTTCACACAAGTCAGGTTTTCTGTGGTACTTTTAGCCCCCGGATTGAGGAGCACCCCACAGTATACTGTGCCATATCTTTTGGGGAATGACATCCAAATATTCATGAATAAAAGAAAAGCCACTCCAAACCTTTTAGACTTGTTCTTAAAAAGAATGTTAATACTGTATTTATTTCTTTTACATGGTCTGTTGGCAGTCATTAGACCGTGACATTAGAGAGATTAAAGAAAATCCACCGTCTAGGTGAGCTGTCATGAACAAATGAACAAAACTAAACCTGGGTGGTGCCGTTGCTTAGATGAACATCAGGAAGGCAGAATTAAGACAGAAAAAGGGGTGATTGTTGGAGTCAAAACACCAAAAGTAGACACACAAGAGGACAGGAATGCGTGTGGGACAAAGTGTTGCAGTGCAGGAATGAAATTAACAGCATAGAGGTGGGTAAAATGGGAGAGTAACGCCTGTGGGAGAAAAGAAGACAAACAGGCCGATTTTAAAGGTGAGGAATGTACATGCGGGTGGGAGAGAGATAAGTAAGGGGAGGAATTTATGTTGGGGAAAAAAAGTTGCCTAATCTTAATCCGGGATCACCGATTCTGAAGGTACCACGCGCTTGGTTTCTCTTCCTGTCATCGTGCAGGCAAGCTGCAGTGCGACAGAGCAGCAGCTTGTTGTGTAAACACGGAGTTGTGGAATTGTTACTGGACCGTGTCAGACTTTGTAGACCGATCACAGTAAGAATGGTTATGTTCAGCTCGTAAAGAGAGGGCTTTTCAATGTTGAGTCTGTCATGGTTTCCCTTCAAAGTGAATTCCCCCCACAGTGGAAAATGGTTTTTAGTCCTTTATGGAAAAGAGAGGCGGCAGAAAGGTGTCGTTTGTCTTTATTTAGACGGATGAGATAAACGTGCAGAGGTGTGACTGCTGCCAGTTTCTCAGACTGAAGCCACCGTTTCACACAGGCTGACGGCTTCATTTTTTTGGTCTTTTTCGATTCAGCTTTTCCAGCCTCTTTCTTCCCTCCTAAATCTAATCAGACTTGCTTGTGGTTAACGGGCAGACAAAGGACTCACAAAGGCGCCTGCGAGTTTTGTAGCATTTCTGACTGGTCCCGTAACTGAAACTGTGTGCTCTGCTTTGCAGCCCGACCTTTTGAACTTCAAAAAGGGATGGATGTCAAAACTGGACGACCGCGGGGAGGTAAAGTGTCTCGCTGTTATTAAACGTCAGATGCTCCTCCTCTCTTTCTTCTTTTCCCTTCATCGGGCCGTCCTGCCTCGTCCCTGGTGAGAAGGGCTGTTTGTAAGGGGACAGCGTCAGGTTGGCAGGATGACTGTCTCCCTCTCCGAATGAAATGCTTTGACTGAATGAGCCTTTGACTCCACACATCACATGCTGTCTGATGTTCTCATTTGGGCCTTCATTTCCCTCAAAATACGATGTTCTTACTTTACTTTTCTGACTGTATTTGCACTCTACAGAGACCACCATGTCTGACATTCTAATTTGAACTGATTTGTTTCTATAGTGGAAGAAGCATTGGTTCGTCCTGACCGATGCCGGGCTGAAGTATTACAGAGACAGCGGTGCAGAGGAGGTATAGCCTTTTTTATTTAACGCCGTCTGTACCCGTTGTAGTAATAATGATGATATTGTGAGCTGTGAAGGGCTCATTGAGTGTTTGGGGAAAACAGATACTGCCTGGGTGTGACAAATGCTCATTGTCCCTGTGCTTTCTGTACAGAAAGACGACTTGGACGGGGAGATTGACCTGAAATCCTGTATGAGAGTGTCGGAGTTCGACGTGGAGAAGAACTATGGGTTCCAGATACAGGTGACTATCTGTGCCAGAGGTCGTGCCTGTTCATAAGTTGTGCGTATGCCTGCCTTCATTCACGGTCTTTTCTCAGTTTTAACCACTCCTGCTATCAGTTTCGGGTGCATCTTCTTATTCCCCATATCATATCTCCTCCAGCTGTCTCTCTTTTTCAGTGTTTTTTCTTTTCTTGTTTCTTATCACCTCAATTTCATCCCAGTTCTGTCACATCTTTGTATTTCTTTAACCTGTTTTTTTCTTTCTTTTCTTTTGTGCTCCAGACGCAGGAGGCTATGTTCACACTGTCCGCCATGACGGCAGGGATCAGGCGGAACTGGATAGAGGTCCTAAAGAAGAGCATTCGGCCCAGCAGCTCTCCTGACCTCACACAGTAAATGCCAGCAGATCTTTTAACACATTAGTTACTTAAAAGGGATTTTCATAGTGGCACTAAGTAAAATTATGATATCATAGAGAAATGGCACAGGGTGAAAAAGGAGCGTTTGGACATTGGGAGAGGGGGAAAAAACAAGTCATTTTCATGCTGAACCTTGGTGCAGATTGTATGGACTCAGGGTGGGAAATGTTTTGTTTTCTTGGCTTAATTTGATTCATCATGAACCCACCGGTTTTCCCACACATGAAAATGAAATGTAAACTGAATCAGTTATCGGATTGGACATTGTCAAAACAGTGCTCAGAGTAGTTGGATTGTTTGGAAGTTTATTGAAATGGGACTTCTGTATGATTTATCGACCCATATGTAATGTGTCTCCTCTTCAGATTGCCTGACAATAACAGTGACAAAGAAAACTCCCACGCACGCTATTTGCCGTCCTCCCGGCAACCGTCATCGCGCCACGGCAACGCTCAGTCAGACGTTCCCACATCTGGCGCTTCCACTCGACGGTTCGACTACGTAGAGCTCTCCCCAGTTCCAGCCTCCTCCAGCCCTCTCCCCGCCGGTCAGAGAGAATCGGGAGAGGGGCAGGGGAGGGAGCACAGCCAATGGCAGGAGGACAGGATCACCAGCAGCCAGTGGGAGGCCGTGCTGTCCAGGAAGAGCGGCGGCGTGGGATCCAACCAGAGGTCCCGCGCGGAGGACGACATCGAGAAGAAATGGGCCGAGATCGAACGGATGCCGCTAAAGGAGATGAGCTCCATGCCGCCAGCGGCGCCCCGCTCGTCAAGCCAGCCGGCCAATGAGGCGCTGCAGAGGGAGGTAGTGCGTGGAGATGATTTTTTTCTAATTTGCAAACAAACTAAAATGCAAATTAACCCTTCATCTGTCTGGGATGAGGTACAACTTTTCGGGTTCAGCCCTTGCTAACACCGACTGGCCCTTTACCTTTCATCTGTGTTTTCCATTTGAATTCATAAGCAATGGAAGATAGGGGGGAAAGTAGATCAGATTGATCGCAGAATGGAGAAACACTCCTGAAAGGTCTTTCCGCTGTTCTTTTGTGTGTTGTGAAGTGCCTCTTGGTTTGGACAGATTCAGCTGCATCGCCAGCCTGGTTGACAAACACAAATCTGCCTTTCAGTCAGTTGGTAAATTGCTGTCAGTGGGCTTTACTTCCACCTTCTTTTTTTTTACCCGTGTCTTTTTCCAGGTGGCGTCACTGAGGCAACAGCTGGAACAACTGCAGCATGGGGGGGGAGGAGGAGGAAGAGGAGGAGGAGGCGGAGGTGTGCGGGGCGGCTGCGGCCCTGAGGCCCCCTGCAGCCGCAGCCTGGCCGCCATGGAGCGCGCTCACGGCCACGCGCTGGAGGAGCTGCAGAAGCAGCACCGGTCCCAGATCAGGGAGCTCCAGGGCGAGAAGAGCCGGCTGCTGCTGGAGGAGTCCCAGGACACGGCGAGAGGTCGGCCCAAATAACCGTCCAGATAACTGTCCATCAGTCGAGTGTCCAGTGCAGACATTATTTTTGGGCTGTATTGTAAATACAGAGACGGACTGGGGTTAAAGGTCAGCTGTGGTTCGTTTTCCAATAATGGAAACTGTTCTCAACAGCTTGTGTTTGTTGTGTGTTTGTGTTTCAGCTTTGGACGCCTTACGGAAGAAGCACAGAGAGGAGCTGGACAGAGCCAAGAGGCTGGGCAGCGGGCTGACGGACTCCCAGATGTTACGGGCCCAGCAACAGTGAGTCACTTCACACCAGTTGTTTCTGGTGTGATGAACATGTCCAACAGCCGTTCATCCCTAAATATAATGAAGTAGTTTTTTGGGGTGTTTTTTTTTTTTTTTTAAACCCAAATTTGGCTTCAGATGCACATATAGAAAGTGTTTCCATCATAACCTCTATGATTGTAATGCTATTTCAAGTATTTTCCTCTTGACAAATACTCAGAGCTCCTTTTGTGGTTGTTCTTGCCACATAAGTGGACCCCCCCCCTTTTTTTTTTTTTTTTTTTTCTTGACATACTCATCAACTCACAAAGCAAAACCAGCTTTCCTGGCAGGCAGTGAAATAACCGCTTTAGGGAAAATGCACAAAACAAACGCGTTTTGGCTCAAAGCCTTCCCTTGTTTCTATCTCTCTCTCTTTGTCTGCACGTCTCGAGGTTTAAATTCTCAGTTTTAGCTTAGCTCCGAGTCTCACTCGCTGCTAATTTACGTGAATGGGCCTCTTGTGCTTTTGAGTGGCAGCTGGTCGGCCACAATAGGATTTTCAGTCAAATAAAAGGTGAGTTTTCGGAATCTGCGGCTCCTTGTCCAAGCGAACCCCATTACCACAGCGGCCACTGGGTCCTGTCAGGCACTTAAGGAATGCAGAAGAATTCAGTCATGGATTAGTTTCCTTTTGTAAGCTTCACAGGGCCTTTGACACAGATCGTCTCAGCGGCTGTTACTGGAACCTGCACTTTGGGCTAGTCTGAATCGTGCTTTTTTCACTTTGAATGCGCTTCCTCATTTTTGTGGTTATTGGTTGAAAATGGCAACGAGGTCTTACAGCCACAGCAGGAAACAACTTTAGTCATGAAAATGAGAAAGAAATAACACACACACAACAGGCACGTTTCTGTTATTAAACAGAAAGCGTATTATGAGACTCTGAGACCTTAAACATTTCAATAAGACTCTTAATGGAGAAGGAAGGGTTGTCCTGCTGATGCTTGATGCAGCTCTTCTCTCTCTCTCTCTTCTTTTTTACCTGTTTCTGCAGGTCAGAAACTCAGGCCTTACAGAGGCAGCTGGAAACCCTGTCTGAAAGCTTCTCCCAGAAGTGCGTGGAGCTACACCAAGCAGAGCAGCGCAACACCGAAAGGGAAAAGGAAATCAGACGCAAAGAGAGAGAGGCGGAGCAACTGAGGAAAGAGAACTCGGTGAGTCGGCAGCTCATCGCAGAGGCCGGGGGAAACCAGCGGGGCAACGCTCGCCCCTTTGAGAACTCAGCTAAAGGTTTTCGGCATGCGGCCTCCTCTTGACTGATGGCCTCATCGGTCTGCTTAAAAGCGGCGCCTTCCATCATTCACACGTTGGTCACTTTGCACGGCTGTAATTCTTTAAAAAAATTTGAGTGAGTCCCCAGCTCGTGCGGGCTCTGCTTCTTGGTGTTGGAAGAAGCTCGGGCCAGGGTTTTGGAGTAGAGCACTGTGATCTAGGGACGGTCTGAGTTACTGACATGCTGCTGTTAATGTGCCAGTTCAGCAGTGGGGATTAAAAAAAGAAGCTAGAAATGGCTTTCGCTTTGTTATTTTAAATTCTTAAGGCAACATGTTTTCCTCCTCAGGACTTAAAGGCTCGCTTCACAGAGGAGATGAAGCGTGTACGATCTGCCATCACAGATCAGAGCTCCGAGGCCAACAGAGACAGGATGCCCTGTGAACTGGAGGTATGCTTTTTTTTTTTTTTTTTAAATGAAACTTATATTTTTTTTCTATCACATGACACCTAACCCAGCTGGTTGTGTGGTGGGTAAACCGCTTTACATTTAGACTGGGTGCCTGCTTTACTTTGATTCTGTTTCAAGAATGTAATTATTTTAACAAAGTAAACATCAAAATACTGAACATAGATTAGAAAGTGGTGTTACCACTACTACTCCCTTCAGTTATTATTGAAAAGTACCTCTAATATTTTTGCCACTTGAGTGTAAACAAAAAAAAAAAGTCTGAATTCTACAGCAGTTGCTTCCTGTATGCTTTTCTTTGCCATTAAAAGAAATCCTCTCTCTGTTTTACTCCCAGGCTCTTCTCAGGATGAAAGAAATCGAGATAGAGTACTTGCACAAAGAGATGAGCTGTCTAAGAAACGAACTACAAGTTCTAAGCATGGTACTGTTTGTTTGTATTTGGGTTAATCTGTCACAAAAAGGTGTGTGTTTATTTCAGTCAGCTCCATAGGAGGAATGGTTTGGAATGCCAATCATTAATGGGCATAAAAAAGTGAAGCCTTTTATGCCCCACAGGCATAGAGAGTGTGCTTTAGATTAGCATGACTAATGGTACGTTGTAATAAAAAAATAAAAACAAAAGTACAGGTTTGATTCAGGTTGGATGGAATGCAGCACTAGATTATTGCTCCCTGGATGTGTTGACGTGGAAGAGGTCGATTTCTACTGCTTTTGTGTTCTGCAGGAGAAGCAGCTGGCCTGTGAGCGATACGCCGAAATGCAGGCGGAGCTGAGTGTGATGAAGGGCCGTACCGAGAGAGAGATCCAGAGTCTGAAGGAGCACCTGAGACTGAGCAACGTTGCTCTGCAGGAGGCCCAGAAGCTGGGGAACAGCCTGGACCACTGAGAGGCAGTCGGTGCTAACGCAGTGACAGGTGTGTGATGGAGAAGGGTATGCGTTACCGCTGTGATGTAGCCCGAAAAGGAAGGAGAAGAAAACTCTCTAATTATTTGTTTTTATTTATTTATTCATTTTGTTTTACAGGTTTTATCTTTGCAGTCACCATGGTCACTAAATCACAGGGAGACCTACAAATCCGGGGTCAGGAGTGTTGAACTTGAACAGCTGTGACAGGACCTACTTAATGACTTGGCTCTCTGTCATACTGCCAATGAGTAGCCATTAGTCGGTTTCATTACACTGGGCCACACGTGATGTATTTTAAGTGCACTTTTCACTTTTTTCTTTTTTGCTTTGTTGAGTGCAAGCTTGCATAAGTGCGCATTTGGTCTTAAAAAAAACTGGAATAGTTGTTGAGTTTTTACTTCTCATCAGGTATTGTACATACTCTATGATTTCTTTTTTTTGAGAAACTTCTCTTTTCTGTTGTCTTTTGCCTGAGACAGCAATGGTCAGAAAAACTACTGTCCTCATTTTTCTGTTGTACAGTTTTAGTTTTATGTTTACTTTGCAGATCTGTTGAACATTTCTTAAGAAGTGTTTTTATTTTCTTTAATATTGTTTTTTTTATTATTATTACCTGGACACCTTTTGTGCTTATGTTTTGTGGTGTTTGTAAAAACAAAATTTATGGAAAAGTAAATTGGTCAGGTTGACTGTGTACACAGGTGAGTGATTGTACAGTAATGTATTCAAGCTTGGCTATAAGTGGGGGTTAAAGCTTTTGAATGATTTCAGACCCACAACATGGACATCATCTATTCTTAAGCCGTGGATGAGAACTTCAAAACTTCCTGTTCCGTGAAAATTATTGGCATATTCTGCATGTGCCACCCAATAAATAAAACATGTTGCATTAATGAGCCAATTTTTTAAATGTATTTCTTATTGATAAGAACTATTTTGATAAAATAACTTATATACCTTACTTTTTGAGAACGTTTTCATATTTAATTTTCATTAGGGCCTGTGAGGCCTTTGTAAATTGTACTCATTTTGCAGTCAATAAAATAATTTCTGCAGAAATATGTCTGTTCATATGACGCCGTACGTATGCACACCTTCAAATACAATGTTTTATTGACAGTTTGCGACAAATATATTGTAGTTGTATACGAACCAAGCTGGAAAAAGTGGAACCTTCCACAGCAAGAACGAGAATTTCGAGTGGCTTTGTCCCGTACACTAATACTGCCAGTAGAGGGCGTCAGAGCGTCTGTAAATTTGGACATTACTGAGTGAACTGTTCTGAGAAAAACCTGGATTGTGTTCAATATTAAAGCTATTCTCTAGTTAGAGGTTCGACAAATAGCACACATAATAAATTATTTTGATGATACAACTCCATTTAATGCATTCTGTCAAGTGTCAAACTCAACTCAACAGTGCCGTTTGCACTAGGGGCAGCAGTACGCTTATTGCTGTGTCAACACTATGTGATCAAAGAAGAAGAAAGCTGGAAACCGGAAATGCGTAACGGCAGCAGTAATCATGGCGTCCACGGCTGCGACCCGTACTGCAGCTGGTGCCGCAAAAGTTGTTAAACCCATTTTTAGCCGAGACTTGGACGAAGCTAAACGTAGAGTCCGGGAGTTGTACCGAGCATGGTATCGAGAGGTGCCCAATACAGGTAGGTAGTCGCGTTTTTGGCCGGTATAAACAGTGTCTGAACGGTGACTCCAGCGTCAAGGTCGCGTCTATGTGGAGGCTCAGGATAATTCGCTTCTAGCAAACGACTGAAGTCAATTTACGGTATTTGGCGACCATGTTATTCCACTGTTAAAGATTCGTAAATGAAAAGCCGTTTTCTGAAGGTTACATGTTGGTGTTTATTGTATCCACTATTTATTTTTGGCCCATAAGAACTGGAGTTACACAGCATAATGTCTAGATGTAGCATTTATTTTAAATTATATTTTGTATAAATGTCGTTTCATCTGCTTCGCTCAACTGTATCCAGTTTTGCAATACAAATTTGAAAAAGATTTCATATGTCTATTGGAACTCTCTGCCCCTGTGACCCGACCCCGGATAAGCGGTGGAGGATGGATGGATGGATGGATATTGGAACTCTTCTCAAAATGATGACGTTTTAAAAACAAAGTGGCAGTAACTTAGGGTGTTAAATTGATAAGTCATGTTTGTGGTATAAACACAACCTGATTGTGTGTGTCTGTGCAGTGGCCACATTTCAGCTGGACATCACAACGCGTCAGGGAAGAGACAAGGTGCGGGAGATGTTCGACAAAAACAAGCATGTTACGGATCCCCGTGTCATCGACATGTTGGTTATTAAGGTAAAAGCCTTGGCAGTAGCCATATACGTTTAGAGTAGCAACGCTGAATGTGAGGATCCTGCTTCTGAAGTCCATGATGTAGCTGTAAAGTTTGCAGTGAACAGTTGATTCCACGGTGTTTTCAGCTGTTCTCCCTTTATACTCCAGGGGAAAATGGAACTTCAGGAAACAATCCACGTCTGGAAACAGAAGACTCATGTAATGCGCTACTTCTATGAGTCTGAGGAGCCTCGACCCACTGACTTCGTGTCCAAATTCTACAAGGGTCATGACCCATGAACTGTACGGCTACCAGCAGACCTCTGATCCACATTTTTCTGTTTCCAGTGTGAAAGATGTTCCCCGTTTCTGTAAATACACGCTTAACACTCATTCTTACAGTTCCTTCTTCACTCGTGTTCACAGAGCCACAGATCAACCACATTATATGAAATGAGTGATTCTAAAAGTTCTGATGTTTTATTGTTAAACTTTCATTTAAGACCTTTTTCTCCGGGTTGTGGAAAAAAGTTCAAGAGTTCAAGAGCAGTGACACCAACAGTCTATGAAGTCTGTTTATATACCTGGAAGTTACCAAGGGTTAAACAAAGATTACACTGTCGGAGACCCGTGGGCTTATATTTGTTATGATCTTTGGAGAAAAAAAAGAAAATCAATCAGCTCCCACCAAAGGCAACTTTCTGGGATGTATTTTTCAGGTGTTATTCCCTTTTTTATTAGGACAGAAGTAGTGCATGTAAATGTAGTATATCGCAAACGGGTTCAGACAACCCAAACTAACAACAAAATGAAAAAGAAACCCTGAACACTTGAGGCAGAAGTGATTTGGAAACGCAGCAGTGAGAACTCCAGGAAGGCATCTATCCACACAGAATGTCAGTGGTACTCAGACAGTAGTGATCAGAGGATAATCTGTGGGGCGGGAAGAGAACAGGTGTTTTTAATTTGATTTTAATTAGGAGCTAACACTCACAGCTACAGGTTAAACACAGAAATGTTCTCAATGGCTGTCGTCTAAGCTACTGATTTGGAGGGGAGAAAAACTTCTGACATTTCCCCAAACAGTATTTTTAAAACTATATCTTTACGTGATGTATCAGCTCGTACTCAAACACAACATCCGTAGTTCACTCAGAGGACACAAGACTTGGACAGAGCAAGCGTGCACTTGAACACAGTTCACAGAGAAGCTCGCGCGGCTCCATGCCAGTGATACCTGAGAACCAGGAAGCCAACAGACCCCCCCCCCTGCCCTCAGTCGTCGTCGTCGTCATCCTCGGGGACGAAGATGTCGTGCTCCTCCAGCAGCGCGGCAAAGTTCTTGCTGATCTGGGTCCCCACGTACAAGAAGGGCACCACTACCAGAGCGATCCGGAACAGGCCGAAGGGGGTCTGCTCCCCGGCGTCACCATGGAAACAACTAAGTTAGTTTAACGGAAGCGGCCGTTTTTTTTTCTGTAGCTGTTAAGAAAAGCCAAAGCTAAGCCTTTACATAAGCGTGTTTCTGCCTGCCCGTGTCAGTGAGGACTACACCCTGTCCCCAGCGTCTTCTGTGGTTGTTATTACCCCCCCCCCCCCGCCGCGTGGATAACCGTCACACTCACCTTTTTGGGTTTGGGCAGAATGGCGCCGGAGGACGAGCTCACCGCCGTTCGGCACGACACGTTTGCGGGGCTCAGCGGTGGGCTGCGGACTGTTTTAGGGGCTGACAGCCTCAGCAGGCGACAGAACAGGGCCGACGCCATGCTCCCAGCGTCAAATGCAGCAGCAATACGTGGGGGAAAAAATAAAATAAATGCCGTGGTAATATTTAGAAGCGGAGCGTCGAAACAGCGCCCCCTTCCGGCCGTGCGGCAACACAGCGAGTAGGTTTGGAAACAACTGAGGCGAAGCAAACAGGGTACAGGTTGTTGTTGTTTACTCTTTTGCATTTGGTGAAGTCCGAGCGAACATTTGAAAGCTTACATACAGTCATTAAAAATCCTCGCAACTGGAAAAGTTAATCAATGAAAAAATGAACGCAAACCAATAAATACTGTACAGCTTTAAATAGTCACAGACTCCCAAACTTAGCCACAATCAGCAAAAACAGAAAGGATAGGTGGCTTTATGGAAAGATGTGACAGGAGAGCAGGGATTAACTGAAAGGTACATGCGTTCTTGCAGAAATACAAGTGCTTTACTGTTATAAACCACGTAGACAGTTATTCCGCTTAAGTTAAATAAATATCACCAACTGATCCTCATGAAATAACTTGGATAAATGGTTTGCACGAACGTAAACCAAAACTACACAAATCTCCTGCACAGTTAGCAGAAGTGAAACCCTAACAGCAGGTAAACGGCTTGAAATGAAATGGAAGTGTGTCTCCTCAGTGCAGCATCATCCCAGTTCTCCTCGTGGTTCAGGCACTCCTCACTAAACAAAGCAGCACAGGAGGATTAGCATTTAGCTTCAGACCACAGGCTAACACATCAAAGAACCACCTGACCGCACGTCTCACCTGCCGCTTAAAGGACAGGCGTCTGAAGAAGGTGTTGACCTCAAACGTGCCCGGCTTCGCGGCTCCTCCCGTCTTTCCGCTGTCACCCAGCCTGACTATTTGTCCTTTGGCAATGGCGGCTTTGAGGCTGGTGCTTTTGACTATGCGGGCGCCGGGCTCAGAGTCAGGCGTGGGCCGGGAGGACACGGTGATGTAGGTGGCGTCTTTCTGGTGCGCCTGATAACCCACTGTGAGAAAAAAAACAATAGTTGAAAACAAAGATGACAGGATAGCCGGTTAAATGCGGGCACCCTATGCAGTTACCACTAGCACACACACACACACACACACATATATATATTTATTTATATATTGAGCTATAAGGAGCTGTAGAGACTGCACCTGCAGATGTGACCGCTGTGTCTGTGGTGCTGGTGAGCTCCAGCAGGACGGTAGGATAGGCGGGGTGCATCAGGAAGAGTTTTCTGATGAGCGGCTCTGGTGCACCTAGAACACCTGGAGCCGCCTAGGCAACCAGAACGGACAATTTAGTCAAGAAAAATCCCCCCAAAAAGTGCAGCAACCTCATGAACCAGATAAAAATCATCTTTCCTATTCCAACAGTGCGTCAATAATATGTTCCAGTGCAGACTCACTGTGGTCTTGGTGAGATTCCTCTGGGCTGTGATTGGCTCGCTGGCCCAGAAGAGGAAAGCTGACTGGCCAGTTGAGGTGGCGATTGCCGACGTTTCCAAAACGAGACGAGGACACACGAACTCAGCCGCCCAGAGAACTCTGCCGTTGGCGCCATCGACAATCTGTGCCTAAGAGAGGAGGAGGACCGATGTCTGCGTCAGTACGTATTCAAACTAAAACAATCAAAGAAAACAAGCATGTGGCAGAAAGTACACGTTGCCCAAGAACTTCACCTTCATGACGCCATTCGTTGAATTCTGAATAAAAAGATCAAGGATTCCATCGTCATTGAAGTGTCCAGGAGCCGGCGGGCTGTAACGGAACAAGTAATTGTTTAAATAAAAAAATTCTCAGAAAAATATTTTTCTTGTTAATGGTGGATTAGTTCAATTTAAACCTTAACGATCTCAGATAGATTCAGGGTATATCCATGACGAAGGGCAAGATTTATCAGGACAGGATTAAAAGACCTGGCTTTTTCCAGGTCTTTGATGGAAGATAACAGAAACCGTATGTGGAAAAAGTAAGTACAACCCCAACTGCTATTATCAGAATTATGTATGGTAAATAGCTTCGAAGAGCTACAAGGCGTCCACCATGTTTTCTGAATATATTTGTCTCTTGTATGTAAATATACTCCCCAGGAGGGACAAGCAACAGTTAAAGCCCATCAATCTAAGAGGACTTTTCAAATTGTTCTTAAACTTGGGGGGTTCTCATTGGCATATCGGGTCCGGTGGGGACGCAGGCCGGTACCTGTGAATGGGGGCCGAGCTGAAGGTCCACTCTTTGCGCAGGTCCCTCTGCCTGAGCACGGACACCTTACCCGCACCGTACACCAACGCCCAGTCGCTTCTGGTGGAGTTCAGGTTGGAAACACTGTCCAGGCTGCTGCGGGTGTTTCCGAAACCAGCTACCAGAGGGAGGAGAAACTCCACACGCTCAGATCCTCTAAGAAAAAACAAGAGGGGAAAAAAAAACATGAAATGATTTCCTGTAACCTTATTTTCTTTGGCTTATTTATTATTCGAATAACCACACCATTTTAAAAACCTATAATCAATTCAACAAATGGCAGCCTCCGAGGTGTACCTGTAAATGTGTATGAACGAGGAGGAATTGCTTTTCCTCAACGCCTCCCACCCCGGGTCCTTCTTTCTGAGCGACTGGGTTATGGACATTGGGCCGGCCGCTCGACTGTAGACGTCTCTCAGGGAGATGGCCTGGACGTTACCTGAGGGGAGGGACGTCAGCTTTTTATTTGAAGACCTTCGGAAGTGGTGGCAGACACACTTTTTTTTAAGTCACTCACCCAGCCCAAACAGGATGTAAAATGCTCCCTGCTGCGTTTCGTGCAGCAGAGGGCCGATCAGCTTCCCTTGTCCCGTGAGGTTGAAAGGCACAGGATGTCCAAGCTTGGCACCGGTCTGCCCCGAGATCAAAGTCAGCGACAAATCCAAAGCCTGAAAATAAACAGGGTGAGGAAAAGACCCCATAATAACACCGCAAAAATCACAAGAACTGACATACAGCTTTACCTCGTCCGCAGGTAGCGTGGCCACCAGCAGATCCGGGACCGAGTCGGCCTGCAGGTCCGGAAGTAAGACCGCCTGAGACTCTATGTTCTTCAGGAGGACCGACCACACCTTCTTCCCTGGAGGGGGGAAAAGAGGCCGTTCAGTGGGGGCTAAAAGGGCTAAAACGCGGCGGTCGGTTAGGGCAGAAACGCTGACCTGTGGTGCCGCTGACCGCCATGAGGACGGATTTGCCGATGAGGAGGCATACGGGCGACGGCTGGCCGCTGCACTGCAGGCCGCACTGGATGTACATCACAGACTCCCGCATGACTTTGCTCCACAGGACCCGGCCGCTGACCGCGGACAAGGCCACCGCGCTGTAGACTGGAAAAAGACAGCCCCGATGAAGGAGGGAAGCCGGAAACACACACAGGAAATGGCTGTTTTATTAAACTGGATTCTCAGATAACTTACTCTTGTTTCCTTGTGTTGCGTGGGTGTCGTTGGTCATCGTAGTCACGCCCAGAAAAACATCCTCCACCGAATCGCCGTCGACGTCCCACAGCGCCAGCGCGGGCGGAGTCACACCTGACCCCAAAAGCAAAACAAACCTCAGCGACACGCACCGAATAATCCAAGCAGCGTTTGTCATGAGCTCCACGAAAAGGAAGCCACCAGGGCAAGGACGTTCTTTTTACAGGGTGAATGTATTTTCAAGGCTAGGGGGAAAATGAAAAACATACAAGTCAAGCTGAATTAGATCGTGAGTTTTAGAATTATGCCCACCATCCTGTGTAATCAGAGGCATTTAATGAAAGGGTGAGCTATGAGGAGTCCAGACTACAGGACTCCTCAGTAAGTCTTCAAGTGAGCATTATAAATAGTGAAACCACTCATTGTAATTATACACCAACAAAGGGGATAAGATCTTAATGGCTACGTCTTTGACTCTCACTAAGATACAATTTTGAGTGTGTAACTATTCCATTTGGGGAAGTCTTGAGCTCATTGGGGTCAATAAAAGCACATTAAACTCTTCATTCACCTCCTGCAGCTCCCAGTGCTATCTCCCATTGCAGCTTCTTTTCCAGCTTGCCCTTTTTGCAAGGAATCAGGAAAGCGCACAGCAGCACCAGCAAAGTGGCGCAGACCACCGGCACCAGGAAAAAAGCACTCCGGACAGCGTTCTTGACCCTCATCCTCTTGTCCTCCGCGTCGTCGCCGTGGACCCCCAGGCCGGCCGCTCCCGACGGGCCGGCGTCCCCCCTGTCCTCCCCCATCCTCTCCCTGCCCGAGTCCCTGTGGCTCCAGTACTGCATGCCTTTCCCGTCAGCTCGGTCCTGTCTGGACTTCCTCGGGAGTCTCTCCGTCCACTCGTCCTCCTCCTCCTCCTCCTCTTCGTCCTCCTGCGGGTCGTCGGCGGCGCCCACCAGCCGCCCGGGCCTGCCGGCGCGCAGCTTGGAGGAGCCGGCGCCCAGGCAGCCGTCCCTGCCCAGGCCGTTGCGGGGATAGTTGAGGACGAGGTCATCCTCTTCGCTCTCGTCCTCGCTGTCGGCCTGAGTTAGAGGATCGTACTCCCCGAGCTCCGAGCCCTTCTTCCCTGCAAAACACAGGAAGCTGATGAGAGCCAACTGCCATCATGTGGGCTTATAAAGAAAACTTACATAGTATGTCCTCAAAACACCCCTTTTTTCCCCCCCACCTAATTCAATAGTGACTTCAAAAACCCTTTATCACTGAATGAAACATCTTAGTCGTTTTTCAAAATATGAAATGTAACAATAGCTGTATGACCATTATAATACGATTATGACATCAGATTGTTTATAGTAATTTTATTAATTATTTTTGTCGTGTTTACATTACATTGAACAATCAATATAAGAATTTACAAGCAAAAATGATCGATTAAAAAAAAATATATGTAAATAACATTTAATTCGATGAAAAACCAGGCTTTATATGTCATTCATGTGTAATTTCTCCTATTTTGCTTTGCACGTTGAGCCATAGGGAGGTCTGAGTTGTTATCGTTAGCTTGCAGCCATACTCGGAGGTATTATACAGTCATGGTGTCCTGACGCTCAGCTACACACAAAAATCTATCTTATGTAACCCTCTCCCAAAAAAATAACTGGTTTAGGGACGTAACAGCTGATGAATTAGCAAACCGGTGTTCAAAAAGACGCAAACGCAACGCATTCACAGCGCAGAGATGTGGCGGAGTAACCTTCAACCACACGCAATTCCAATGAAAAAAATGGCAATGCTGTATCTTTTCAACCGTCTCGAGCATAACGTTAGGTGAACATCTTACCGGGCAGTTTCAGAGCACGGGACAGAGCTGCGGCCATTTGTCCTCTCCACGAGACGCCGAAGCGGGGATGCGGTGAACGGTGATGAACAGCTCCTGGGCTTCGACCCGGGATCTGAGTCTCCGCTATGCATTCTGGGATTTTGAGTTTCTCTTTGATACTGGCCGCTAATGCAAGAAGACGAAAATGTGGAATTTTAGTTAGTGACACTACGTTGTTCATAGCTCAATGATTTACTAATTGCAGCTAGCAGCCTGGTGATACTTCGCGAGGTTGGCGTTTCCAAGTCAAGTGGACACAACATGATTAGAAACTGTATTTAGAATTGAGTTTTTTCTTTGACATAAAAGGGAGACGGGGGAGGTCCTGGTCCCACGAGGCATCTCGCAAAGTAGGCAAGTCACCTCAGCGGGCAGACCTGTGCCCCTTCAAAAATTTTTCTCGCAATTGTACGAGGATACGGGCGTCACCCCGCATCGTTATTTTCCTTACTCATCAGTTTAAGGCATACCGAATTATTGTCGGGTGACCACTATAGTGAGAGTGCCAGGGCATGTTCTGTCACGGTGTCGCATAATACGCGACATAATTTTTCAGTTTTGATTATTAGGAACCACAAAAATACACCCTTACACTTATTTATTATAATGAGATAGTACCGTCGTATAATCCCAAATCGCCCGTTTTGAGGAATAATCCTTACAGTTATCTCGATCGCGCAAGGAATCATGGGTATATATTAAGAAAGGTAGATGCCAGGCAAGTTAGATTTTATTGTAAATTTTCAGTGGACTAATTTAACATATTGCAGAGATTTAATATATTTGGATATATGTAAATGTCTGAGCACTTTTTCAGTTATTTTAGCCTCTGTTATTCATAGTTTGGTTAAAACTATTCTTTTGCCCAGCAGTCGTTTCTCTTTTTGACGCAAATCAGTTGCCGTAGTCTTATTCAAAGCTTTCACAGCGCACGCGCCTTCCGAAAGCGTTAGAGAAAATGGCAGACGTTTCTTTGGATGAAGTGATACGACGGCGCGGTATTAATCTCAAAGCTCCGGCTAAACGGTACTTTTCTGGCAGTTTAACAATTGGGTGTTTATTTGTGTCAAATACAGAGACTTTAAAACATTTTTTTGAAGGTATGGCGTTTATTTAGTCATGCTAATGGCTAGTAGGACGCCTTAAGCTAATGGTAGCTCATTTGCGCTTGGTTGAATATGATTCTTAAAGCTAGGCTAAGTAGCAACCGTGTAGGCCTTAACTCTTCAAACCGTTCATTTTAACATTACGAAAATGCTGTTCAGTTATACAAACAGATTGTGTTTTGTTACCGGATTATATGAGTAAGAACAACTACATCCCCACGATGTTTCGACCAGATTGTTACGTAGTTGTTTAAAACATTTTATTCGTAAGGCGCTCCACATAGCCACCTCCAAAGCTAATATTTATCTTTGCACCACTACAGTTTTATGCACCCGCCAATGGAACAAATGTACTTGTACTCTTTCTTCTATTTTTGGGGAAATATATTAGTTATTCATTTGTTTGTCTAAAGATTTTGTACCATTGAATTATTGCATGCATTCCATAGAATTGATGTCTGATCTACGGATCTGTTTTTTTCAGGCCCGTGTTTGGACGGACAATTGGAGGAGATGGTAAAAGTTTTGACGCCAGACAAAAAATTGGGAATAACGACGTAAGACAGCGACTTGGGGGAGGGACAGGTGAGGCTTTTAAGTTAGCCTACAGGTTCAACTTGTCACGGTTTGCCTTTCCTATTATAACATTATTTTTGCCCTAAACTGTTATTTCTCCTTAGGTTTTCCAGTGAAAGATGCCAGAGAGAAACTGGTTCAGAAGGATGCTCGCTTCAAAATCCGTGGCACGGTTGGAGCAGGAGCGGTGCAGGATGCTCGACAGATGATCAACTCACGCAAACAGGGGCAGAGTCAGTTAGGTCCCCTTGCACAGACAACACTAAAGACAGCAATAGCTAGCCAGCTGCAGAGCAAAGCTCTTGTGCCGCAGATCCAAATACATGCCAGCAATAACCTTGCTGGAGTGATCACTAGGCAGTTTGCTTCAAGTGGACAAGGACTGGGTGCAAGGGGGAGTGTGACACCACAGCTGAGCAATAATGTCAGAATGATGGATGCTCGTGATAGACTGAGCCTCAAGAGGAGCATTGGAGGTACGCAGGCTCATGCAGCAGCTGCTGCACCCCCGCTTAAAATTACCAAGACCATACAGGTGAGTTTGAATAGAGTTCTGTAACGTCAGTGATGCAACCAGAATCTATGTGGAGTTATTGATTTGTAAAAGCACAAAGGCAGTCTTGCTAATAAAATCTTTCTTTTTACAGCAACGTCCAGTAGGGATGTCAAGCGGAATACGTGCAGCTGCACAGGTTGGGCCAGTTTCCCTCATATATTTACCATAGGAACACAATTTCTCTTTGACATTGCTTGATGAGCTGAAATTTTTCCTTTTTTAACTCACAGCCTGCCTTGAATGAACTTGATGGCGTGCCCAGCAAACAAATAAAGTTCACAACCGCCAACAGCATGCTACAAACACGGGTAATCTTGGCGTTTGAACAGCTGAACATAATTCTTCAATGCTGGCAGTCAGTAGATACAAATACTTGAATCATAGCCTATCTTGTGGTTGTCTCTGAATGAAATGTCTATTTGTTCCACACAGTCTGGTGCAGTTGGCTCCACATTCTCTATGTCAGCCCCGATCACCAAGGTTGTTAAAAACGACGCCTACACTGCCCCCCGTCCTCCTGTCCCCGTGGCTCCTACCCGGCCCAACACCAGTATGGCTGCAGCCCGCTCCTCGGCTGCGGCGTTACAACCCATCTCCAGGACTCTTCAGCAAAGCACAACAGAAGCCAGGACACCAGCCCCCACCCCTCCACAGGTAATCAATTAATCAGCGTCTGCAATGTTTTTGTACTCCTCCCTGACTCTTGTCAGCTTTTGCCATTTTAGATGGTTACTACATTGATAAAAATATTAATCTGAGCTAGTTGGTTGTCATTTGCCTCCATATTAAATGCAGTCTTTATTTTTCTTCACAATAATATGTTATCTGCTATGATTGACACACCAAAAAGTTAACCTCAGAAAGAATTACAATTGACAAAGTGTCACATTCAGATGATAAAAGCCCAGCGGTTCGATTTCATTATAAGATTGCTCACTGAAATATTTTAGGAAGGAACCGTTTTTGTCCTCTGGTATGGATTATTAGTTTACTTAAAAAATAACAAATTAACCAAAGACTGGTTGCTGATGCCACTTACTTATGTAATTCTACACTGAATTTCATACTCGCCTGACTCCTGTTCAGCCATGAACATCTCTTTTGCCTGTCCTTCTCCCTTTACTGACACAGTAAAGGGCGACAAGTTGCTTCTTATCTACCTATATTCAACCATGCACTAAGACTCATCGGAAAGAGTCTGGAAAAAAGTTACAAACGCTGCTCACACAACCATTTTCTGGCTGCTCCAGCACACTGATGGTTTCCCAGCTTTGGTAACTTCTGGGTTGGTGGATATTTGAAATGTCAGTTTGGCACTAATAAAGAATGAGTATTCCCGGTCTTTCAATCACACAAAAGAGTCAATTTGCTACAACTAAATGATCAGGCATGTTAACCTTTAGCAGAGGGCTTTCACAGACTGTTATGTAAGGAGTTTTGATGATATTCTGATTTGGTATTGCTGTGTTTCTCCTCTAGCCTACTTTCAGCCCGTTGGAGGGGACTAAAATAACGGTGAACAACCTGCACCCCCGGGTCACAGAGGAGGACATAGTGGTGAGCAAATCGCGCCAATGGCCTCCAACTCTTTGTTGTGTTGACCAATGACGTGCCGCGGTGGAGGGGTGACTCAGTGTGCGGATGCCCATCTCATCCACAGGAGCTGTTCTGCGTTTGCGGTGCCTTGAAGCGAGCACGGCTGGTGAAAGTGGGCGTAGCCGAAGTGGTGTTTGTCCGCAAAGAGGACGCCGTGAGCGCATACAGGAAGTACAACAACCGCTGCCTGGACGGTGAGCGATATTGGCTATGTACTTGTCCAATTTTCTCTCAGGGGTTTTGGCACAATCCTCTGTTTTCTACTTCAGCTTAATAGGCAACATAATCAGGATATGTTGGTCTGTTGAAATACCAGGGTACATCAAGGTTACAGATTAACAGAATTGCTGATGTCTTTTTTCCTTGTGTTTTTTATATTTTTAAAAAATATTTTGTTTGTGTTCTTTCCCAGGCCAACCCATGAAGTGTAACCTTCATATTCAGGGAAATGTCATTACCTCTGATCAGCCCATTCTTCTGTAAGTCTGCTCTCAAGGCTTCATTCCTTCTTTACTGTAAATCTTTAAAAAATTGTGTATACCGGCAGCTGATCATTTTGAAAGATACCATATATTTCAAACTAAAATGTTCTTTATATTTGCATGCAAATGATTAGTGTTTTACACTATGAAATTTGCCATCATAATGCAGTGATGAAACATTAGAAGGTTGGGATTGTATGGATGCTGCGTTTGGACCATGCGTATTGGCCCATTGAGGTATTTAAGAGCTGCCTTTTTGCTTTTGGGCTCTTACAGGAGACTCAGCGACACTCCAGGCGCAGGCGGCAGCACGAAGAAGGACAGTCTGCCGCCCTCATTGTCTCGTGCCCCCGGCCAACGAGCCTCTTCTCAGCCCACTCCGGAAGTGGATCCCCAGACCATCCTTAAAGCTCTGTTCAAGTCCACTGCACAGTCCACTTCCACCACCGAGGCCCCCAGCTCGCAAACCACAGCCTTTCGCATAAAGATATAGCTGGCGTGGAAAATGATTTGATTGTTCCTATAACTGCGTTCTCGGTGTTCAGTTAGAACTTGACACTGACGACAGGCAGCCCACATTACTTTGTCAAACTGATTTTTAAGCATTTCATAGACATGACTGTTGGAAATGTAAGATTTGTAGATGCCCAACTTCGTTGTTTAGATTTTTGCGGTATCAAATGTCACCGGCTGTGTGATGTTCTCAGTTTGATGAGGTGGAGATATTTCTTTTTTTTGTTGTGTGTTTTAGTTTTTTTTACTCAGTGTTTTTTTTTCCCCCACACTGCAGTATGACCACTTCCATAAAACGGGGGAGGGGTTCATAACTTTAAAAAAAAAAGGAAAAACAAAGTTAATTGACCAACTAATTTATACCAGTTATCTTTCCATCCTTTCACATGCATAACTGAAAAAAACCTGCATCTATTAAGGTGTCTTTCGTTTTTTTGTTATTACTTTTTCCATCAAAATCTTAAATGTCAGATTGAGCAGAACAGTTCTTTTGTTGTCACGATATTCAAACCCATATTATGACTTAAGTTTAATCCAGAATGATGTCCTCTTTGCTGAAATAACATGCTTCGTGGAATGGGGGAAAGGGGGGGGCAGTAAAAAAAAAAAGAAATTAAACTACAGTATAATGAGCTTTCTTCGTTTTACGGTTTCCGTGACATCCAGTGCTCTGTTGCTCTTTGATTTTTATGTGGTTTTTATAGTTTTGAAGCCATGTATGCACCCTTCATTGTAGTACATTATATTCGATTTATGTTGAACTGTAAATTACTTTACGTTCCTATCTTGATCGTCAATCAAGAGAAGTCAGAAACTGTCTGAATTTGTCTGAAATGTGGCCATTAAATATCTAGCTTTGTAGATTGTCCTTGAGACTACTTTTTTAAAAATCTGAATGTACTGGTGGATATTTAATTAATTCATTTTCAGTAGACTCAAGTTTTAGGCCCTTTGTCAAACCCTGGACCTGGAAAAAAAGGAACATTTTTCTGCAGTGCCTTAAGTAATTTTCATCATTAAATTTTACTTTACATCATTATAACTTACACCTAAAATACTATACTATATAAATAGTGCAAGAAAAGGTAAAATGTATACTTGAAATGGTTTTATGGAATAATAAGCTGGTAAAGAACACAAGAGTAAAGGCTAGCTATTTTTCGGATAGGTATTTAATCAAGTTGTTTATAGCTTGATGGCATTAACTTCCGCTTTTGCGTAGAATTTGATTAATGAATGCATTTTGATACACAGTGAAATCAATTAAGTGAAGAATTTAGTAAGTTGCTTAAATTACATTCGGGTTGTATTCAAATTAGAATACATCATGTAGTGGGGGGGTGGGGGGAGAATTATCCCCGACCAAGTTGTCAAGGTTTTGTATTTCCGGTGTAAAAGGTCAATTCCAAGATGGCGCCGTCCAAGAAGAAACATGCCAGTGGCCAGGCTTGTATCATTCCAGGAGGATTTACGGGTATCAGTTATTTAGATTAACAACACCTTTTCCCAGCTTGTTCATATAATGGATGTTTATTATCTGGACAGTGCGCTTTATTGTCGTTGGACTCGCTGTATGCGGCATTGAGACGGCAGATACTTAAATGTTTGTGTTTCTTCTCGTTTGTCTGTGCAGTTCTCAGCTTAAAGTTTACCTCAGACAGCGTTGCGCAGCATTTTCTGTACGTGAAAGAACACAGAGTACGGGCAGAGAAGAGCTCGCGCAGACCGCTGGACCGGACTTTATTTGTCCTCAACATCCCCCCGTACTGCTCAGAGGTGTGATTTGAATTCCCTTGTCGGAATCTATATCTATACCTAAGTGTTGATGGATCGGTTTATTTTACTGTATAGATTTCCTAACTTTCCTGATTTATTTATTTATTTTTCTCTTGTCTATCAGGGTGTTGTCAAAGATTTATTTTCCCAGTTTGGCAGCGTTGACTCGGTTGAGTTGAGAGACCACCCCGGCTCTTTTCAGGATGATGGACCTAGACTGTCCAGGCTCTTCAGACCAGCTGAGAAAAAGGTCCACCCACCTGCATTGCTGATCCTTTTTGCTTTAATGAATGTACAGTGCAGTGGAGTTCAACGTGTTGGGTCTTTGGTCCCTGTCATCTTCTTCCAGGGTTTCAAAGTCGGCTACGTTGTTTTCCAAAACTCCTCTAGTTTGCCAGCGGTTAAATCCCACCCACATGAGGCTCCTTTAGTGGTCTGCACGGAGCAGCGTCCAGTTGCAACAGGAGTACAGAGTGAGTGATGCCTAATTTCACAATGTGTTACTGCAATACACTAACTGGTTTTAAATGGGGATGGTAATCAAACACTTTGCTGATCAGATAATGGATGGGTCTACTCTAACCAGCTGTGTAATAGGGGACATTTTGCATCCATCTTTGGCAGAATGGATCCAGCAGTACACGGAGTGCTTCATCCAACCGGAGAAAATACAGCAAGTGGTCGACTCTTTTATGCAGGACTACGACAAGCGTAAAGAAGAGGTGAGGACTCTGCTGCTCTTCTTTTGGAGGTGCACATGCGACAGGTTCTTGGACTTAAAGCCGAGTTTGTTTTCCGTGCCGCAGGAAGCAGAGCAGCAGAAGCAGGAGGCTGAGAAGCAGCAGGAGGAGGAGGAGGGCTGGGTCAAAGTCACAAGAGGGCACAAGGGGGCCAAGGCGCGTCCTCACAGTGAGGCCGCCGACAAGAAAACCCTGAGGAAGGAAATGAAGAAGAAGAAGAGGAAGGAGTTGATGAATTTCTACACTTGGCAGCACAGGAACACACAGAAAGAACGTAGGTTCCTCACATTTGACTATTACTAAACTAAACCTGGGGACAATGTGTTTCTTTGATGATTAAGTCTATTTTGCTCTTCTTTTTTTCAGATATTGCTGATCTGAGGAAAAAGTTTGAGGAGGATAAGCAGAAAATAGCTCTATTGAGGGCACAGAGGAAGTTCAGACCATACTGAGTCTGCTACCTGCTCCTTTCTCTGCTCTTCCACTGCCTCTGTGTGTTTTACTGACATTTAAGCCTTGGTGATTGTTTTTTTTTGTTAAACTACCATTTTGATTATGAAATATCAAAATGTGAATGGCTCTGGGAAATTGAATTTCCTCTTGTGTTTTTGCCACCAATAAAAATACTAACGACTGCAGATGGATTACAATTGTATCTTCTTACAGCAATTTAAAAAAAAAATCTTTAGAAAAATTTGATTCTGTGGCTTCGACCTTTGGCAACATCTTGATTCCTTTCTTTTGCAGTCATCCTTCTGTGTTTAGGACCATTGTCAGTTTCAACCATGCTTAAGCTGTTGGACAGATTCCAGTCCTGCTGCTGAACAAACATTCCAAATCATCAGCCTTCCACCACAAAGCTTAATAGTTGCTATAAGGCCCATGTGCTCCTAAGGTGCTCCCATGCATCTGTCGAAAGGGAATTGTTCCAGAACTCTTAGTTTGGTCAGCTGTGACTGTTTAAATCAAAGCAGCTCCTTTTAGAGAGAATAGGTTTCTTTTTCAAGCGTACCAAATAAGCCATACTTGTTCGGTCCATTTGCTGTTCATATTTTATTGAATACTGATATCTTCATCCTAATGCTATTTAGCTGAACCCAAAATATAAATAATGTAATGCACATTAATTGTGATTCAATAAGTGTTTTATTGAGATTGCTCACAGTCAGCTTGTGCCTCGTGTGCTTGCTTTCCTGTGGTCCTCTGAAACCTTTTGGCGATCGACCATACGACCAGCAGCAGGATCAGAGTCGGGGCAGCACCCACGCTGAGAGCAAACCCCATCGCCTGAAACACTGCGGACGAAGGACATGGTCTAACGTTCCTCTCGAAGAACTTCTGCGGGACAGTCACATTATCGTTGTGGCTTTGTGCGTACTGACTTGTGTTTTTATTCTCACATGAACTGTAGTCCATTTCCATCTCGCTCTGTACCAACTGGCCGGATGAGACCAGCTGGACCCGATGTGCCTCCGATGTGGTCTGTCTTCTCTGCCTTTCACCCTCAGATGCTGACAAAGGGAAATGGGACAGTTTAGGGTGGGGGAAAACAGACCACAGTGTGAAACATACTATCCTTTACTTACAGATGACCGTGCAATGCTGAGCACAGTCAACATCGTCTGTGCAAATTTCCACCCAACAGTAAAAGTAGATCTAAGGGAGGCGTCATCCATATAGGTCTGTGAGTGGAGGCACAGCTTTGAAACGGTAAAATATCAACTGGTGATAACCTTACTTCTTCTTGGCTTGGAAGGCCTGTATCAGGATCCAAGAAGGAAAAAGTCTTGACATCAAACCTCCTGACTTGGGAATGGGTGATGACCTTCCCCTGGTTGTCTACAGTGACAGAGCTTCTCATGTTATCCATAGGGTTAGGGCATCTGCTCAGGAAAAACAAAAAGGAAAACTACACCACTCACAATCCAGCTGGATTTGGTCTTTCTTAGGTCGCTGTGGAGGTGTTTTCAGCCTTACCCATCATGGAGAAGCGTCCACACAGAGTGCTTAGACGCAGGGTAGGCGAAGCAATCTCTTACACGCAGGGATAATGAAGGGTCAGGGGACGGCTGAACGATGGAAATTTCAACGTTCACAGCTTTACGCAGTGGCAAGGTAACTGGAAGTTGGTCCTCGGTGAAATAGGATGTAAAAGATGCATCTACAGGGGGGGAGCAAATAGATTTACCGACTTGCGTGAACAAAGGCGGCAACAAAAACAGTTTTAGTACCGGTTGCTATTCTCATCTGGACTTCAATCGTTCCTTGCGCAGTCACGGGAGGCGGATTGGTCACAGTATACAACGACCTTAAGTGTTGTACGCGCTTCAGATCCGATTCCTCGTATTCACACTGTACCTCCAGGCTTAACACAGGGCACTTGATTCATTTCACACAAACAGCGTAAATATGCAACCAGTCGGTTAGCACCTGATTTAAAACGTACCTAAATGGAGAATGCCTGCCTTTATGCCTGGTCTGCAGCTCCTCCACTTCCACCTCATAAATGGACAAATCTTTATCTTTCTGAAGGAGGAAAAAGAATTCGGTCTCAAGAACGAGTCTGCTACAAATGGACAGACGTACTTTTCCTGAAATACTATATGCTAACAGCGTTTTCTTAAAAAGAGAAAAGAAAACAGGGGCAGTACTGTCATCTTGGCGCCACATTCCATGACCCCTATCTTGAAGACGGCGACATCTGGAGTTGTGACTTCAGGGATGCAGTGAGGGTGATCCTTGATAACAAGGTTGCTGGGATCAATAGGTGGGTGTGTGTCTGTAGACTTTACTGTGAACACAAAGTGTCCATCCAGAGAGCAGGCTGGAAAAAGAGCCAGGATAATTTAGTGTAAAAAAAAAACTGGTTTTAGGAAGTGTATGGTAGTCCCCTCATTGGAGATTATATTCACATGGAGTGAATAAATGCTGCAGCTACCATTGAGTTTATAGAAGCAGGCTGACGCGTTAGCACTGTAGCAGCATCCGAGGTCACTGCACGCGTCGCTGGAGATGCCTCGGTGACCACAGTCTATACGCAGAGATTTTTCAACGTCACACTCCAAAGGGATTTCTGGGAAAACAAACAAGCATTTTAATGTTCTGGCACAGTAGCGTTTTGGTGTGCCAGATCCATTTAGGCCCTTTAAGGATTTGATGATTTCATAAATCATGCTGTGGCCGACCAGGAGTTTCCACTCACTTGTTTTTTCAACCTTTTCAATGCTTCTCTTTATCAGGGGGCAGCTGATATTCACCCTGATCCACCGAGTCTCTCCTGTCAGTTGGACCATCAGAGGGATGACCACTTTGTTTCCCTGAGAATAAAATGTTTATGAGGAACAAAAGTGAGGCAAATTTCCATTGTAGAGCACCTTTGCAAGACAGGTATCACAATAGACTGCTAGTACATCATGAAGAACTAAAGTTAGCCAAAAGTCCACACAGCTTATGTTTATACTTTTGCTGAAAACACCATACTTATGTGTCCATGGGTATTTGCTTAGAAAGTGAGAAAGATTTTAAATAATGAAATAAAAACGCTTTACATTTGCATTGTGAATCCCAAAGTTAACCAGAAAACAATTACAATGACCTCAAAATGAGCATAGCAGCTGTCATATCTGCTGAAAAACGACAGGCTGTGGTTTTTCTCTCTTCCTATGGTCACTCCACAGGACCTCTCAGAGGTAAGCACGGGGACTGTGAGACCTGAAAAATCTCCAGGGGAAAAAAATCAAACAAAACACTATTGCAATGCTGCACAACACTTAAGTCATGACTTAAAATCAAAGCGGTTCGAAAAAACAAATAAAAAATGGCATATGCGACGTATTACCTCGGACCCGCACCTTATCTTTGACTAAGGGGTCAAACACAGCCCTGATCCCCCGTATCGAGCAGGTGACCGTCGGCATGGCCAGACGAGTCCTCGGCGCAGGAATTCTCTTCCTCCCGGTGGAGGAGTAGCTGCTGTAGCGGTGAGCCATGACGGCGAAAAGTAAAGTAAATGTCATACAAAGCCTTACAGAAGGATAACTCATGGTTTGCACAATTTTTATTTCTCTATATTTTGGCTTTATTGTCCGAAAATATCCAACCGTTTCTATGAGACCGTGAGAGGGTCACGTGGACACTTGTAATTAGAGTTAATTAGGTCGAAGCTGGTCTTCTCCTAAAGGTGACGAACTCAAGAGTTCGGTATGTTTTTTTTAAAAGGCAGTATAAATGTTTAAATTGTTCAGTTGTTAGCCACATTTACGGACTAGTTGAAACGTATACGCTTTTGTCAGCGGATTGTCGAAATGTGTTGCCAAATTCACGAATTGTAGCGTGGCAGAGCAGGTACCCACCTAATTACACACTACTATGAGTAGTCTTTAACTTTTTCTTCTTCTACGAGGGTTTTCTTGTGAAAATATAAGGAAGAGACACAACAATTAATTCCGATTAGATTAGTTAAATGTGATTTTGTTGATACATTTAGATGTAATTTAGAAAGTAAAATGTATCAAGTAATATGTCTTTATTTAAAATAAACAAAGCTGTATAGTACATTTTAATTCCTGACGGGAAACTCTTGTCCAGACTCCTTACCAGTAGGTGGTGGTAAATAATGCTCCATTTCGTTGTTTTCTAATCGGAAAAAATAATCAAGAAGAAGAAGGTTGTTTAGAACCGAGTTGTGTTGAAGAAAGAACTTATCACTTTTTAAAAAAACATGTATTCATGTATCTGTTTGTTTGGAAATTGTCTTAAAAATCTGTACAATTCATGCATAACTTTACTTTCTTTGCAATCTCATGTGGCTGGTTCTCTGACCAACATTTTTCAGAATAGAGGAACGAAATTAAGGGGGATAATAAATTGAATACACCCATTTTGTCTGTCCCATAATTAAAGCAATGGATCAAAAGAGTGTTCAAGGAACCTTCTGGAACATGGAAGCACACAAAATCACGTGTTTTTGAGCACATTTGAATGTAATATTTCTATTCTGAGAGAGACTTATCTTTATTGAATGCACTTGGGCTTTTTTGCCCTCTAAACATAGTTATTGGTGGAACGCTTTAACTTCATGGCTTTTTGGACAGAGTAGCATTTAATTAAAGCATAAGGTTTGAATTAAACATATTTGTGGCATTGGATGGCGAGTTAGGAAAATGAGTTAAACTAACACTGAAATGGTAAGATAAATGATAAAAACACAAAAGTTAGAACAAAACAAACGAAAAGACTCGGATGGAAAAAAAATGCTGGCCACGGGTTGTCAGGTGGTGTCATTACGTCACTTCACGACATAGATAACTGGCTGACTGTCTGTAGCATTAAGAGGCATCAGGAGAGTTCTGGACGTCTCCTGGACATGGCTTTGAATAGGAATCACACGCAAAACGGCGGAGTTGTGATAAACAACGGAGAAAGGCGAGTATTATTGTTTTTCTGTACGGTTATTTAATAAACTAACTAGGTGTCACCGCCTCCATTGACTTGTTTACCACTTACTTTCCAGTGCGTAGTCAGTAGCTAGCTGGCCTGGATAACGTTAGCATAGCTGACTCCTCTGTCTCATTGTTGAAATGTTTTATTTTTATACGTCAAGTTAGCGTGACCTAATTTTGCAATTGTTACTCTTACGAACGTGTAATGTTTTATTTAATTACTCTTTGCCCTTTTTCTTTTGCCTTAAATTTGGGAGAACAGCTAGCTTGTTTAGTTAGCCGACTGCCGAAACAGGAAGTCTTTTTTTTTTTTTGGTTGTTGACATTTTGTTTCGACACAAGCGTCAGTACAATTATGTCATCTATATTGGGTGGGGTAAACATTGAGACTAGTAGAAGTTTAAGAAAATGTTCAAGAGTTTCCATTCTGCATCATAATTGTATAACCAGGTGACTGTAATGGGGTTACTCGGTCTGCTTCCTCCAACAGTGTTGTGAGGGACTGTAAGAATGTGGAGCTATCATTCAGCGATGTCACATCCAAAACAGATCTGCTGAGGGGGACCAAGAAGGGTACAATTTATCTCACACCATACAGGGTACAGTTTTTCTTGCATTATACTTTCATGTATTACATACTGATGTGATCTCCAATAAAACGGGAATCTTTTACTTTCGTTCTGCCTGCTTAGCTAACTTTTTCCCTCCCTGTTTGGTTTAGTTGGTGTTTGTGTCCAGTAACACCAAGGACTGCCTGGGTTCTGCTGTGTTCCCTTACTACCTTATGAAGGGTTGCAGCATTGAGCAGCCAGTGTTTGGAGCCAATTACATAAAGGGGACGGTGTTGGCTGAACCAGGTGGTATGTAACTTTGCATTAGCTTGATTTGTATTCACACTAGAAATTGAAGAATTGTTTGATAATTGTTATAATCAAATGAACAGGTTATTAATACATCAAACAGCTTAACAAGTCACTGTATTTATTTGTGTCAACAGGTGGCTGGGAGGGCCAGGCACATTTCAAGATGACATTTCCCAGTGGAGGAGCCATTGAGGTGGGACAGCACCTCTTCAAACTGGCCACTAACGGTTCGTAAGATGGTGTTCTTACAGACTCTTCAGATACCAGTAGTCCTTCAATGCATCTGATTATTTAGTCTTTACAGTGAAATATATTACTTTTTAATTAACTTATGTCACCGTTGGAAGAAGTATTATTCGATGTGACCCATAATTAGTGAAAATTCCTCTTGGTGTGTTATGTAAGACTTTCTCTTGTTTTACAGCTTCTCGTGCTGCTCCAGCCCAGAATGGCGCTCCTGCTTATGGTTACCCTTCACCTGGAGTGATGAATGGCTATGGGCCACCTCCGACTGCTTCTAATGGCTACCCCTACCCACCCCCTCCACAGCAGAATGGATTCTACCAAGGCCCTCCTCCTCCTGCTGCTGGCAACATGGGCTACCCCTATCCAACAGCCGCTGCAGGTACAGAAGTCAGTCATGTGTAAACTAAAATCAGAACATCACAGGACCTATTGTGAGGACCCATGACTAAGCGAATACGGCCTGTCAGGATGTTGGACAGTAAATGGAATTTGCTTAAACAGCCTAAACCTATGGTGCAGTGTTTTTTTTTTTTTTCCTGAAGGTTTGTTTCAAGCTTGTTTTTGTCTTTCTATAAATACAATACAGATAGGTGGTTCTGTACTCCTAACTTGCATTGCGTGTCATTATTTTAATCTCCATTTTAGAGGCACAATATTTCTCCCTTTCCAAATTTTGTCTATTTATTTTAGGTGTGTACCTAATTTCCCTACTTTTACCTCCTTGTAAACGTATCATTTTGCCTTTCTTTTCATTATTCCTGTCGGCGCTTTTGTTCTAGGAATGTACCCATCTGGTTTGGACTACATGGCACCTCCACCCCCCTACCCTGGGCCACCCCCAAATTGGGCTGCACCCCCTCAGAACTGGACTGCACCACCTCCTCCCCCAGGTCTGTTTGCTTCTGTCTTGTTTTGCCATTCTGTTCATATCTGCGTGGCTGCACCTGTCACATCCAATCAGCCCTCTTCAGACTGAATCGCTTCGAAACACTCCACCAATAAAAGGAGAGCTGATGTCACTTGTGGAACATCAAAATTATGATTAGGACAAACAACCTTCCGTGAGACAGTTGTGGAATTCTGTGAAGACATTCGGCTCATGGGTCACTGCACAGTATTTTGGCTTTTGTCTTTCAGCAGAATGTCCCCCTCTGTCAATTCCTGCGACTGTCAGTTGAGTTATGTCTTGGGGATTCCTGGAGCTGTCAGTTTAGCTTTATATGACTCAGACTGTGTTCATCGTATCCGTTTTTCTCACAGTTCTGCGAACTGTAGTGTCTGTTCTAGAATATGTTCTACACTAATTGTTTTTCTTAATCTTCTGTCTCATTTTGTGCACAGGCAACTCAAAGGCGGCTGAAGCAGCAGGAAGTGCATATTATAATCCCAACAATCCACACAATGTCTACATGCCCATGGTAAACTTGCATGCGAGCCTTCCTCCACAGATGTATGACCCCAACATGTGATTTGTCATTCTGACAGCACTTGCAATATTTTCTTTTTTTAATTCCATTGCAGGAAAGGCCTCCACCTTATGCACCTTTTCCAAACTCTCCAGAGAAGAAGAACAACTGATACCCAGGCACCATCACTTCAGTGACACTCCTCTCTCTTCCTGTGTTTCCTAAATATTTTCTAAGGCAAGAAGAATTATCAATGGTTGTCAACTTGATTATAGAATAAAGAAGGCAAGTAACAGAGGGCAGAGAGCCACCATTGATAGTTTTTATCATACAATCGGTGATTATTTTGGGCGCTGGAATAGTATATTGTATCTTTTTTAATACTATTTTCACATGGCTTGCTTTTCTAAAACTCTTCATTAACATTCTGAGTTGTAGGATTGCCTGTTTTTATCTCTTAACACATAAAGGGGCACCTTAAACCATCTCTAATTAGAAATAAAAAGGAATAAACCGTTTGGAGAATGTATTTTTCAAAGACTGATATATGTACAACCAAAATATTTTGTAGCAATTTATTGATTGCACTTCTTGTACTTCCTAACAGCAACTGGTCCTCTCGTGATGATTTTGTGTTAGTACAAGCATTGAGTGTTACGAAAGCTTGTTCAAGCCGCACAGGTTTTGGTAACATTTGGCAATACAACAGTGATGATTACGTTATTGTTCTTGTACAAGTTTCCTTCCTCCATGACCAGTGTGAGCTTGTTACAACATAGCCTAATTTGTCTTCTTTATTCATAATTCAAGATTTTTAGTAGATTAGTAGTTTCTGAAAAGAATTGACATATTAAAAAAAAAAAAGGATCAGAAAGATGAAACGAGTATATGTATGTGTTGTGTTAAATCTCTCCTAACAAGGTAACATGAGCAGCTGGGAAACCTCATTAACCGTGTGCTGTACTCCAGGCTTGTATTGTGTCCATGTCTGCAAGGCCAAGCTGAAACCGGCACTCTGGTCTTTTAAGTAATTACACCAGCTTGGGGTTACAGAGCCACGTTGATTTATTAAGGGCCCGCCAGTGTTGTGCCTGCTGCTGAAACTTCTGAATGCAAACCATTTATTCCAGATTGAAGAGCGCGGGGGCGCCAACAGGCCGTGTAATGGCATCTCCCTTAATGCGCATCAGTTAACACCTGTTCAAGTGACGGTTTGCACACAGATGTAGAGTCTAGGAAAGAGGCGGGTGCTTTGTTTGTCTGAATTAATCAATTGTCTGTATACTGATATCCCTTTTGCAGTTCTTTTTTTTGCTTAATTTTGTCAGACTAAAAATCTAATAATAATAAATGAGTGATTTGTTAAAGTTCACATTTAGATTTTATTTGGATGCTTTCACGTACTTCCTATTTTACTGGAGATCATGGCATTATAGTTGGGTTTTCATGCTTAATTTGTACTCTTCTGCTGTTAAATATATCTCTACCCTCATTAATTTTGCTCAGTAAATTTTTATCGCCTAGTGAAGCTTAGCTTCTCCATCACTTGGTACAGGTGATCAGTCTCGAAATGTAACAGTTAAATGGAGAGTATTAGTTACCCAGAAATGAACAAACGGTCTCATGAATACAAAAATGAGACAATTACAAATGACCACATTCTTAACTAAATGATCTATTTATTATGGTATTTAACACTGTCAAACTTGGATTTGTTTCCTTTTCACCCTTACTACAGAACATGTCACTGTGCAGATATATTGTGATACTGTTTCTAGAGTTCAGTTAATAAATAAAACTGAAAAAGCATGCATCAAAACACCACATATTTCTTACACACCTACACAAACACTCAATGGAATAACTAATGATGCTAGAAACTAAGTTCCACTTACAGTAGTCTATTTCTACTTTATGGCTCAATTCCTGTTTGTTTCTAGTTACCTTTTCAAGAAGAGGAATGTGCTTTTTACAACAATGTACCAAACCTTTTACGTATATCTGCGGTCATAAGCTTAATTCCAAACTACATAAAACATTTGCAGAGCTCTATTTTTAAAGACAAACACAACTGTAAAGGGAAATCAAATAAATAGTAATACCAGTTGTACCGAAGGTCTACAACACATTGGTTTTCTCAGTTAAAACAACTAAACTTGCTCACTCTTTCTTATGTTTATTAAAAAGTGACTTTTTTGGTATGTTTTGAACACACTCATCGCCACATATAAAGATTACCTATTAGAAAATAAATCAGAATCTCTGTGAAACAGTTTAAAGGGGTAGGTTTGAATATACATATAAAGAGTGATGATGAAATGGAAAAGTGCCCTATCACTGATGCTAAATTTGAAAATCCCCCCTCTTGTCTAACACCTAATTTGACGTTTCCAAGTACCGCACTTTTGAGTGTTGAAAAGGAAATGAGGGATGAGGGAATAGCCGGGCCTGACATCTGACTGACTGGAGGGCGTCTACGGCTCCTCCTGTAGAAACCACACTTCGTTCCTCCGTCCGTAAGGCTTGAGCGGTGGGTCGTAGCTGCAGCAGAAGTACTGCTTGCGTTGAAAGGGGGCCGTCTCCCCCAGGGTGCGCGTCAGGCGCAGGGCCTCCGCTCGGTACTCGCTCTCCCCCGCAAAGCCCCCAAACTGTCTGTGAAAGAAAAAGTCACAGTCACAAGCTGACATTTGATAATACTCGAGTTTTCTTTGTACGACACCCACTTCTAAAAAGTTGGGGCACCTGTAAAGTGTAAGGGGACCATTTTTCATGACTGATAAGACATAAAATAACTTCTTTAGCTCATGCTGAATTAGATGACAACATTTTTTTATTTTTGCCTCTATGTGCCATGATACTTTTTTTTTCTTCTCATTTGACGTCTTGGCCCCATAGTTGACACTATTGGATGCTAATGTTTAAAATAAGATGACTGATATATTGATATGATATATTTTCAACCATTTGTGTCTTTATTCTGTCCATCAGAAAGATGCATCCTAGTGGCCTCAGATGAGAAGAACTGCTTATAGTAGAAAGATAAAACTTGTATTTCACAAAACATTTTCCCCAGTAGCCCTCTTGCTAAACCATGTGTTTTTTTTTCAGTTTTGTCACACAAAACCTCCGTTCAAGATGAACAATTACCAAGTTTCTTTGAGACCTCTGGTTCAGAGGTTCACAAACATATGTCATTAATATATAATTGATATTTCATCCCTGTCCCCAAAGTAACTTAATATGTGTACGCCTTATATTAAATAAAAAACCCAAACAAATCAGTCTGGATTCCTTAAATCCTCCTTTAAAGAGGTGTGAGGTATTAGATGAATTCACCGTGAACCTTGATATTCTATCCATTACATAATAGCTTTCAAACACAAGGAGACGTACAGAGCGTAGACGGTCATGCCAGGCCGCTCCTCAATCTTGATGGCGCTGTCAGTGGGATTTGGGGGGCTTATCTGGTAGGTGGAGGGAATACGGATGGCTACCGCCAGGCGTCGGGAGAGGACTCCGTCATTCCTTGGATACACTGTGACAATGATGGGAAATGCTATACCCATGGCCTCGCCTTGGAGCAGGAAGTGTGAGAAGGTTGATTTTTAAAAAGGGGAGAAAAAGCAGAAAAGAGAGACTTATTTTCCCTGAGGCACAGTTACTCAAATATAAAGGTCAGAATTTGGTCTCTATCTCAGGAGTACATATTATCATATGCAAATTCAAACAGTTTTTATTCCGAGAACACAAAAGAATACATGAAAACTGCTCCTCTGAATTCCATAGCATTCCGTATGGAGGGTAAGTTTTAATCTGTTTGTGTGTGAGCAATGATTTTCAATCTAAATCCCACATGACACACACATTACTTTACTTTTAATGATTGTAATTTGATTCAAAATTATGCTGATGATCAGAAGTTGGAGGCATATTGTTTACGACGACTCAGTATTTTAACTCAAGGAGCAGAATGAAATAAAGAAAACAGATAGTTTGTGGAGGAAAACCTTTTTTTGGATAATTTTTAAACATCCATGTTGACTGAATTGGTGGACGCCGGGGATATTTGTTTCCTGCTTTTGTTTACCTTGGTCATTGCTCCCACCAATGTAGGTGAGCAACTTCCTCACCAGCTCCGCCGTCACCTGGTCATAGCTCCGCCCCTCCGAGGCTATGGTCGCGAATTTGGCGGCCTCGTAGCGTCGCACCTCAAAGCTGACTCCGTCCTGGGGAGGGGGGAGAAATCAGGTGGCAGTTCCAGCTTCAGAGCAACCACCCCCGGTCACCCTTAGTCGTTTTACGAGCGTCCACTCACGCGGAAACAACCACGCACCCCCTCTGGATGGGAGCCAGGGCAGAGGTCAAGTTCAGACCGACGCACCGATGAGGACCCTGAACTGCTTAGGGCTCACCATCAGTGGAATCAACGTGCAGACAACCCCAAAGTGAAGGCGAATTCACATGAAACCTATGAAGGCTGATTTTGTTACACGTCTTCCTCTGCTGCTCTGCGGGGGCTCCGTCAGCCTTCAGTGAATAATGGTCTCCTCTTACATAACGGCACAGTGGCTAAAAGAAACCACGCACAACTCGTCCTCTTCACACAGCAGCAACACAAGAAGCGCAATTAAAGGGGGGGGGGGGGGGGGTTGTGGTAAAGCATGGCGAGTTTACTATGATGCCGAGCAGCGACGCTAATTGGATTTGAAGGAATCTGGTGGTGATGGTGCAGGTCTCAGATCCAGCCCTCTGTTCCGCTAACGCGGCGTTAGACAGTTGTGTGTTGCTGCTTACGCTGTGGAATTAATTGCATAATATCCTCCTGTCCTGATGTTTACCACTGATTTGCAAGAAAGCTGCTGGCTGCTGCGGTTGATCATGTTGCAGACGACGTGTTTTTTTTCACCGCCACACCGGCAGCACAGAAGGAAACCGTGGAATTATATTCAAGGGGAATGGTCCACTCTAAAAATACCAGGCACAATAGTTACGTCCTCAACCTGAAAATTAAATTTGTGACTCTCGGTCTACTCTCAGATCTCGGGGTGCTAAAATATCTTGCCGTGGTGCGTGTTAATCAACCCCACTCGAGGGATAACTCACCACAGAGGAACCTTGTTCGGTAATAAGACCCTGCAGCTGCATCCATCACGAAGCACACACAAGATAACAGCATATTATCAGGGCGATGTAACTTGTGACAGGTACACAGGCTCCTGCTTTGTAATTAAGGCTTTAGGAATGTATGTCTTGCCACCGGGGCAAACATTAAAGTTGCATATGGGGCGACAAGGAATCAGTCTTATGTCAAATAGAGCTATTAATTTGTCCTGGATCTGTGTTTGTGCGCATATGTGCAATGTAATTAGTCCCAGATATAAAACAGCACCAGTAAAAGGCATTATAAACAGTAAGACCGTCCGAAGGCTTTGCCAGTTCCCTTTAGAGCTTTAAAGTTCTCTGCTGGCGAGGAGAATATCGCCCACATTTGGCTGCTCATCTGCTGCAAGTGTGTGCCTGCCTGTGCACGGTGAGTGTGTGCACACCCTGCCAGGCAGCTTCCCGGTATTATGTGTCAGTGTTAATTAAGAGCGTTGGGTGTCAGACACAGGCAGGTGCCCCACAGATCATGTGACAAGTTCTGATTACAGCGTCTGCTTTCCAAACAGGAGTCAGATCCAGAGATTTGATGAACGATTGGCTCTGATCCCTACTTAGAGGAGGCTTTCTACTGCACAACTATATATATATATATACACAACCAAATGAAAATCATCTTTCCAGTTGTGATGCAATTTTGTTTGTTGATGGGTGTTTTTAAATCTGTATTTCTCTGAAAATGGCTGCACAGTGAGCCACTCTCAGACACATCTGCAAGGATCAACATCCACATCTACACCGGTAAACTCTGAATTAAACGCTGCACCAGTGCTGCACCTCGGGCATTTTTTCTTCACCAGCCTGTTTACTGGAAGATTTCCAAAGTGTGCATGCGCAAAAAAACATGGAAACTAATCATCGCGCGAGTATATTCTATTTATGCAAGCACCAGGGATGCGTGGGGGGGGGGGGGGGGGGCGGCCCGGAAAAAAAGGGCATCCCCTTGCACCTTTGGGACGGGGGGTAAGCGCGTGTCTGTCCTCCTGCCTGATTGGCGGCGGATCAGGATACACGCACGCACATATAGCCGAGCACAAAGGTTAACCTCAAACCCGTGTAACCAGCATCCTTTTCCGAGGCAGGGTCAGTTAACATGTCCATTGTGGTCTCTCTCGTACGCCATCCAATACCTGTCCACCGTCACAATGAAACTTAGTAAATGGCGACCCATAAAAAAAAACAAACAAACACACAAACAAAAAAACAGGGGTCTCTCTAACTTTATCCTGATCATTTATCCTTTACTTTGTATTTTCCACCTTGCCCATCTCTGCTCATTCTGCCCGGTTGACCCCGGGCAGCTTTGCCCTTTGCTCCACGCAGCTGGACCGCGGACTTCCCTTATACTGGCCACAAGTATTTGACCATCAGCGTTCTTCCTTAAGGACGCGGCGCTCATGGTCTCGGCAGGACAATCACAAAACGTCACGGTTTCACATGGGAGATTTTCCCACATTTGATACACATCCGTAAAAGAGTCAGAATTTCCGTGCGTAATTACAGCTGCGCACCCGCAGAAAAAGAAACGAAGAGGAGCGCGCGGAGAGGCAGAAATGGCGATTTGCTGATTAAAACCGGCTTACCTTTGACTCGCTGCTGAGCAGTTTGTATTCCGTTTCCTCGTTGCTTCCAAAAAACGAATTTTTGATCATGCCAAACATGGCTCCGGTCGGGGGTCACCTCACTTCTCTCCGCTCTCCTTTGCCTTGTGGCGCGTCCTCTCTCGCCCCTCCTTTGTTTCACACACACAGCAGGCAGTGAACGCACGTTTAGGCTCGGCATGCACTGGATGCAGTTCAGGGTGCAGGAATATCTAAATCTATCTAAAAAGTGGAGGTCCTTCTCCCGGGAAGAGCGCGCGCCTCTCTCTGTGAGGACAGTCTCTCATCAACAGATGCTTTTTCCTTTTTCCTTTTTTTCTACACAGTCAGAGGAAGAAGTCTGGGATGCTGACTGGCCATATCAGCCCACACCGAGGAGAACTTCGTCTCCGCCCTCCTCTTTTTTGCTTTTAGACTTCTCTTAAATGTTCCACAGGTTATAAAACCTGATGGCTTGGAGCTTTGGAGGTAAAAAAAAAAAGGCCCCTAACCCAAAAGCGTGTAGGTACATATGAATTGACGCATCCAGCTGCCAGCTTATAATTATATTTCCACATCATATTACCCTCTTAGAACACTCCCCGCAGCAGTGAGGCGAACAAAACAGTAAATTTAAATGGAATAGCAGCTGGAGAGAGGAGGCCTTAGCCTTAAGTGCCCTCTGCTTTGGTTTTTGGGGTCGGTCTCCCGTTCTGTTTGGCGCTCCGGGACGATTTGGAGCAGAGCTGCATCATTTAGTCCTGCTCCAGTGCAGCAGCAGCTTTGACACTAACTGTTGGTTGTGCGTCGGGCATTGGTTTCCTGGACGGTGTCCGCGCGCTCGTTATAGGGGGGGGGGGATGCACGTGAGTGCGTGTCTTACTCTGTGTCACTGCGAGTTGCTTGGCTTCGGGGCTGGGCTATTTTAAAACGCACCGAGGGCAACATTAGTCACCACTGTGGAGAATGTGCAAACAGGATGGGTAGAATTAAGGGGGGAATGGCCAACTGATTGGTACAGGCCAGAGAAGCCAAGGGAGGGAACCGTGAACAGAGAGAGGGGTGGAGGGAGTATAAGGTGGTCTTGAGGAGCACTGTGATAGAATGAATAGAATTAACGAGGCACTACAATAACATCAATTCCTTTCGTTCACGTGTCCCTGAACCGTCCCTGAAATAGTTGTTTCTGTCCCATGTGACATATCTCTCATACATATTGACTTAAATAGGGTGGACAGTTGCCAGGACAAGAATCATTGGGGATTCAGCTTTAGGACAAGCCTGTGTCAAATGTTTCAAACGTCCTACGTGCCAGTATAAGTGATGCCTAAAAACAAAAACATGAACTGAAAATGCTTAAAAAAGAAGAAAAAGAGAGAAAAAAGCCAGAATGGCATCAAAAGTTGGAATATTCTGTAAAATGTAAGGTGTGCAGAAATGCTCTCAGTCTCAGCTGTAGAAGGATTTTCGGCTTAATCTCTTTTACCGTGTTGCTTTGTTTAATTGTGGTCAGCGTTTTCTGCACAGCCTGTGAGGACACATGGGCAGCTCGCAGTAGGTCCACATCTGGACTCGGGACCACTGGAGCACCTTGAATGCCTTCTGTTTCTTGGTCATTTGTCCTCAGATGTCCGGCACATGGCCTCGCATTTGACAGAGTTTAAGGTGGACCTGAGGACTGAGAGATGTCTTTTTCTACAGGACAGAAAAAGACCCCCCCACACCATGAATGATAGCTGATACTATGCCTGGTTTTCTTAAAACATAATAACTCATAATGACAAATAGTCATGCGGCCAAATTGGATATAACAGGGCCAATCGTATTTTAGAGAACTTGGCTGCTAACCCTTCCAAATAAGCCATAATTGTTTATTGACCTGTAGTGTGAGTAAATACGACACAATCTAACTATTGTGGGGAACACACTAGGACACCCACCAAATTGGACTTCAAATACTTTGGAAAGGACCTTATAATCAAATGGGCAACAATTGCTTCACAAAGGTAATTGCTGATGTTTTGTGTAGACCATAAAACGGCAAAAACAACCACTAGCTAATACAGCTCATTGCTGTACCTTAAAGTGGGTGTTAAAGCTGTACAATGCAAAAGGAGAAAGAAAAAAAAACATCCGTCAGAGGTTTGAACTTTAATGATGGATATAATCTAATTGAAAATATTTTCACAGTCTTTTTGAATTGCTGCTTTTAAGCCACGGGGACACCGACATATTCTAATGCTAGCTCACATTTTCACTGTACATTTGTGTGTCCTAACATTAGAAGAAAAAAACAAAGTAATGGTCAGGTTCCTTCAGTCCACTGAGGCCTGACCACAGGCCTCCCATCAAACACGTATGGATGAATGAGCCACAGACACCAGAGTCTTTAGGTTTCCTCTCCCCGCTGGACTCGGAGACGTCCTCACTTCTCCCAGCCCTTTCCTCCTGGCTGCGTTGGTAAGCGGAGTCCCACCAGGCCCGCCGCCTCTTCTGCACTGCACTCTCCTTTGCCGTGGTACAGGTTGTGCAGAGCCAGGTGACTCCGGGTGGACGCCAGCAAACACAGGTAGGTGTGGGCGGCGTGATGCGCCTCCCGCTGGGCGCGGCACAACCTTTCACCCGTCACCTGTGGCGGGGAAAAAAAAAACAGAAATCCATCAAGTCCATGCAGTCTGCTTCTTTAAGCATATTTTTGCATTTATATGCACATACATCTGCACCCACGAAGGGTGAATATATCAAAGCTGTCAGGGGATGAATCAGAGCTATGAGATGTTACTGTCCTTCACCAACTAAATCAGCTAAAAGTACACCGAACCCTGGGTTAAGTCATTGCAGCCCATCAAATGTACATTCTAATGCCTTAGGATCTAGTCAAAGCTGGAGTGAATACAAAACGACAAGCCGGAGAGCCTTCCAGCTGTTTTGGTACACTGAGTACAGTTTCATTCAACAACCTTGGTGAGCTATTCTCATCCAAGCGTTAATAATGCAAGCTCGATATTCCCCAGACCTGATGTGAACAGACCCACAAGCACTTAGACGGACATGTAAATAGACTGTCAGAATAATCAGAAATGGAGATAAATGAATTGCAGTCTATGTAAACTGACCTTGACTGAAGCAATTTTTAGAAGACCTAAAGTATTTCAAAGCCATGTGACTCAGCTGATGGGGGTGGAAAATAACAGAAAACAAGACCAAACATTGCACTTGCATTATTGTAGATAATTGCACATTTTTTAAATAGCTTTAAAAGAATAACAAAAACAAAAAAGTGACCTACTTTTCGTCGCGGAGAAACATTGATTATTTGACATTTTAAGTTTGACTTCTATGAGCTACAATTTCGAAGGACATTGTAGATGACTATAAAATATTGTCATTAATTCGTCAGTCCAGGTTCAAAGTTGCGCAGGTACGTGAAATAGCCAGTAACGTCCAAAGATCCGAAACCATACCGAACACCTTTTTTGTTTTTAGCTAACGGTGTAGAGTTCGGCACATAACTACGCCGCTGGCAAATGTTCGCATGCCCTTCTGCTAGTCACCTTGCATTAGTACAAGGCAAGTATTTCAACAGTTGGAAACTATTGCTTGTCATTATTTGTACAAATAACTGGTCCAAAACAGTGTTTGTAAACGTTTCAAATTAATATATGAATACATATGTAGCAAAAAGAACTAGCCAAACACTTCAAACGCGTCGTTATTGTCCAAGAGTTAGCGGGATTGCTAACACTAGCAGTTCGTGTTGTTTAGCACCTTTGCTAACATGTCCCTCTACTGATTTAGAGGTGGAACCCACCTTATTCTTGCGAAACTGTTCCAACACATATTTGTAAGCCGGTGACTGATTGTAAGCCGGCCCTTGAACGAAGCGTAATTCTTTTAATATTCCTCTGCAGATATTTAGAGGCGATGACAGCGATGCCATGTCTGCACGGTGTATTGACGGCGCAGCTCCGTGACACAACAAGGCGTCCTCAATCGAACACGGCACGGTCGATCTGGGTGGTGGCCACCAGAGGGCGCCAGATGACACCCATTCACAGAAACGTGCCCCCTTGGCTCCTTCAACAGGTAACTTTCCCCTATAGTTACATTGTTTAAAGGAAGGATTCATTAAAGTGTCTGGAGTAGCCATCAGATTTCTCAGAGCAATGTAATAAATATAAAAAGAGGATAAGGCAAATTTAGTTTGAACATTTTTTGATTGAATGCAAAGCTTGAAAGATGAGTATAACATGATAAAAAAAGAGTAAACAGAGACATGTGTAAAATGTGATATAAAGCCATCAGATCTGTATTAAACAGGAGACAAAACTGACTATAGGTAGGCCAATATTGTTCTAAAGTAACTGTTTAAAGTAATAATAGTGTCAAATATGAGCAAGATAGATGTACAAACCTAGAATCACCACTCATCTATATGGAATGGTGCTAATCTGTGTCTCATTCAGCCTCAATATCTTTGTCTTTTGGAGGGCATGTGTATTCCTACTGACTCGATGTTCTCCCTGATTTCTATCAGCGTTTACATAGCTGTCCTTAACTCAGCAAAAGGTCAAACTAAGAATGCTGGATGCGTTTCGCTGCTGCGGCGGTGCTGCCTGCTTTGATTTGTCCATGTAGGTCTGACAAAGAGAAGAAAGGCACAAGGATGGCTTGTCCTTGTTCACACGGATTCTACATTGAGCTTCAGTGGAAGGTAGCAGATTTGCAAATTTGATTAAATTTCTGTTCTATGGCCTAAGAACTGAAGGAAACGTATTTTAGAGCGTGTATAGTCTTTGGTCCGACAAGCAACGCTTTTCAATGTGCAGAAAATTTGCCCCATGTTGTATCAGGATCCCTTTACAACCCTGTGTTTAAGCTTTTCCCAGTTGCTATGAATAGTAGCATTAATGCAGATCCAATAGAAGTGTGTGTGGAGCACCCTGTGGATGGAGCGATAGCCATATCATGATGTTTCTGCTCTAAGTGATCATTCACTCCATGTGAAGTGAAACGCGATGAAAGAAACGCAAAGAATAAAACCGACATTTCAAGAAGCACGTTTTGCAAGAGTGGGTATACTTCTATCACCATAGCAACTGGATGCTTGGCTTAGGGCAAAACACAGAGGAGATGATTCATTAATTTTCAGCATTCAGACGTGAACCAGATGTCCTTTAACACAGCATTTACATATAGAGATAGATATAATCAAATCTATAATCGGGGGAAGAAAAAAAACAAAGATGATGAAGAATCCCGTCAGAGAAAAGTCAAGTTCAGGACTTTAAACATTAACCTGTGAGGCTGAACCTGTTTCATGAATGACTTGCAGTCACGCCGCGCGGTAGGGGGGGGCTCGCCAAAGTTGACTCGGTGTTGCTTGATGCTTTGAAGTCGGCTCATCATACGTGAAGTGCTCCACTTCCCTCCAGCCAGTCCGGTGATTGGAGCTCGAGTAATGATGATTGACTCTAGGGGGAGCCAGTCTCTTATTAGTTTCGTACCGGTTTGGTTCCTCGACATTTGTTGGAAGGCTTGCCCTCCTCTCCCCCCCCCCCACCCCCTCCGTATCGCTCTCTCTCTCTCTCTCTCTCTCTCACACACTCTTTCAATGAATACTAATGCAGAGAGTGGGCCCACCTCCCTTCCTCCCATCTCTTTGCAAGGATGGGCGGGTGAGGGGAGACAGCAATTCCAGCTCAGTATCTTTCCTCATGAGGTAGGCAGAGCTTGACTAGCAGCAGCCCCCCAATGCCTTTTTTTTCCCTCCCACTGAGTAATATTGGTAGTACTGTACGTTGCCACTGCAACAATGAATAACCTGTGTGAGTGGCATGTCATATCTGACCACAGTTAAGAGAAGGAGGAGAGGACATTTGTGCCTGCTTTTTTGTCATCTGGATGGGAAGTCTTTTTTGGCAAGAGAGAGAGAAGAAAGCAGAAGGCTGCCGGGGAAGGGGAACAACTGGCAACAGCCAATACCCCCTTCCACTTACAGACTGGAGACAACGGAGGCCACTGGAGTATTTGCTTTTATCTTTCGTTTTTTGTTCTTTTTTTTTCTCATTGCGCTGCTGGGAGGTGCTTTACCTTTTCATTTGCTTGCTCTTTCGGTCCTCTGTCTTCTCATCTATTTCGCCATTTACCTGGTCAACAATTTCTTCTATTTATGAGCCAGACAAGAAGGGAGAGAGAAGCAGAGAGACAGAGAAAAAGAGAAAGAGACCGAGGAGGGGGATCCCACGCCCCCCGTTTCCCTCTTTTTCCCCCGTTCATCCATTCGTCCTTCCCTCTCCATTGCTGTCACTTCCAGCCCTTTCTCTGCCTGTGCAGCCCACGCTCCCTCCTCCCTCCACTGCCTCCCACCCCCCCCTCCTCCAAGCCCACTCCACTCACCGTCCGCCCGTAACTTTCCTACCTTCTTTTGTTTTTTTTGTCACCGACTCCACCAGTGTTTTTTCTTTAGTTCTTTAATTTAAACTGCTCTAATAGTCATTTTAATTGGCTTAGTTGTGTTTTCTATTTATGCCTTTTTCACTTTTGTACCTTTTCCTATTTTCCCCCCCTTTCTCTTTTTTCCTCCTACCATCCTATGCATCTTTTTTGGCTGATTCTTAATTCTAATCATAGGTAGGTCTAATTAGTGTTTAGTGTCTGTCTCAAAGTCTTTGTTTCCCCTCTGTGTATGCAAGATGTTTTGTGTTTGTTGCACACCTTGACACACACACACACACTCGCACACACACACACACACTTCCACAGCTTAGTTTTGGTGGCTCTCCTCCCATCTAGCTCTCAGATGATTCTTGCTTCATGCCATGCCCTCTTTACGTCAATCCCCCTCTTCCATCTGTGTTTACAGACTTGATTTTTGTCGTTTTCTTCTTCATCGTGACTCATTAACCTGTCATAATCATGGAACTGCATTTTGACTGTCTGGTCTAATAGGTCGTTACACACAAGCCCGTTCTTCCATTAAAAGACAAACTTTGATGTCGCCTCATAACTCCTTCACATGTTTACATGTTCATCCCTTTTTTTGCTGTCACACACACTGACAGACAGCCAAACTCCACATAGATCCAAAGGTGTTTTAGTCTCTACTTTGGTCAAACTGGGAAAAAGGCCCAACTCCTGAGCTTTTTTTAATAGTCTATCTAAAAGCCAGCCCTTTTTCAGTTGTGTCGGGGTGTCATCTGTGTTTATGCAGTCCTCTACCTCAGTTTTTGCTGCCCTGTTTTCCTCTCTCCTCCCTCTGTCTCCTCCCTCTCTCTGTCTCGTTTCCTTCCAAACTGACTCTTCATTCTCGCAGACAGACACACACATGCACTCCGAGAGCATGGACTAGAGGAAAACTGAGTTTTCTCATCCAGAGGACTCCCCCCTCCCCCTTTTTTTCTTCCGCACATAATATTCACTTTTTGGCTTCATACTTACTTTAATCACCCGTCTCCACTTCCTTTTTTCCTCCATCTCTTCCACCTTTTCACCACATCTGCATCGGCCCACTTATTGACTTATCTTGTTCTCCATTTGTCTTTTGTTTTTAATTTTTCTGGTGTCAGTATTAAAAAATAGCATATGCTGCCACTTATGTGTTTGACTTGCTTGCATTAGGGTAGACTCTGTAATAATTAAGCATTTTGGTTGTCTGTGTTTAAGTTTCAGTTCTTACTATTTAAGCTCATTGATATACAGATGGAAGATTATTTGATTTATATATTTTCATAAGAAAAAATAGTGATACACGACTCCAAAGCGCTGAGCGTGAGGTACCTGAATGATCTGGCATGTGTGTGTGTGTGTCAGTGTGTGGTATGTAAGCTATAGACAGCAATAGACAGATGCATAGCAAAGCAAGAAAGAACCACATAACTCATCACCTTGTCCATCTCCTTTTTTATATTTCCATTTTTTCCTGAAGGAGATTTTATGCTGCTACTCTTCATTACATGGAGATAAAGGGAAGTGGGACTAATGAGAAACCATTACCACGATAAAGGCACTCTGGATGTTTTCCTGTGGAATTACCCTTTAAATCCTGGATTAGATTTCAAATGATAAAAACAAATTAATAGCAGTTTGAGTAACTGTTCCAAATTCTGGACTTGTTTTTTATTTTTTTTATTTTTGACATTTTCAATGGACTGAAGAGCTGATTTCAGTATTTCTTACTCAGCTATTGAATCTTAATGGGATTTCACTCTCGCGGATTAAAGACTCAAGCTACATCTTTGTCAATTAGCAGACGTAATATCCGTGAATCTTATTTCTCCGTCCCACCAAACTGATCAAATTTATTATGCATCAGTGTTAAGAGTTAAATAGGTGAGTACGTTGCTCTGAATCTGCTCATGCTATTGCTGTTGCATGTTTTGGATGATGATTCATCGACACAGACAATTGTGAAGGATACAGTTTTTGTAATTAAAGCAGTATTTTGCACTCGTGGGTTTGTGTGGGTGCATCCACCCATCACGGATGTGATTGTAAGTGTGTGTTCATACGCGATCCGACTGATGGATGCTTGGAAATGATCACATACCCGTGACGGCCCCTTAGTCTCTACCTATATTTGTCCTTTGCAGTGCATTTTATTTCTATTCTCCTCCTGAAATTTTTAATCTATTTTAGAAAAAAACGGTCTGATCGGTGAAGAAATGAACTTTTTGAAATGATCTCCATACTGCAGTCTGCGCTCTGCACGGCCACTCTGGACTTAGCGGAGCAAATCTGCCAATCAAATCATCCGGTGATTCCAGGCTTATTTAATAGTGTGTTTGTGCAGTGGGGAGTTATATGTAGATCAATAAAGCAATCTACATTAAGGAACAGACTGCAGGGCCCTTATCTCAGAACAGTTATTCTTATCTCTCGGTCTTCAGACTAAAATGAGGTCTTTCACAGCAGGAGAATGACAAGATATCTTATTTCTTC